GCACAAATTTTGCCGAAATACTCCAGCCAAATGTCTAATCGCTCATCACAGTTGTATCCATTTTCAACCAGTTTGTCCGACAATTTCAGAGCCTTCTTACATACCTTCATTTTATAAATATGCGTACCACCAGCTTTAGTTCCCAATTCTGCAGTCTCTAAGAATTGCTGCCAAACAAGAGGAAGATTACTGTCTGTCATTTTCTCTAAAAGTTAATCATTCAGTAATAATCAGCAAGAGAAACAGAAAAAACAGCGTCATTTTTATTCAAGTCGTTCCGAGAGCGGTTTAAAACAGTTCCTTTTGTCAGCCAATAACTATTGATCAATAAACTATTTCTTTCAATTTAAAAGAAAAACATGATCGCATTAAACAGAAAAGCTCGAAGGTGACTGTTCCAAAAAATATCAAAAAGATACGAGAAGTACCTCTCAAGGTAAACTATTGTCATACATACGATGGTGAATCGTGAAGTTATAGTGCCTGAACTTGATAGACTTGAACAATACCTTCAATCATTAGTACCATAGTACAAAATGCATTTAAACAAAGAAAATGGCAAACGTTTGCATAACTAAATCAACCAACAGTAAAAGCAATTTGAAAATTTATTTCCATTTCAAAAATAGTTTCAGTAGCTGAATAAAATGAGTAATAGAGTGTTATCATGTATTATTATTTAAATTATCACAAGATCCGAAATATTAAAGCTTTTCCCTAAGTTCATTAATTTATACATATCATATATTGAAAAATAAATCCGAGCAATATTTTCGATAAGGATTGGCTTGTACATTGATGGTTAAGACTAGAAATAGAAGTTTTCAGAAATATATTAATCATAATTGACTTTGGAGAAGATGTAAAAATAAAATGTGATTTTAACAATTAGAAGGCACAAGTGAGTTAGGAAATGCTTCAGTGAGCTGTAAACGACAAAATAATTCTGACATGATTGCCAGATGATCTGAGCTTGTAGACCCAGGTGAAAGACGAAAATGAATGTTAATAACTGTAAAAATGAAAAAAAACGATAGCACAACTATGGCAGCAGTTCTAATATCAAGTTAACCACGTTCCGAATTTGATCCGTAGACATCATGTGAGCGAGAATAGTCTTGAAGCTCGTTGAAAATCATTTCTAAAACACACTCATGTTATTTACCAACAGAAAATACATACCTCTCCAAACTTCAACTGTATGTTCGGCATCTACCGCTGGATTATATTGCCGCGGTGGTGGAGCATAAACCTGAAAATGGCAATGTCTCACAAAAGTGCTCTTTGGGTTATCATACTTCGCTCTCATCAAACCAAACATTCACATAAGGATGTCGCAGCGCTTCATCCACGGATATTCTTCGTTCGGGATCAATAACCAACATTTTTGATAACAAATCACGCGCCTGTGCAGCTAACAACGAAATATGTATAAATGGAACTTCTATAATATAATGAAACCTGTGAGTCTGGAATTATCTGCTGCCATAGGGAACATATTATCCGGGAAAAGTAATTCGAATGATGTTGAAGAAAATCTGGAAAACAATGAAGATTAATCCGGAAGAGACAATTGGTCAATACCTAGGCCTATTCTCAACGTAGTTTCTGACGGTCGGCTGTAGCCGTTCCAGGAATTCTCGTTCTGGAGTGCCAAGTTGTTCGATGATTTTAGTCCATTGATCAATATGATCAACACCAGGAAATAATACTCGTCCTCGTACTAATTCTCCGAATATGCAACCGATTGACCAAACATCGACTAAAATATTTTGGAGTTGAAAAAAAAGAAAAAACGACCGATTAACCATTCTCTTTATATCCCATTCCTAAGATAACTTCAGGAGCACGATAATATCTTGTTACTACATATGGTGTCATCATAAATCCTTCTACAGCTGTGCGTGCGAGACCAAAATCAAGAATTTTTAGTGTACAATCGCTTCTCACAACAATATTAGATGGCTTCAGATCCTGTAAATAAAGAGTTACAAAATATTAAAGCGACATTAGTTACTCTATGAATGATACCAGCTGCGTGTAAGTGACGAATCCCACATAACATTTGATATAGTAAATAAGATAAACGTTCATGATCTAGATCCATTTGAATGACCTGAAAACAAAAAATACAAACAATGTTGGTCTTATTGACTAGTAAACGAAATGAACTAAGTTTTGGCCTTTCATCATATAGTACTATGTTCTATCTCTCACGTGATGCATCACATGAAACGTGCATGTTCAACTAATTTCGTACGTCACTGATGCAAGCGGTTGTTTTCATGTTTGATCATTTTCATAAGATTTCTCTGCTGAATTTGCAAAAGGAGAGAAAAATGTGTCTCACCTGACACAAGTTGGCATCCATTAATTCCATAACTATATACAAATCATTGAAATCTTTCAAACTTTGCTGAGGAGTGAAAGCATTCAGAATGCCAATTATCTGAGAAAAAGCAGTTATTCCATTTTGATGATTCAAATAGAACTTACATTTTTATGATCAACTAAATTCATTAATTTAAATTCTCGATACGCTCGCTTAGCATGTGTTACATTTTGAAAAGGTCTAGAGAGTTTCTTAATAGCTACTGTTTCATTTCGAACGGTATCATGAGCAGCACTGCAAAATAAAAGGATTACAAACATATCACACAAACACAACTGACCAAACAATCCCCTGAGCTCCAGAACCAATTAAGCGAAGGTTTTGATACCTCTTAAGTATTACCATTTGAGCTTCTCCCATAGTGATAGAATAGTAGTGCTCTGGGACAGGGCTTGATGACGTTGAAGCCATCGCAAAAGGACTATGAGAATGGAAATAGTACATGTCGGACAGAAAAAAAACTTACTTCAAAGTAATGTTATGGTGATTAACTGTATGTTTCGATGAATTTTTTGGATGTTGTTTCTTCGTTTGAGGTGGTGGCGAATATGTGTGGCTGGAAGAGCAGCTATCTATTGAAACAACGTCCTCTTCCTTAGCTGATGACAAACTGCTACTAGCTGCCAGCCACTGGAAGTACTGTAAACAACCCTGTAAACAAAAAGATATTAAACTAGGCAATGAGAATGTTTTTGTAAAAATGTTCTAGAAAAAATGAGTGAAAAAGTTTAAAAGTGATCGCTGCTCTGTTAGTCATGAGGGAGAATGAAGTGATCGTTTTAATGAATTTATTTTCGAACTTGGAGATGTTCACATGCAGCATGTCAAAAATAAAAAAATGTCTGTGGAAATCGTGGATGATTTTGTTCGAGGAGAGAATGACACCCAAACGACAAGCGAACTACTGGGTTATGCATGGGCACATCAAATGATTCATCAATACCAAAATTGAAAAAAAAAAGAATTTATATGTTAAAAGAGCTGAACAGCAGGAAGAGCAAAACACAATTTATACTAATTTCTACTTACTCAGAAGTGCAGATCTTTGCATATAAAAGGCCAAAGATAGTATAAATATAGGAAAAGAAACACTCGGTAGAGAACGAGGAAGTGCTCAAAAGATAAGTTTCATATGATCAAAGCTTCTTTCATAATCGTTTAGACGATGTTTCAACATTCAAAAATCACAAAAGAATTAAAAATCTACTTTGGATTGTATAGTATCACTTCCTGTTGAAGTAGGTGATAAGAAAGAATATCTGAGTACAGTATCGATTTTTCGAAAAGACAAAACACAACAATGGAACTGCTAAGACCATCTATACTCTTTCAGTTTTGACCGTAAAGAGACCAATATGTCCATTTCCCCAATTTATAAGATTCTGATCTCTCAGAAATGGCCATCGGGCTCAATTGATCTCGTTCTTCCTCTCTTCGTTCACATAACGAAAATTTTGTTTAAATAACAAGTGTTCTTCCTAAGTAATCAAATAAATGCTAAATTTTATAATATTTTTTCTCCAGAAAATAGAAAATATTGAATTAGCATTGATTTCACAAAATTTTTCTCAACCTAAAAGCACGGACGCTACGCATCCGCTCGCGTGCTCTGCCAACAGGGGTCAGCCCTCTGCCCTCTTCTCTCGCTCGTCTTATAATTAAATTTTCCTTATTTGGTGGTTTTTATTTTTGTAAAGAAAAAGCCTAATGGATGAAAAATTCATGAGGAAAAGGGGTAAAAAAGTATAAGTAGACATGCTCACCTTTCCAACTTGGTTCACGCCCTCAAGAATCGAGCTGACCTGCAGTTTAGACCCGCGTACAAAGTTTCCAAACGAAGAGCTTTGTTCAACTTCGTTTTCTTCCTCCGCACCTAGAAAACAGAAAAAATAAATTTAGAAAGGATCAAAAAAAAAGAAGAAAGAGACTAATTGTGTGAATTGAAGAGATGTTTGCAGGGTAGAGAAAACAGCAGTTGAGAAGAATATAAGAAATGCTAGAGAGTCATTCAGCATTTTTGGTAATTTTCGTTGTCAGTCAGTCTTCAGAAGTAATCTCTCTTGCGACGATGACGGTTATAAAGATATTCCCATGAGAGAAATCAGTAAATGCCGGAAGAAGGGTAGCGTATATCCATACGCGAACTGAGTATATACTATGTCAAACTTTCATAGATTTTGAGCAAAACCCGGCACACTTCTCTAATATGAAGGAACATTTCAAAAATAACGAAATAGTTAAATGTTTGACCGAATGGAGCTTAATGAATGCCGCATGAAAGAGATAAACTGCTCGGAAGCCATTGATCGCAATGCGACTCCTATTTGGCTCGTTTACTCATTTCCTTTTAAGAAGTACGTCGTGGCTGTTTAAGAATTCCAAAACTCCAATTCACACAGAATTCCCAAGTTTCAATAAATAACTTTTCAAGTGCGAGAAACTACGGGAAAACACAAAAAAATCGAACAAAAAATAATTTTAGACGTCGACGGATTGGCCATTGAATTGGGGATTGACCAAGGGAAGATCAAAGATGGTTTTTTGAGAGAATTTTAATTGTTAATTTAAGGAAAAGGGGAAGAAAACAAATACTGCGATGAGAAATTATATGAATAATTCAAAAATGATCAGAAGCTTTTCCGGAAACTCAACTGACACAAGAAATATGAGAAGACAGTGGAAACGTTGAGGACAGGACTGATTGTTTAGAGGAAGTGAGTGTTTTTTAAGAGAGAAAGATTATGCGGAATGCTTTAGTAGAATTTGTAAGCTCTCCAAGAAAGTTTGCAGAAACAAATGATTTGAAGAGCATGGAATCGTTCATGTACTAGACGACTGGGCAAGATGAGTCGAGATGAAACTGTGTGCCCAAATATAGACTAACGCTTGCTATGATGCTTAGAGAAAGAGAAAAGGAGAGATATATGCGACAGTTGGAAAAATTGGGCGATGCCAGAGAAGAGCAGTTACATAGCATGCAAGAGAAGCCAGAACTATGCAGAAGAGACATCGATTTAAGCTGTCGAAGCCAAATGAGGAAAAAGCTGGGTGGGGTAAAGGCTGAGGCTGAACCAGACGGGCGCGAACTGGCCCAGACGACCGCTGGTTCCCATTTCCCCTCTCGCTCTCTTGTTGTCTTGCTCCCTCCTCTTTCAGAAGTTCAGTTGGCAGAAAATTCATCCAGTCTTTTCGTTTCTCTCTCTCCCGTTAGCCTTTTTAGCTGCTTTCTTAAACAGAGGTCCGGAAGGATGAGGATAAGGGAAGTTGCTCTATAGAAATGAAAGACAACTGGAGTGCTTTTGAAGCAGAGATAAAGTAAGAAAAGGCTTTTCTTCTAAATTTTATAATTGAAGGAAGAACGTAGAAAAGACATTGCTAGTTAAAAAAAGCTCTTTCCTCAATTATTTTCAAGAAAAATCTATTCGAGATGGAAAAGCTCACAGACACACGACGTTTAGTTCATAGGCAAGCATTCCAGCTGCCCCCACTGGGCCAGCAATTGCCCAACCAACGGATGACGTTGACAAGACAAATTAGGGAAGCAAACTGGGATGCTGAGGACCACTTTCCCCAGATGGCTTCACTTTCGCTACAAAGCTGCAATCAAACCTTTTTTCACACTCAAGAACTCATTTGGGCGGAAAAAACATTTTTTAAAAAACTAATTTTGAAGAAAGTTTGTCAAAATTTACTTTCAACACTCAAAAAATCATTCGACTTTTCATTCTTTTGAAAAGTAACTTCAATTGAAAAGAATAAGCTGTAGACGAGCAAATGGAATTTCCATATTTGTTCGGCTGACGCAGACGTGAATGAACATGTCAATGGCCGATTTGTTCATGTTCATCTGAAGCTTCATAAAACAACAATTTTTTTATGGCGACAAAAGAGGAAAGATGTAAACTCCGATGAATGTTTCCTTTTAGTTCGCCTTATTCAATGGCTATTAGCAATATAAGAGAAAACACGATTGAAAAGGATTATCAAGATAAAATACCAAATCTCTTAAAAGCTTCAAGCAGTCCAAAAATGACAATTCGCGCGGAACAGAAGTAGAAGATATAAACAATCATGAGTGCTAGCACTGAGCTGAAGTCATATAAAGCAACATACCTTTATGAAAGTGATAAGTTGTTGAAGACTGTGTCTGAGACGAAGTGCTCGGACAACGACGTTGTTGATGTTCCGTCATCTCTTCGTTTCAAATGAAGATATTGGATTATTTGGAGTATATGATATATATGTTATAAATAAACGACTAAGAAACCTGAAGAATGATAAAAAAAATTAAATATTAAGTATTGAGAGCTCATATGAGACAAGAAGAGACATCAAACACGACATGAAGCAAATGTGATTATTTCAACGTTTCGTCGACCAATAAACGGGATAGAAGAGCAATGATTGAATAAAAAACTTTTCGCTTTTCACAAAATCAAATAAGAGACTTTCTTGGAACATTATGAGAGATAAGAAAAAATAAGAAAAACAACCGCTTTTCATCTGCGAACAAGAGCAAATGAAAAGTTTACGTGAACGTGTTCACGTGAATTTCTACGGAAGCATGAAATACACGGTAACGTGAGTAGAGATAGAGAGAATAACATAGAGAGGAACAGAGGGAAAGAGCGAGAGAGGGAGATGAAAAGAGGGAGAGCAGGAGCTCAATCGATTTTCCTTTTAAAAAATTTGGAGAAAAAAGATTTTCACATAAAACTTAAATGAGATATTGGCAATAGAGCAAGTTTCAAAAAATAAGATTGAAGTTGATGAATTATATCAATAATGACATACAATAATAGATGTAAATGCAATCAATACAGAATATATATTTTGTGATAGAGGAATAACAGTTTTTGTGAAAGATTAGTTGACATTTGAATCGTCCTTCTTGCTCCATCGTCCATCTTCTTCTTCTCCTTTTTTTTATTCAGAATTGATGTAATTCTATATGATAGAAGATGACAGAAACATAAGATTTAGATGGAAAAATTCATGTGATAAGTTGAAATTCCGTTTGCCTTATTCATTGAAAAAAAGAGAAAAAAAGGAAAATAAAGAAACGGCAGGTGTTATTCCATGGAGGATTGATGAAAGCTTTACCAAACGGCTGAAGCAAAAAGGTAAACAGACCAAGACAATTCTTCAACAAATCTGGTGAAATATGTTATTGCAATGGAGACTTAGTAGACATGACAACTTCAAAAAAAAAATTGGCATAAAAAGCTTTGAAGAAAAAAGAGAAAATTTCATTGAAAGGAAATTGATCAAGATGAAGCTCATAATGAGTAATACGGATTCATATCATTCCGGTCAGTTCAATGCATTTTCCTATTCTTTGGAGATGAAACAAAAAGAAAAGTAAAAAAAAAAGAAGGAAAGAGAATAAGAAAAGAATAAAAGAGGGACAATGAAGGAGATACAGTTGGATTAACTGAGTGAATTTCAAATTAAAAATTCGAAAAATGTTGTAAATGAGGATAATTAATGAAAGAATGTGGTATAAGTGAGGAAATGGCCACAAAAATATATTATTGTCAAGACATGGAAGAAGGTCAAATAGTTGAAGCTGACTGCCCTATTAGGCTTGTAAAGCCTTCATTTCTTATTCGTTTTGAGCAGCTTCTATCTCTCTCCATCTGACTGATTGATCAGACAATAAGAGAATCTTGAGTATAAATGGAGAGATTTGTGAACGAAAAAGGAATAAATGTGTGAAAGAAGTATTGAGAAAGTCCAGATGCCTTCTTGAACCTTCTTCCGAAGCAAATTTTTCACCAAACTTTCCAAGAAACCAAAAGAGAAAGTGTGAGTGTGTGGGAAAGAGCAAAAGTTATTTTTTTCGTTAATAAAAATAAAAAAAAGAATTTCTACGCACATGCATACACACAGCAAATAACATGACGGATGCCAAAAATTCAAAAACCACTCAAAGGCTTCTGGATTCGTTCACAACTTTCATTTCAAACGCGAAAAATATAAATTTGAAGCTGATGAAGTGACATCGTCTATATTCATACAACAGCGTCAGTTATCATGAACTTGTGTGAAACAACAAAAAGTTTTCAAAAGGAGAAGAGAGAAGAACAAAATTATTTTTGTATGAGAAAGCTGTTAGGCCTCTGAATTCACAAGTAAGAAATTCGAGAAGTATTGGAAAGTGAATGAACAGAAAGTGATCTTCCAATTGATTTCCCACCTACTCATTTAACATCATCTCTTCTTTCCTTTTAAGCCTAATAAGCTTTAGGTTGAAATGATGAATACTACGAATAATATTGTTTCTTTTCTATTTCTCTCTCTCCCTCTCTCTCCCTCTCTCTTTCTCTTTCTCTTCAAATTATATTAATTAACGAATGAAAACATCACAAACAATCATATTATGAGCTTACAGAGGATTTCGCTTAAATATTCAACAAATCCAAGGATATGCCTTTTGAGAATATGAAAATTTCTATTCCATATTCATAATTTGCATATTTCGATTAATATCACGTCAAATATATTCCACGTCGAACATAGTTTACTAGAGAATGACGTGTGGAGTGGTTGCGTTCTCGGCTTCTCGTTCTTTTCCTCATTTCATTCTCTCACATTAACTCGCTCTTTTCTTTTTCTCTCTATTGCATTTGCCGAGAGTATTCTATATTCTGAAGCATTCCATTTCTAAGTAAAATCAATAATTTAACTTATACCTCATACATATCGTTAGATATACATGAACTCGTGCAAATTAATACTATGCATAGTTATTCAAGCAAGCATTCTTCCTAATAAAAAGAATAGAGAAATCGCTTAATTTTATGTAAGAAAAGAATATTTAAAGATAACCATATTCAACTTCAGTCGCAGGGACATGAGCAGTTTCATGAAGACGAAGCTTTAAAGGCTTTAATCCTTGTTTTTTTCGACAAAAAAAAGGAGGAAAACCTATGCTAGAAATAAGATATTCATACATACACAAAGTATAACATCGATATTATTCTGCTAAAAAGCTCATTTTGAGGATAATTAACTTCGTTTATCTCAAAATTTCAAATTAATTTCTATGTTTTCTATATTTCGTTCACCTGTTAATTGAAGAAACGAAATTGAAAACTGACAAGTATGCGAGAAAATGGATGGAATGTCAATGTTCCACAGACATATACAGAAGTAGATGCTTTCTATTATAGCTTGTGGAGAGAAAGATATATGACTGGAAATGTTAATTATGCTAATTTATCTTATATACTGCCTAAATGATTTTAAAAAACTTAGAACTTATGCAAAAGTTTGTCTGTTTGTAGTAAAGAAAAGAGGAAATAGACTTTTCTTTTTAAAAAAAAATAAGAAAATAACATCAATCATAGAAACGAAATGAGAATAAACAGAGGGAAGATGAGGGTAGAAGTAGAGAGGGAGGGTAACCAATGGAACGGAGGGAAGGGGGGGGAGGATAGGAGGAGCAGGACTAGGAATATGGAAAGAGACAAAACGAAATAGGAGAGAGTATAAAGAAAACAACCGTTCCGTTGTCAATCGAAGTGAGATTGAAGACAAAAGTTGCGTGAACATTTACGTGAAAGAAAAATTTGTGAAAAATATCCAAACGAGACGTGTCAAAATAAGAGAATGTGATCAGAGATGATATGGCATCCAGTAGTAGCAGCCGTCCCCTTCATCGAATATTCTGATAATATTTGCTTTTGCCTTTTTTTTTTTATTCATTTTGGTTTTCAGTTTTTCATTATGTCTCATGTTAATATGGAAGAGAAAGGACATTTTAAGATGTTTAGATGATATACATGTAGGCGTGTTAACAAAGATGTTTATTCCTTAAAGAGAGAGAATAGAATGAGAGAGAGAGAAGAAGAAGAAAGAGAGAGAGAGAGAGAGGGAAAGAGAGATTTTGCATGATAAATAGAAAATTCTCAAAAATTAAATATTTAATGAACAATTTAAAATATATTTCATTCCTATCCTTGTATATATATTTTAATTGAAAGAAATGTAAATTCATGCAAATGCGTGAATGACGTATGCTGTGGAAAAGTTCATTTGATGCTTAAATGAAGCTCAAACTCTCATGTGGATCCTCGTTTATCCCAATGTCGATAGTTAATGTGAAGAGAAGAATCTTGTGAATTTTGAATAAGTTCTCTCGTGATTTGCGTTTGAAGGCGACCGAATACAAACTCAAGTCACTTACTGATTGCTTGATGCCTCAATCGAATGTTATTCTCAAGTAATCTACGTAGATTTAAGGAGAGGAAGAAAAAAAAATTTTGGTGATGTTTTCGTATGAAAAAATAAAATAAAATTAGAAAATGAATGGAAACAAGCCAATTGGATCATGAAACTAACTGATCAGTAATGAAGAATAAGTTAGAGCTACAATGAGTGCTAACTAAAAACTAACTATAGTTCATAAAATCCTAGGGGTAGGGAGGGGTAGTGAATTTCCAGCAGAATGAGCACGTTTAAAATGGGTTGAGAGAAAGGTTGAAAAGGAGTAAAATGAGTGCGTGTGACTATAAGTGGAGAGTGCTATATGTATGAAACATAAGCAGAAGGTGGTATCAAAGTGAGAAAAGATTTTATGTTCAGTGGAATCAAGAGTAAAAAAGCTGAGTAAAGCAACGAATGTCTTTCGCAGGACAGTGGGCATTGAAGCCCGTTCTTCTAATTGACAGAAGAAAGCCAGATAGAGAGATGGCAAAAGCCTCTTCGTCTGTCTGCAGGACTTGGTAGTGAAGCCTTCTTCTCCTCCACCCCTTCAACACAGGGCTTTGAGCAAAGCAGCTGCTGTTTCCATCTTTAATCGATTGCTCGCACTCAGCTTCCTTTCAATATATGGAAATATTGCTTTGCAAGAGAGAAATTGAAGACAGGAGCTAAAGATTCTGAAGAACTGAAGATAGAGAGATTTAATAAGAGAGAGGGTGAGTAGAGAGAGAGAGAGTGAGAGATTGAGAAAAAAAGAATGAAAAGGAAAGAGAGAGAGAAAGGAAACATAACGATAGAGTTATAGAGAGAAAAGGAAGAGATGGGAGTGCGGCAACCGGAAGACTAAACCAAAAATAGTTATAAAGGGTTAAGATAGAGAAGAAAGTGGGCGTAGGATGAAGAGATTTGAAATCATTTCATTTATGATCTGATGTTTTCAAAGATTTGAGCACTTCTCAGACCTATCTCGTCTGATATCATATCCTTATTCAGATTCCCTGTGTGGTGAGGTCTGACAGCTGTAATTAGGCTGATCCATAATCTTTGAAATTTTATTTGAAAGATTGTTAACCAGTAGCTTTTTGTATTTATTACATGTTCAAGAAGAAAACCAATTCATTTGCTTTGATTATCTTCTTTGTTTTGATTACGATAGCTTTCCTTGCTTGTCGTCACATTGACGAAGTTTTCATTAAAGTTTTCAAAGTAAATAACTAAGAATGAATGTGGAAATTTTATTTTTTTTTCTGGTTAAAATATCTTTCAAGTACAGATCGAGAGGTATATTCTCAATTATTAAGCTGATCAAATGTGATTTTTTGTCGTCTTGTTCAAAAATTACAGCAAATATTTCCAGGTCTGCAGGTGTATCCAGCTGCACACAAGCCATTATAGCATGTTCCATATGGTGCTTGTCCTGGAAGAAGCGTTAAACTATGGTAAATAGGGTGAAAAGGCAAAAAAATGAAATTAAAAAATTTTTCTCGAAATTACCATTTGGGCAGAATGGACAACAATAATTGTTGGATGAGCAAGAGTATCCAGATGGACAACCCTTAAAATGTTTTTTATCTTTCTTCTTTTTCTTTAAATAACAGAAAAATTACATTTGTGCATAATCCACTTGTTCGACCATACTGGCACTCACAACAGTAATTTGATGTGGAACAAAAACTATTTCTACAAGCATTATTACTGCAAACGCTTAATGCTCCAACTCCTCCGCAAGCTCCTGCAAATTTTTTGAAATCATTATCTGTTATGCTAAAGCTATTTTCATCTTAATTAGCATATCAGATGTGAAAAGCTGTATACTACTGGTTAAAGTCATTTTCAATTATTGTTGAGCATAGTCCGGTTGTGTTGTTTTTCCAAATCTAATATTTAAAAAATAATAATAAAACATAGTTTACCCTGCCATTCAGATCCTGTTGTTGTACAGCATAAGCCGTTCAGGCATGTTTGGCCAGAGCTACAGCCGAAGTTCGATGAGCATCTCACATTGGAACGTTGACCATTAACACAATAAGCTTCAAGTATAACTGTTTTCTTATAGATCAAATATCAATTTACCGAAGCTGCTCAAATTCGGAGCCTGTGTAGCGGTTCGAGGCTTCGTACAGCAACAGTAGTTCGAACATTCAACAGACCTACCATTTGCATATGGTGTACACTGAAATAATATGTTTTTTCTTTGATTGCTCTCGGTGCTTTCTGGAACCACAACTATAACAAATCTTTGTTTGAATGTTTTGATGGGAAGTTTGTTCACAACTACAATCGGATGATGTCAAAGGACGATAACATAATTGTTTTCCATTGGAAAATTAATTTTCGTTATGATTTACCAAGATCACAAAGAAACTCGTTTAAAATGGAGAGAAACAAAGTTTTTCGATGAAGCTGTATTCGTTTTTGTTTCCACCTCTTCCCTTTCACACTCTCATTAGTTATAATTACTTCTCTCATTGTTCCGAAGGACTGATCCAGTTTCAATTTTAAAAAACGTTTGGCCTATCTGTTATTATAACAGATAGAAGATCAACTCTAGAGCATTAGCTTGAAAAAATTCAACAATGTTTATTTGTCGATCTTCCTTTTGTATTATTACAGAATGAACATACCTGGTAATCGTAATAACATCCAACTCCTATTTTCGTACCGCCATTCAAGCATTCTCCCCTGCTGGCATCATTTTGTGCACAAGCTGAATTGCATGTTTATTAAATTCAAACAATCCGAGACTCATTACGAGAAGCTGAATAAAATTGGTTTGGATAGATTCCACAGATATAATAATATGACTGTCGTTTTGATCTGACAAGTTCAGTAGATTCACACGTTCCAAGAACGAATACGAAACTTGTGAAAAGTAGTGTTTGGAGCATAGCACAGCAATTTTGGATCACTTCAGGAAAAATGAATGAGGAGCTTCACCTCTGCCAATCATGGATTTCATTTTTTGTTTGATCATCTGCTTCCATTGACTCACAAAAAGCTTAAATTCGGAATACAATGGAGGTTCGGGAAAATTTAGAAATAATCATTTGGAAAACTCTCAAAAAAAATTTCGTTCATCAAGTGACATTTTTCAAGCTAAAAAGCTGGTTCCCTATTTGGATTATAACATGAATGAAGCCGTTCTCTGTCAGTATACATGATTTCCATATTGAAAAAGAGAAATTTCTCTAAACGATATATCATTAATCACATAAAGTCCGAAAAAATTGAAAATGAACGCTGCCTGATGGTTTCGATGGAAAGTGCTTCGCGTAAATTAATAATTGTAAGAAAAGTGCTGAGAAAAAACAAGCTTTCTTTTCAAGACATTACTTGAATGATTGGAAAGCATTTGGTTAACTTCTACTTTCTAAACAGTACGCATTGATTGTTCGTTAGCAAAACTTGTACATCCCTTTCTGAAAATCTATGAGAGCAGCATTACATCATTGAGCAAATCACACTGCTTTCAGAAGAAATTGTTACTTCCGTTTACCCATTTTTTGAAGTGTACAATTTTTAGAGGATATGATTATAGCAACCGTTCTCTTTTCATTTTAAATGCTAAAATGAGATGATAACGTCATACCAACACGTCATTTAGCTGTTTTCATTTCTCTTCTTATTTTCGTGTTGAATGGTTGCATTATCTCTTCCATTTCGATTCAGAACGTTCGGCCTTCCAAGCGATTCCTTTTGAGAACAATTTTCATTCATGAAAAGTTCACTTTATTCGAACCATGCTTCCCTACCATTCTTCAGTTACAGCAAAAACAAAAACAAAACAATTTGAACAAATTTTCTTTACTTTTCAATGATACCAGAAGCTTGCAAAACTAATGGTTGTTTAAAAGCAGATATAAACAAAATGAGTGCACTTCAACGAATCAAGAAATGATAAAGACAAATCTAGATTTCTCCTGAAGTGCAATTAAGTTACAATCAACAAAATGAAAAGTGGAAAACTAAAGAAACCGTCTTGAATTATACTAATAAAATACACAAATGGGACAGGAGATAGCTTTGATGCTTCACGAGTTAGTTGAAACTAAAGAAGGCCCGTTGGTGGAGCACCTAACCGAAATTGGGTAGAAAAAATGATGACTACTCAAGAAGGGACTGGAAGTTCGTGAGATGAATCAGGTATAATAAGCATAGAATTGTTGCAAGTTCCTTATATAGGTTTCGTATCTCAGGGGAAGGATAAATGACGTTTAAGGAGCGAAAATAAGTCAATGACGACAACCAAGGCGACGATAAAAGCATGAAACCAGTGGAAGATACCCATGTTCGACTAGCTCTGCTCTTTTGGACGACAATGACAAAATGCGTTGCGGGAAGGGCCAAAAGCAGTACCCAGAAACGTATTTACACTGGGTACGAGGTAGTATTGCGCCGTGCACTGCACGATTTGGTTTACCGTTACTCTCAAAACTATCACAATTGGGAGTTACGGTTCAAATTTAACTGTATCCTATGCTTATGAATCGGTACAAATATGGAAAACAGAACAGACATCTTAACTTTCTAAGAAATGGGAGGCAAAAACAAGAATCGAAAGAGAACTATATTACATAGTTAACCATTCGATAATTAGTATGATTTTAGAGTGTTACAGATAGAAAACACCAGATAGTATTCAAGATAAGTTGCATAGTTAAGTATGATTATAATCATATAATTAACATGGTTAAAGAGCAATATAGAGGATTTAGAGTCTGATATGGTTCTGTTCATGTTATTCGACATATTCTTCACACGAAATACAAAACTCGGGGACAGAAAGCTACCAAAAGAATTTCGAAAACGGTACCTAGATACGCTGCGATGAGGTCCACACAATATTAAATATTTGAAATTTTTCTAGGATCGTGTTCAGTTGTGTATTGTTTGAGGAATTACAGTAAGAATCGTCTTAGATAACCGGGAATACCTACACCTGAAGAAAGGCAGTGATATTTCCAGCATATGCCAAACTACAGCCGTTAGCTACAATACATATCTAATGATGATGACAGGTATAAAACGTTATAACATATCAAAAGGTGGTTGAAGGGCGGTCATTAGAGAGCTAGAACCATTACTTTAATGATGGAGGATGAGCGCCGAAAGGACCGACCCGCGAGCCAACATCACAGTATATAAGGATGAGGGAGGACATGTAAATAGGACAGAGATTCGTAGAAAGGAAGAAAAGATTTCAAATACAAGTGGAGATAGCTACGAACCTTCTAAGACTAGGTAAGCGGCTAAATCCAGAGATGCAAAACACCCAACCGTCGGGAATAAAATAAAGGTTATACAAAGAAAGCTACATACACTACAATACTACCAATTAGTCAGACGTCTATCGCTGAAAGCCCATGGTCATCATAGGGGTGTGAGGATTGTGTACAGGGGGATGATTTCGTTGGTGACTTGTTGGTATTATGGCGTACTGAGCCATGATTGGTACATGATCCGATGGAACGTGAGGATGAGGAAAACCTAAGGACCGACAGATATTTGTTTAGAACAGAAAAATCATACCAAGTATTTTGTTGGAAGCTATCCACGACTGTTCAAAGGACCCCAAGATACCGAGGCGAGCCAGTGATTGAGGTGTCGAGAAGATGTAATCGATCATACCCTTGAACTCGAGTCTGGAATATCTCATTTATTACCAATACTGATATGAACACGTACGTATAGTTCGTGAATGGAATCGTGTTCTGATCTACAGCTGATTCCAAACGCAAATTATGCATTAAATTTGTAGGATCCGAAGAAGATGAGAATTTCTCCAAGGTGTTGTCATCTTTGAATCCCTTTAAGTCCTGATGTCCTCTGAACACTTTTCCACGCGATAAGAATTCAAAAACACCTAAAATGAGTCACGCTTAAGTGATTAATAGGAATTGAAAAAGGAAGAAAGAGAAAACGAAGAACTTCGCGAAAAACAATGATCAACGAACACAGTTGACGACATAGCTTTCTTCAGTACACGAGCGCTCAACAGAGAACCCCTAACAACCGGAATTCAAAAAAAAACTTCATTTTTTTCAAAATGGACCATATCCCTCTCATGAATCTCGTCATTTTCGCGAAAAGTGCGACACGACATGCGCAGCCAAATAAAGAGTGCAAACAGAAATAAGAGAAAAAGAAAGCAGATGTTGCCGCATATGAGATAGGACACGCGCTTCAGCAGAAGGAACGTGAACAAATAGTTTGACACCGACCCAGCTCATCTTCCTTGACGTATATTTAAAATTTGCTCATTATACAGCAAACACTTTCATCATCTTTTCAAAATATTAATGAATAATTTCTTTTTCAATAGAAAGCTGAGAAAAGAAAACAGTTGGGTCGATGTAAACTGTTGTCCACAAAGAAGAGACAATAAACTGATAATATCGTAAGAAAAACTAACCAGATTCTGGGAGAGAGTTCAAATCGCCGCATATCAAAACAGGTGTTTGCTGTGGCGTAATGTGAAACTGTTCAGCGACCTAGAACTGGTTCGTGAACAAAATCAAAAGAAATTATAAGCTAGATACCTCTTCTACAAGTTTGTACAATTCATGTGCCAGCATCATCGTTTGTACCAACTTAACATCGCAGAACTCTGGATCCCAATGGATGTGTGCTGTACATACTACCAGTGGGCTCCCAACTACATTATCAGTAGCAGTCATTCCAACTCGCCCTGAAAAATCTCAGAGCTCAAGGTGTCCGATTTATAAAGCATACTGTTTGGATAAACGTTCTCCCGGATTTTCAACACAGCACACAGAGCAATGTTATCACGAGGCATAACTCTGTTAAGCATATGCTCTGAGGAGGATGCTTTCTTCATGACTAATGAAGTGAACTCGATAAGATGTTGCTTCTCCATTTCAAATCTGAAAGAGATGTTTTATTTTATTTTACAGATCCGTCTCTAGGATTTTAGTTTCCATTAATTTTCTATTAGATTCACGGAGGGAGACAAAAACCCTCAAAAATTGCCTACGATAGACACGCTTTAACAAGACGACGTCACTGTCTTCTTCAGAAGGTAACGGATTCGCTCACGAAAAAGGATCTACACGAAAACGCTCACAACAAAAGGTGTTGACGGAACGCTTCTAGAGTTTGCTTTGCAATTCGTCCTCACCACACGCCTCATCATACTCCTCTTTCGCGACAACATACGCTAGACACGTAGTGCTAACAATATAAAGGAATATTCTTCAAAGAATGAGAGAATACAAAAAAACCATTGAAAACATTAGAAAAAAACGAAAAAACTCACTTGTCCGCCTTCCAGAAAATGGCACAGCCGTCCACATACTTCCGTTCTTCTTCACTCATGGTTTTGGCTCTCGATTTAGGTGAGAAGATACCATTATATCCGAAGCTTTTGAGCTCAGGTTGGAAAAGCAGATGGAACTGTTCAGTCTCCACTTCCTATAAAGTATAAAATAGTTTGATACTGCTATAGACTTCAAGTGTTCGTGAATTGGATGGAAGAAAATAGAAAAAAAACAATTGAAAATTTCCGTTCTCACTAAATTGCTATGAGGATGAATACTCACTTAGTAATTATAACAGAAAAACTGGATAAAAACAGAATGAGGAAAACACAGAAAATAAAACGAAAAGCTAACCTGCAGCGTTATGATGTCAGCCTCGTAATTCCGTATCTCTTTCATGATGTTCACTTTTCGATATTCCCAATTTAAAGCCCAAGAAGGACAATACGAGTATTGATTAACGGTTGCATACTTATCGCAAAGAACATTGTAGCAAAGTACTGTGAATGTTGCTGAAAACATTAATATTATACTGTAATTCCGAAAGAATTGAGGTCTAAAAACATATTTGTCAAACTGTTTCTCAACTACAAAATATTTTTTATACATTCAACCTTGATCACAGCACTCGTGTTGCTTCTGACAACCTGATACAAGGCCTCTTACTTTGGACTTTAAGGCAAGGATTAAAATTACGCGAACGCCATGGTCATCCGCAGCTTTTACATTCGACTAGCCCTACTTTTAGCCTAGAAGCTTGACAACATAGAAACACGTTTGGCTTTGTTCCACCGTGAAGCCCATACATGATAGGCATGGAAAACTTCGAAACAACATAGTAAACATAAAACTTAACAATATGTTTTACAACAAACAGAAGAAACATTTGAAGTGTTGAAAGGATATTAAATAAACAAACCTATAGCTCTGTCAGGATCCGCATGCCTTATCATAACCCAATTACGATCAGGAGGTGGTTGTGTATTAACTGAAAACATAATATTAAATTTGATGTATTTACATAAATTTTATGCAATGTTTGTTTTATTCATCAACTATACAACCTTTTTTCTTCTAATCCCTAACACCGTTCTTCTAAACAGACAAGCACACACACGCGTTTTCTAGTTCTTAGAACACCTATCGAAGAAACGCGAATCGGACCGAAAGAGGAGATAAAAAGGGAGTTGCTTTGAAAGTGCGGCTTCACGATCAAGCAATAACCTTCAAAACCCAGAGAATTAAGATATTTATCCCTGTTCAAAGAAAAATCACCGAATCATTCTTTGTGGTCTCCCATTATTAACTCAGTTTAGAATGATTTCGTTAACATTATGACAGGATAGTATTTCGAACTAAAATCAATTTCACATGCCATGTCCGGAAAATAATCCAGCCTTATTCCTCTTGAAGCAAATGCGCAAGTCAAGGGCGAGCCTTTTACAAAGAGAAATAGAACGAATTCATGAGAACGATTTGCACGAGTCTAGGTCATTGGGCCAGGGCTCCTAATATTTTTCTTCACCCAAGGACATCTAACAATATCGCCGCAGATTTAAGCTTATAATGACTACTCATCGGAATTGCTCAAAGTCATAAAAAATGAAATGGTCGTATCTTCAAGATTGATTTAAGTAAAGGTCAAACCTCTGATAATTGTCAAACTAATTTGGGAGAATAAAAAATAAAACTATACCATTATAATCATTTGAACTGTGAAGCGAACGTGAATAGGGCATAAAATCTTCTGCTTCTTGACTAGATATGGATGTGCTCAATGAGCTAGGAGAGGATATGGAAGTAGCGCATAGATCAGCGGTTAATAATGAGAGCGTATCAACTGAATCGGGGGAGGACGGTTCCGAAGACAGTAAAGACGAATGACCCGTTTTATTACTGGACGATTGAACAGGATACACAGTTAGCTCAGGAGCGGTGTGATATACAGAAATATAAGTATGCTGTCTGAAGTCGTTATAATCTCGAGACATATAATACGGTTGATTGGGTTGCTCATATGGCGGATAATAAACATGACACTCCTGGCGGCGTGGTTGGAGAATTGAAAAAGGTAACGATCGTCGACCAGATGATGGAATATAGAAATGACTAGCTTCGTTAGCTTGCATCACACCAGATCCCATTCGAGCTAACTCAACAAAGTCACAAACTCTGGGAAGTTCAGGAGGACCATTTCTTTGAGTTCCATTTATACCGCTTCGCCGGTTCTGAAGTTCAGCCCAGCGTTTAGCTCTACGAGCAAAACGTTTCCCGGTCCCTTTACTTCCATTAGAGCGTTCCTTTGAAGAATTAGAAGATGATGAAGAATATGATGTAGATTCTGGACACGATTTTTGTCTCTCCGTTCGGAGGTGCCCGTGTCGAATATAGTCCGACATATCGGGCACCAACTTCTTAGTGGGACATTTTATGTTCACAGAAATCACAACAGTTATGAGAAAACTAACGATAATGAAGAAAATGCACTAAGTTACACCAGAGCAGCAGAAATGGGAAAATTCAGTAGACGACGCGCCAATATGCAATAGTAGAACCCTGAGAGGCGGAGTCTAGTCGTTAAGTGGTAGAGAACGCGGCAACAGCTGACCGCGTCCCGCCCCTTACGAGCGCCACACACAAGCCATGACAGACAAGAGAAACTATTCAAACCCAATAAGGCTATTCAGGGAAAAGAAAGAAAAAAGAAGCAAATAAACACTAAACAAAATCACTTACAGGAAGAAAGAGAATTAAACCAGAAGGCGATATAACAGGGAAAATAAGTTTGAAAGTGACAAATCAATAAAAAAAGTAATAAGAATAAAAAACACTCACTGGCTAAATGGTCGAGGAGGAAGTGAAGAAGTTTAGAAGCTCCATTAGACTCATGATAGATCTTGTTAATCTCGGGAGACAAAGGATTGCCTTGTAAGCCTGAAAATGTCACATGAACAGATTTTTTTATGAAATCGGAAAGAAAAATTGGTTGCCAGCATATTAGCTGACGTTCATTTATAATTATGAATGCGATAACTAATTGACACCACAACTAAAAATTATTTTTTCCTGATAGTATTATCGCTGGTTCAGAACAACCGCGTGATAGTAAGCAAATATAGTATTGAGTAATCAATTCAACGAAAACACTTTCTCTCAAGACTCTATCACGATAACTAACAAAATCTTGAATATATCAACTACGAACCTAACGTTTGGATCCGAAAGAGTTTGCCTAGCTCATATGGGAGGACGCGGAGCATATTATGGTTCAAATTTAAATGGCATAACGTGATCATGTCACCTAGTTCAGCTGGTAAAGTACGGATCTTATTATGCGACAAATCCAGCATAGTCAAGTTTCGGAGCTAAAAGAGCAGGAAGGAATAGATTTGAATGTCAACGAAGCATACCTGAGATATTTCCTGAGGAACCTTTGTCAGTTGATTGCCATTTAAGAACAATGCAGAAAGATTTTGAAACCTCCACAAAGAGTTTGACAAGTTTTTAACTCGACCTATAATGCGGAAAATGTTAATCCAAGAGAGAAAACTTCAACGAACCATGGATTTCAAGCTCAGTCCATCGAGCAGGCTTTCCTTGAGCTATTTCTTCTTCGGTGAGAAGACGATGAGTTCTCGTTAAACCTTAAAGAAGTAACATTGCATTATAAGCATGGAGATAAATTGTAGAATACAATAATTGTTGACAATGAGGAGTATTAATATTTGATGACAAAAGCAACTCACCGTTAGTAAGAGTTTTCTTCCCATCATTCTTGTCAGTTTTCATCAAAGGTAAACCTGCTCCACTCCCATAATGTTCCTTATACTCCCCATTCTCTTTTGACTCCCCGTTTTGCATTCCGCAAGTATGGGAGCCTGAAAAAACGGAAGCGTTAGAAGCACAACCGCTCCACAAGCGACGCGGCAAAGAATAGCTGTCAAGCAGCAAATCGATAATTTAACGACTTCCAATAATTGATGCTTGTCAGTTCAATACAATGAAATTAATAAAAACAAAGAATAAAAATAAAAAAAAAAAATAGAAGAATCAAGAGAAATACAACTATATCGACCTCTTCTTTTCATTCAAAGTTGTTATCGTTTTCCCCACCATATTCAAACAATCGTGTCGGGACTACGGCTTATTAGAAAATTTCCCCGTCACCACTGTAACTATGCGATTAATAAATATATTTTAATATTATTATTTTTAACAATAATATCAGTTTTTTGCTTCAAAGTTTTCTTAATTATAGGGTCTGTTTGGTATTTGTATGGCAGATCCTAATTTTGGGAACAAAACAGGAGAGTGGCCTCCGAAACTCGGTTATCCACAGACATCCAATCCTTATACATACGCAAATCAGATTTCTAACAGCCAACCTCCTCCAAGTTTATCAAATAATAGGTAATAATTGCGTTAATATATGCTTATATGTTATTCAAGTATACAACCTTCACAAACATTCGTACCACCAGCTTTTCCATCTTCCCAAGCCAATGGAATTCCATCTTTTCCTGCTCAAGGACCTACTCGCTTGGTATGTGAATCGTTTGAAGTTTTTTGTTTTTGTTTTTGATAATGTAACCGCTCCATTCTGCCAAAAAAAAGTATTTTTAGAAAAGAAAAATTAATTCTTGTTATGATTAACTCTCACCTTCTGTTTGGAAGAGTTTAATTCCGAGCTATGCTTTCTTGACTTAAACATATCTTAGACAGTTTTTCTGGAAAAATAGTTTACGATAGCTTTTCATGTTTTCGAAAAATCTGGTTAACAATTGTTACTTTACCGGCATTATAACTTGTTATAGCAGAGTCACAGCAGAGCTGAACCGCTGAATTTTCTTAGAATGCATTGAACCTTTGTTTGATCTCCAATCGGAGTAGAATGTTGGTTTGATCACTTTGTTCTCTATCGTGTGAAAGAAGCATCTTTGTTTTCCGTTCTACTTCCCAAGAATCTTTGTTATAAAAATATTCAGTGCGGTTAGTGATACAGATAGTAGAGAAAGATAGAAGAAAAGTATTGATATCATAGTTTCCTTCACAATACAATTTCTAATGAGTTATTCAAGATGTTTATATTAGAATTTGGGAATGAGTTATAAGTATCAACTATGAGAGTAACGTAATAATCAAATAATACTTTTACGTCTAATATGCTATCGCACGTGTGATCTTCATTCTCTCTAGCTTTAGACATCTAAAATTTTCGTTATTAAAATCAACAATGTCTAACAGGTTCTACTCAAATTTTTAATAACAACTTCCAGGCTCAACCTGGAGTAACAGCTTCCCAACCACCTTCTGCATTTAAGCCATATAATCAACAAAACTCTGCACCTGCACCTCCTAATGGAAGTGTGGTAAGACCGGTAAGCTTTTTTTCATAGCTTGATCATGTCGCTTACCTTCACATTGATTTCCAGCGACCTCCACCACCTGGCCCGGCTCAGCCTAATGCTCCGTTACAACATCCAGCGTCCGCACCAAATGTCCCACAGGCTGCGCAATCAGTAACTGCCATTTGAAATACGAGTTCTCATTTTAGTTTACAGACATTTTCCGCGCCTCCCATGCCTGGCATGAATACAATGCCTCCAAATCCTGTATCACAATTCGCAGCACCTCCACCAGCCATGAACTCATCTTACTCTGCACCACGAAACGCTTACGCTCCACCGGTAGCTTTTCCTCCGAATACAGCAGAGGTAGCCATGTCCCAGAATGCTACCATCAGTGCTCCACAACCTGCTCAAGTAAGTGGTTTATACCAGTTATGCGAAATGTTATCATGTACATGACAATATAGAAAACTTGCAAATTGATAAGTTCTTATTCAATATTTGTAGGCTGCTATGTACAATCCTAATCCCCCAGTCATGAATGCTCAACCTTCTTATGTGAATCCAGGTATATCATATACATCTAAAATCCTACAATAACAGTTTCAGGTTTCAATCCCAGTAATACAACTCAAAATGCTCCCACCTACGGGGCTCCATACCAACAGCCGAACTCTTACCCCCAAGGAAATAATGTCGGATATGGTACACAGCAGCTTCAACAAGGTTTCAATCAGATGGTATGTTTTTTTACTACGAGCTTTGATCATAATTGTGTTAAGAACGTTTCAAACCAAGGCGGTTGGAATGGACAAGCCCCTAATGTGGATTTGATGACTGACAGAAATGTGATTCATCAATTCAATGAAGAAGTTGCATATGAACTTCCTCCCAATATGGCGAACAGTCAAGCTAGAATTGACACGGGGTGAGTTCTACTTCTTATTACGATGTATTATTTTTGCTTCTGAAGTGTGTTCCGCAGTACTTTGAATGCTGTTCCTCAAACTGAAGAGATCTTGAAGAAGAGTCGGTTACCATTTGGCTTGACTTTACATCCTTTCCGAGATATGAAGGTGGTTCGACATTCACTTGCAGTTTTTATTTCAATCTTCCAGAACCTCAATATAATTCAAACTTCTGTTATCGTGCGATGTAAATATTGTCGAACATACATAAATCCTTTCGTGCAAATGCCTGACAATCGTCACTGGAAATGTAACTGTTGCAATAGGCTTAACGAATGTAGGTTATCTCGAATTTCAACTACTATACTTTCATTTCAGTGCGCGACGATTTCTGCTGGGATCATGTCACAAAGACTTTTGGTGATCCCGTTCATCGCCCGGAAATACAGCACGCAACTGTGGAGTTTATAGCACCATCAGAGTATATGGTTAGTACTTCTCGTTCATGTTTTTTTTCTAATTCTGCTTGCTCTTTCGTTTTTGCTGTAGATTAACACTTTATGTTTTAGCCTGTTCGGAAAAACTTAGCAGGTGTTAATGAGGTTAGTTGTTAGATGGCGAAATGCCACTGCAACTTCTGTTTCGCATGGCTTTTTCATTTCTGTCCCTGTCTTTGTTATACTTTATCTTAATAATTTTTTTTCTTCCAGTTGAGACCTCCACAACCCGCTGTTTACGTTTTTGTTATCGATGTTAGTGCTCCTGCCATTGAGTCTGGTAATGAGTTTTATTTGTTTCTATCCCTAATGCTGAATTTATGTAAGGTTATCTCTATACTTTATCCGAGCAACTCTTAATCAACTTGGATGTATTACCTGGTGATGATCGAACACAGGTTGGTTCAACTAATATATTAATTATCTATCTATCCGTCCATTTAGCTTGCCTTTATTGCTGTCGATTCCAGTATTCATTTCTTCCAATTCTCTTCTACCGGTAACCTTCCTCCTAAGCAACTAATCGTAGATGATATCGATGGTAAACATAACTTCTTAGTTTAATATTCATTAATTTTGCATCTTATAGAAATGTTTTTGCCTACAAACTCTGGTCTACTAGTTTCCTTAAAGAAAAACAAAGAGGTTTTCATTTTCATCTAAAATTTATGATATTTTTTTTTGCCTGCAGAGGGTACGAGCTTTTATTCAACAAATTCCAACAATTTTCGAAAAGCCGACTAGCTCAGTTAATTGTTTGGGAGCTGCTCTCAATATAGCTCATGAGCTCATTGTGAGTGTTATTGTCGTTATGAGTTCTTCATGCGAAAATTTAGGCGGATATTGGTGGAAGAATAAGTTTGTTCCAAGCTACGCTACCTTCTAATGGTCCAGGAGCTCTCACATCCCGAGAAGACCCTAATCAAAGAGCGGCTCCAGTTAGTGATGCAACGATATCCTTAACACTGGTTTTTTTTAAAGGAAGTTCAAAACTTAGGACCTGCTAACGACTTCTACAAACGAGTTTCACTTGAGTGTACAGGTCATCAAATCGCTTTGGATTTGTTTATGTTCAATAGCCAGTATTCGGATATCGCTACTTTATGTAAGTTCTGATAATAATTTGTTTATATATGTTCACATCTCAGCGGAAGTTGCAAAGTTTTCAACTGGGTGCGTCTATTATTTCCCTAATTATCACTGTCTGAATGATACTGTTCAAGTAAGCTTACTACCACGGTTCGTATACATATATACACTCTTTTGCAGGTGAAGAGATTCGAGAAAATATTGAGTAGATATTTAACTAGAAAGATAGGTTTTGAAGCCGTTCTCAGAATACGTTGTTCAAGAGGGTTAGGGCTATCTGCCTTCTACGGTAATTTCTTCTTGCGTTCGACGGATTTGTTAGCTCTCGCAAATGTTAATCCTGATTCTGCCATTGCTGTGCAGGTAAACGACGACCTCTCGCTTTCTCTATCAATTTTTCATAGGTCAATATGGAAGAGAAGCTTGGCCCTACAGTATCGTTCCAAGCAGCTCTTCTTTATACCTCTAGTAAAGGAGATCGACGCATTAGAGTACATACTATATGCTTACCTACTACAACAGACCTTAAAAAGGTTTATTCTTCGTTTGATGTGAAAGCTGCGATCTCTTTGTTAGCGAAAATAGGTCAGATTTGTTTTTGAGCTCAGAAATTCAATGATAAAACCGTAGGTGTGGAGAGATCGATGACTGGAAGTCCACTATCCGATTCACGCGAGGCTATTGTTAATGCTGTTGTTGATACTCTGGGTGCTTATCAGAAAACATGTGCAGGAAGAGGAAATCTTTTTGCGCCACGTGAAGGCCATTTGCGTATGTACCCTCTTTTTGCCCTGTCGATGCTGAAACATGTAAGTTCAATAGATTTCCTTCCCTAAATCAATCTCCGTTTCTTAGAATGCTTTCATCGCTGGAAGAAGCATACGTTTGGATGATCGAGTTGGAGCTATGTTGAACTTGAGGTTTTCACCTCTTGAACAAATTCTATCAGAGTTTTATCCTAAGTTATATCGAATCAATGAAATCACTCAGGTAACATTCAATCTTTGTTATGTTTCGTGACAATCTGTTGCAGTTTGGAAACAACGAATGGCCTCCATACCTCCCTCTTAGTTTCGAACATATCAACCGCGACGGAGTTTACTTTATGGAAGCTGGCTCATCTTCTTACCTGTATGTATCTTCATCGTCAGATCAAAACGTAGTAAGCGACTTGTTTGGATGTCAGTACTCACAAATTGGAGAGGTATGGTTATATTGAGACACTTCTAATTTATGTTAAATTGCAGACGTTCACCGAACTGTCAAACCCTATGTCGGAAAAGTTTTTTGCATTCCTCAAGCATGTTAGCAGTCAAAAGTTTTATTTAGGACCTGTCATAATAATCAAGTACGTTACCGTGGCTGATATTTCATGTAAAATTGTTTTGCAGAGAAGATTCTCCGAAGCGAGAACTATTCGTTAGAAAACTCATTGACGACCGAAGCGAGTCCTCACATTCGTACATTGAGTTCTTGCAGCATATCAAACGTGAAATTTCTAATAACTAATGCTGACTTATTAATTCTATAGTACCTTTTGATTAATATTATAAAGATCATGGGTTCACCTACTGTTCTTGCCCTTTGATTCAAATTAGTTGTACCAAAGACTAGCAGTTTTTGTGTTTCAAGTCTGGTATGTCTACCCACCTATCGACGGGGAATAACACATTGCTCCCTATGACACTTTCATTATTTATTCTTTTTTTTTATTTTTAAGTTGATTGGTATGAAACTGTGATTTAATTATTCGATAGTGGTCAATACTGCATCTTTCTCCTGCTGATTCTATTAAGGTTACTTAATAAATATTATCAGCTCTGCACGTTTTAGGGTTCAGCTCTTTATTTATTACAGTTCGCATTGTTTTTTTTCAACATAATGAAGTCTGTTTTTACCAGTTTTGATTTTAAACATGCAGTAGTAATACCACTTTGGAATAGATGAAACTATCGTATAAATACAAGCTCAAACGGCGCTCGAACCTAGGCTGGAATGTTTCAAACAGCTCGAGATCAGCTCGAGCTTATCATGAGGAATAGAAGAACGCTGAAGTTCTAAAACTTTCTCGTTTCGGAAATGAATGAAAACGACTAACTGCAGTTTGTTCTCGACTATGCAAGATGGCAAGCCGAACTTTGCCAGGTATAAGTGGAAAAGCATTAAAGGTCTAATGCGCACAACATTTACTTTCCACGCAACTTTGCGTATAATCAGGACAAATTATTCATTATGAATATATCATAAGAAGAAGCCTATGAACTTCTGTATTATGAGTTGAGTGGGCCAACCTTCTTGTAAATTTCAAATATTGTGAATTGATACTATTTTTCTTGTTTCGTTTCAACAAGGATCGCTTCATAATACCATTTCAGTCATGTTGAGGAGTAAATTCCATGAGAGAAAGTATGCTAAGAAGAAGGATAAGTTAAAGCAAATGGCCGAGCTTACTGCTCGAGCCGAAGTGCTTAATAGAGAAGAGGTAGTTTAAGAAGCTCCTTGAACATACTAAATCTTGTTTCAGGAAGGTTTCATTGAAGCTGATGAAGGAGAATTGACTCATACCATACGACAGACAGATATTGCAAATGCAGTAGACTTGGCAAGTGCTTCAAAGGTATGCATCCTATTTTTGATGTAAATGATGATATGCATTCCAGCATTTTGATTTAAACCTGCAGCAATTTGGTCCATACAAATTAGCTTATACCAATAACGGTAGACATTTATTACTAGGAGGAAAAAAAGGTCACATAGCCTCTCTGGATTGGCAGACAAAAAAATTACATTGTGAAATTAATGTTATGGAGAATATCCGAGACGTATGGTAAGTAGCTCTTGATTATACCAGCATTTTAAGTCAAACTATTCCTTATTTCAGTTGGTTGCATACGGAAAATCTTTATGCTGTTGCCCAAAAACATTATACTTATGTGTACGATAATACAGGAACTGAGTTGCATTGTGTCAAGACATTACCAGAAGTTAACAGTCTGGAATTTTTACCTCGCCATTTCTTGCTTGTCGCTGGAGTACGATAGAGAATCTATAATACCTATATAACTTCGGATTTCAGTCTAAAAATTCATATTTGAATTACTTGGATGTATCTATCGGGCAAAACGTTGCTTCATTCTGTACGAAGTCTGGTTCTCTTGATGTTATGTGTTCAAATCCTGCAAATGCTATTATATACACAGGCCATGGAAACGGTAATTAGTTATAGAAACAATGTGTGTATATTTTGCATAATTTCAGGAACTGTTTCTCTATGGTCGCCAAATGATAAAGAACCTCTTGTGAAGCTGTTATGCCATCCTTCTTCTGTTCAAGGTTTAGCTATTAATGACACAGGTACATTCATGTACACAACAGGATTGGACCGAAGACTTAGGTATGCAAAACTGTCCGCTTACTCGAGGATTTTTTTTATTATAGGGTGTGGGATGTTAGAATGTATAGACAACTTCATGCTTATTCTTTACCCTTCGGACTCTCTCATGTCACTGTCAGTCAAAGAAATGTAGTTGCTTGTGCTATTGGAAATACAGTTCAAGTAAGAAGATCATTTACTTCAAACTTCATCATGTTGCTTTCTAGGTTTTCAATGATACTCACTTGGGAACAACTAAAGAGCCTTATTTAGTGCATAGAGCTCCTGGACCAGTATCAGATATAGAATTTGTACCATACGAAGATGTTCTTGGTATTGGACACTCTAATGGGTTTACCAGTATGATTGTACCAGGTTATACAATTCATGTCTAGCTATCTAAAAATAGTTTGATATTCAGGATGTGGTGAAGCTAACGTTGACACCCTCCGTGCCAATCCTTACGAAACTAAGTCACAAAGGAAAGAAAGAGAAGTCAAACAACTGTTGGATAAAGTTAGTTCCGGCTTTTGATGATTGGGAATTTCTTTTTCAGCTTCAACCTGATCTTATCTGTCTTGATCCAAACGACATTAACAGAGTTAATGAAACTCTCCTGGAAGAAGTCATGGAAGAAAGGAAAAAACTACTTTATGTTCGTCCTGTGGACATTAAGTACACACCCAAGCATAAGATGAAAGGAAGATCTCAAGGAAAGCGCTTGGTTAGTTTTATACAAGAAGAATTTATTTTTGTTCTTGTTTCAGGAGCACAGGAAGAATACCGTCAAAGGTGAAATTAGACTGGAACGTAGTAAGAACTTGGAAATGGTGGAAAAAGAATTCAACGTGCGAGGAGGAGCAGAAAAATCGGAACCGCCGAAGAAGAAAAGTGTTTTGGATCGGTTTGCAAAAAAATAGATTTATATTTTTGTCGTTATTGTTGTTTCTTTTGTTACAAATTGTTAATTGTTGGAATGTAAATTTCTTTAAAAGCTGTTCATTCTATTGTATGGGAAAAGTGAACATAATTAGCGCAGAAGTATATAATAGGCTCTATAACATGAGAAAAATACCAAAATTATTACTCTACAAGTTCATAATCTTTTTACACTTCTTTATTTATGATGTGTCGTGACCTGTGGTCATAATATGTGCTAAAATGTTTTGGCACATTACGGTCGCGCGCCAGTAAACTTTCTTCAAACCAGTACAACGACATAGAGCAGTCAGTCTTAGTCGACCGTTCAGAAAACCAAGTATGAGCAAAGCTATCCTCTGTACCTTCTGTAAAAATCCTTACGGTATGTTCAATTTTCATATTGCCTGTACTATTTGATGTTATAGACTTGGAAGTTCGTCTTCCACATGTTGCGCCCTGTGGTCATTCCGTCTGCCGAGAGTGTTTGAAAGAGCTTAAATTGAAAAAGTTTTTCTTGAGATCAGTCCATGTTTACTAAATGCGTTCTATAGGTTCGCTCAATGCGAGGAGTGTGGCACTGGATTTTCTGTATATGCGTTCCCTACTAATCATTGTTTGAAATCTCAATTAGAATATACTCCCAACGTTTCAAGCGATGGTTCTAAAGAGAAAGTAAAGATTTTTTTAAATATCGATTGTCTAATTCATCTTATAGTTGTTTTATGAGGAGCCAGAACAGAATTGGTCATGCTCGGAGTGTGGGTTAGGGCTACACCCACGTCATGCTCGGGTGTGCATCAAATGTACAACCTCTGATGTTGTTGAGAATTTAATTGATGGTCTCAAGATTCATAATTACGAGAAGGTTTGATTTGCTTACCAATGTTTCACAAGTTATTTTTTTTTCCAGGCTGAAAGTCATCTGGTTTGCCCTCATTGTGTTATGGAATCCAAGCATCGCTTTCACATAACGAAACTGTATCTGCCCACAAAGGTACTTGTTCCATCGTTAAAAGTTCTAGACTAATTCAATCATTCCAGATCAAGCAAGTGACAGAGGAACGATTTGAAGAATTGTTTGAAAGACTCAGAAAACAACACTGTGGTCATGAAGAGATTGCTATTGTAGTCGATGTAAGTAGTGTCATGTTTAATAAGTATATTAATATATTGATTCCAGGCGCTTCTAATTCTTCGCGACAAATGCTCCAGTTCTATGACCTGGGCTGAATTTGAGGAAGAGTGGTATGAAGCTGAACACTTAGCTAATGGAATCATTCAAATGAATTCTAACATCTCTTCTGCACTTCATGATGTTGAGAGAGCGTTGAGACAAATCGAGCAGTGTCAGCAGAAAAAACAGGTAATTTGATCAATTTTTTCTCAGTAAGCTTGTGTTTACAGAGATTAATGAACCAAATGACTTATGCTATCTCAAGAAATGATTCTGATAACGTCAAAAGAAGATTATCTAATTACTCATTATCTGACAAAGTTGGTCAAGATCTCGCTTCACGTGTGGCAAGCATAAAACGAAACTCTGGAATTGACGATATGAGCACTGAAGAGAGTGATTCTGATTATCAGGACTCGGACAGTGATAAATCGTTTTCCTCCAAACTCAAAAAGTTTGCAACAGTTATGGATCTCAGCAAAGCTGAGTGGTGAGCTTCGTTTTATGTATTGTAAGAACGCACCAATATAGAGGTTTATCATAGATTTATTAAGAGAAAATTCTAATAATTTTTAAATTTTAAAAACATATAATGTAACCTTAACTTTTGTATTCGCACGTTTCAACTAATATTTTGTCTAGTTTAGACATCTTGGAATACCATCTCGGTTTTTATTCGCATTGTAATTCAATGCCATCTGTAAGAAATTAATAATTCATCCAAGTTTTAACTGATTAATGTACGATGATTGCAACTATACCATTTCAACCTCATTGATATATACATTGATGAAAGCAATGCTATTATTGTTCTATTTAAGTGTATAAACATGTCTAGATATCTGTTTCCTGTTTTATTTTATCATTATGGTAGCTATGATTATAACTTCTTCACAATATTTCAGATAAGACGAAGGTGTGGCCAGAGTTCTAAGTGTAAAGCCATATCCTGGTAGATTATAGAGGGGCAATTTGCATATCCACGTGGCACGTGACAGATGCGGTCTAAGAAAGGAAGTTTTGAGCGTCATACCTGAGCTTCATTTTGAAGTTTTGCTCATGGGAATCGGTTGTTCTTAGCTTCTTCATATTGTTTATTTCTAGTTGTGGAAGCTTGACATTGTGATCCAATATTGAGAATTTCAAGATGACATTGTTATAGCCAAAGTCGATGAATGTCATGTATAGAATTAACCTTTTAATCACTACCCAAAAGGTTCTGTTTGTCGACGTATACTTAATAGCAGGAACTGATAAGGATCATTTTCTATATTGCAATTCTATTCCAATTGTCTAAATGAGGACGCTGTGTTATGTTTTAGGATTTTTATTGATAGGTTAGAAATTGCTGTTAATTTTTTCCAGAGTTTGTTTCAGGTGTTTTCGCGGATTCTGCTAAGAATGTTAATCAAGATGTAGTTGCTGAAACGGAAGAAGTAGAAAAAACAAGGTACACTCCTATAAATTTCTCAGTCAACTAGCTTCATGTTAAGGCTGATCAAAGTAGATTATACCTTTGAAACAGAATCTGTCTTGTACGATGACATAGCCAACAAAGATTCCGCAGCATCATTCAGAACAGAGGGAAACTTCACTTTCCAAACCTTGCATTATGATATGGAAGGCAACATTCTTGCGAGATTTGAAGTAAGACAATCACCATATTCAATAATTTTTTACGTTCTCAGATGACTGAATGCAGAAAGGGACCTTGCAATGATTTACCGCCAGTTCTTATGTCTTTCAGCCAGGGAGGTAACAATCTAGAGGGCGCATATATAGATACCAGGTAAATTGATGGTTTGTTTGAACTGGCATTGATTTTTTTTAGTAATCACCCGGATGCTAAGCCAACTTGGAATGTATTGTGGGGAATTGCCAGCTCTATTTATACACCCGCTCTCCATGGAGAAGGTGATAAGCAAGTTGTGGTAAGAAGATAGCTTTGAAGTCCCAGATGTTGTAATGTTCATGTTCAGCCTACCGTATTCGGAACATGTAATGTACATTTTTCTCGGCCTGAAGACAAGAAGTTCAAACGAATTATTGACAACTGCGAACTGGGGAACAGTCACTTCAGGTTTTTTTGGCATGCTTGCCTATCTTCAGTTTTGCTCTTTCAGAAATAGTTCCATGATTGGTGGATTGGAAGTTGCAGAGTATAGACAAGAAGCTTTATATAAGTGAGATTTCTGCTTTTAAGTTCTTTCAAAGTTTCTTCTAGACAAAACACTAAAGTTGATGCTGATATTGTAATAATAGAAGCAGTTGAGTTAGCCAAGCTGCGCAATCCTCTAGACTCTAAGATTGGTTTCCAATTTGAAAGCAGGTTTAGTGAATCCTCATTACCTTCAATTAATAATTACAAAAAATAGATTGTACATTCAAATCACTAACCGTACTCGGCTCTATGTTCCTCGCCCATGTGCTTTGGAAGTGAATACCCATAATTGTGCTTTACTGCTCAAGGGAAAACAGACAGGAACTCGTCTCTATGAGGGCATGTCTCTACTTCCTCCCACTGAAAATAAGGTTTCTGTTCTAACCTAATAGGTTTATTCAGTTAGTTTTCAGTTCGCATCAGTATTTAACGAGTACAGAAACCATTTGTACGAAATGGGTGATTCTCACACTTGTGATAAGCACTCCTTGTTATTTGCCAAAGTGGTGTTTCATGCTCGTGAACTGACAGAGAGTGATTGGAAAAACATAATATTAAATCCTGAGAACGAACCAGTTTTGTGAGTTTGAGCAGGTTGTAAGCAAAGCATGTTACGGTTTAGGCATGTAGTTGGTAACATATTAGGATCCTTAGGAACCGAAACAGCATTAAAAGTGGCTCGAGAACAATTATTGATAGAAGGTCCTAGCTTTATCGACGACTATTTATTTTCTGCTGCTTTATCATTAAGCAAAGATCATTCATGGCATAAAAAATTAGTTGTAAGGCCTTACTTAACTCAGCTCTTGAAACTTCTTCATTGTTTTCAGTATTGGTTAACAGAAGAATCTGGTACCAAAAGTTTCTGGAAAATCGCAAACACTGTCAGCTCTATTCTGTACAAAAAATGTGAAGAATCTCCCAGCTCAATAAACTCGTGTAATAAAGGAAAAACAAGTGTAAGTTTTGTTCATTTTACTCGATCTATCTCAATTTCAAGATCGTTAACAAGTTCTTGGAAATCGTCACGAACAGTACGGATGATGAATGGAGATATGAAGCTTTAAATGTACTGTACAACCTACCAATCACAGGGTCAGTTGTTGAATTTTCCACTTATATTGACGAAATCGCTTTCAAGATCATATCAATACGCAAAAAAGTTTATCTGCAATAAGCTATCCACCAGTAAACAACAGACTGCTGCATTGAAGCTCGTCAAACGTGTACATCATCATCAGTATGATTCACAAGTAAATATTATAAAGAGTTAAGAACTAAACACTTATTCAGCTTGGCGCCTTGCTTGTTAAAGTATTCCGCAACACTTGTGTTCAGTTTACACCTACCAAGGACTCTCAGTTGGCGGTCGATATCCTATTAAAGTAAGCTTCACTATAACACTCGAAAATATATTCTTTTTTAAGATACTTGCCTGAACATGAGAACATCGGTACGCATATTTTACGTACCGAGTCGTTGTATCCTCAGAATCCTGAAGTATGGCAATATCTATATAGAGCTGTGTTAGCCAGCAACTTACAAGACGAATTGGTAGATTCTTTTACATGTGTTCACCGATAACTCTTAATGTTTTTTTCAGAAAGAAGAATACTGGAATCGCATGCGATCATTCAAAATTTTCCGCACAAACTATTTGCATAAGTCTCTTAAAGCTGATTCCAATGTCAATTGGAGCATTCTCAACAGTTCGTTCCTCAAATTGTAATGAATCTGAACTGTTAATCTCGTTAGATATTGCTGGATTCAATTTGGAGAAGCAGTCAAGTGTTGAGTTTGATGATGGAATTTTCAAAAGAACTGACTTTGATATTTCCTTGAAGAAGGGGAAGAAAATTAACCATCATCTCTTTGGGGTACATCTCTACCGTAATGGTTAATCTATCAAAATTATTTCTAGCTTTCGATCAGCTCTTCGGGTGTAGACAGTTTCGTGAGAGACAGTTCCAGCAACCCCGTCGACGTAGAGCCAGAGGCGAGCGTTCGTTTGAGCATTCTGAATCATGCTCTTCCTGAAGTTTCAGTATTCAAGGTTTACACAACAAAATATGCAGCCATCTCATACATATTCAGGGCACCACTGGCATGATGTCTGCTGTGTGGAACGCCGATGGACAAACCTTAAAGGCGTTCGAAGTACATATTCTCGATATTTCGTTCCTTAACAGACGTTTTTAAGGGAAACGCTATATTACGGGATGCTTTGGTAGGTCTCCCACTTTTGTCTGGAATGACAGCTGAGCTGGTTTCCATGGGTGCTGCCTCAATAAAACTTCTTGGATCATGTGAAATATCGCTGTGGAATAAAGAATCATCAACATCTATTGCCGCCAAGTGAGTCTGAATGAGGTGCTTTGCTCAAATGTATACATTTATCTAGCGTTTCCATCTCGTTCTTAACATCTGCGAAATTACTACATGGTGACAAAGTCGAACACAGTTTATCCTCAACGTACTCAGCTACTGGATCTCTTATCAGCTATGTCGATGCATCATTCAATGAATTACCTCCAAGCTTCTGTATGCGGGTAGAACGAAGTAACATGGAATTAAGGTGAAGAGAAACTGTCTCCCTCCTTACATTGGTTATTCCAGAAGAACACACAAAGAAAGAGTGAGCGATGAAGTGAAGAAGAATACCCAGAGCCGATTAGTTTACCCCGGAGTATCTCTCTACGTTGACAATGCAACTACAAAACAATGTAATGTGCATGCCAAAAAGTTCGAACAATACTAATAATGAGTTCAATACTTTAACTAACTAAAAGCATATCAATTAGTGATAAATTTATTTATTTACTACTCTGTAGAGTAAAATGACAAACCCATGAGCATGCAGGAATACATTTTTAAACGAACAATAGAGATTCAATTTTAGATAGAACACTTCTTAATTTTGGATCCTGGACGTCAGTCGAGAGACCTGAAAAAAATATTTTGGTAAGGCTAGTACCACTCCCAACACACTCTTTTTCAACATGTTATAAACATAATTTCTCTCGGTTTCGTCTGTTTTGAAAGCTGCTGATAACTCATCCTTGAAAGAGAAGGCTTCATAACGCACAAGACTCTGAGCTAGCATTATACAAAACTTCAACTTGCTATCCTAAAACAGAAAATTTATGCTCGACAAAAGTCTAAGGTATTCATTACTTGAATAATTGAGAGAAATTTCGAGTAGATTGACGTATAGCTTGAAACCATGTTATTATCATTATTATTATTATTAGAATCCTGGACTGTCCATCCTTGTTGTAACCACGATAAAATCAGAGCGCTCAGAGAACCTTCAAAATATTTCAAAGGATGGATTCCAAATCGCAACACTTACCAGAGTACTCGTTTCTCGAGATGCGAACTGCATTCTTTGAATGATAATCCAGAATATCAACAATGTCAGCAAGGATTTTGAAAGCTTGCTATAGACCCGATTTCAGAAAAATAATCAGAAAACATACACAAAAGAACACGCGTTCCATATTGGCGAACATATCACTCAATACATTATCTGGCACGTGAAACCAGAAATCGTCCAACATGGATATAACTTCTGCTGAATTTTTCTTTAGAAGAGAAAACAATAAAGTGCTCTGAAGTAAATTAGATAACAGCATTCTTCCGGACTGAAAAAAATTATTGGTGAGGTAAGAGACTGCAAACTACAATTTTCCGTTTCAGATCAACATTCTCCCTTTCGAGCTGGGCCAAAGCGTTTCGAATATACCGATATACCAAAACCTGAAAAGAAGAATACATTATGACAAAACCAGAGAAATACCGGATCGGTAACAGACAGTGTGGGGTAATCGAACATTTCACAAACTTTCTCATACTCCAATGTATTCGCTAAGCTGGAAGAAAATGATGTATGCTTAAACCATATTAATTATATACTTCAAGAATTTCATGCTGGGGAAGTAAGTTGGCAAGTTATTTTCAATAAATCCTTTGATGACTGAATGTGTTGTGCTAGAGCACAAGACAGCTGATAAAATGTAAGCATCGCTGAAAGATTAGTTATGTTTGTATAAGTTCATAGTCGAAACGATACATTGTCAACCCTATTTGAATAAGCGTTAGAACCCCATTGGTCCTACTACTAGGTAAGCCCATCAATTCGCAAATAGCTTTAGAAATAACCGTTTGCTCTTTTTTCGCGTATGCTGACGGGTTCAAGTTTATATGAATCAGATACTCGTAAATAGCATCTTGGAGAGATAATTCTGAAAAACTACTTTCTCAACAAATGCGATATGATATAATTAACCTTCAGTGTTGTAGAACAGTGTGTTCATTAAATCACTCTCAAGTTCATGATCATCCAAAAACGCTTTTGCTTCCCCTACCTAAAAACATTTGTTCTTTTCATAGCTAAAATGAAAGAGACCTGAGATAGGATTAAACACAAATCAGATAGAGCAAAGTGGGAAAATTCAGGATCGAGTTTACAAGCATCCACTGAAGAAGTTATGTTAAACATCAAAAAATAATACTTACAAATATCTTTGGCTCTGGGTTTCTCTCCACCATCGAACAAATATTTTACGAGAGGACTTAGATTCTCCTCGTATTGGCACAAATAACTCCCCAAACTTTCAATATACTTGACACCATTCTTAAAATATAGAGATATGCGTATATATTATATCAGCAGTAGATCTTGGAAAAAAAACATAAAACAGACCTCTTTTTCAACTTTTTCTAGTTTCAAATGAGCATATTTTTCAAAGTGTTGATCAAGAAAGACAGGATTGAAAAAGTAACGATGAGTGCCTGCGCAGGGAACCTTTCGGCGTTCATACCAGCGGAGTACTTGAAAAACCATGCTAACTTTATTTTGAACCTAATACCTCTTTTATTGTGCTGAACCGTCTCTTTCCTCACACAGTCTCTCATTTCTTAGAATTTTGTGATGTAGAAGCTAACAAAACGTGGAATTTAAAATTGTTCAATTTGTCCTATTCAAAAATCCTAGTTTCCTTCATATTAGAGCACGGATGCCGACTGACTACTGAGTAGTCAGACTACTCGAATGAATCGATTCTCGAGAATTTGATAAACTACAAATCAGAATGGTTTATTATGAACGAAGTAATTCTTCAAACTAATTATGCAAATAATGGAATAAATGCTGTGAAAATGGAGAGAGGAACAAACACAAATGAAGCTGAGTTCCAAACTACACCAATCCCTTGAGAACCGCGAGATGAGGTATAGCCATTGCATCTATAATTGGGTTATTACTAAAAGATTCTCTCGAAGGTAAGCTGAATACCTGTCAGAGTCACATGTATTACAGGTGGAACCTTGTGGTAGACCAGGCATTCTTTCGCAATCAGTTATAGCACATCCTCGTCGGAATACTGAAAAATTCACTACATGATATAAACCAGATAAAGTAACCTTTTCCATGAGCAGTTGTGAATCTGTAGCACAATGAAAATTGTGGTGGACATGTTTCTACAACCCATCGAGTGCTGTCTTGGCAAGCTTCCATATCACAAGTCTGGCATTGAATAGCCCATGCCACTTTAACAAGAAAAAATAAGCTTTTTCAAACTAACAGTCAAACCAGTTACGCAGCTGAGCAAAAGTATGGCGAAAGCTAGAGAGTTGTTCATGTTCGGTCACAATCAATATGAAAGATGAGTTTGTGGCTTATCAGTGCCAGGCTAGGTCATATATGGTGTAAGACTGCTCTCTAGATGTGTAAACAAATCCCGCAACATGTGTAGGCGTAAGGTTATCTTTCATGTTGTTATGACAAATATGAATTCCTTACAAAAGAATTTGTATAATCATATTCATTTCAACAGTCAAATTATTTCGATGAACAGCAAGGGGAAAGCGTTTTAAGCACGTAAATTCAATTAAAAAAAACTTTTTCATTTTATGATTGTTAGGCGTGAAGACCGGTTGTACTAATCGTTCTCTATTTTTCCAAAACGGATGTTAAAGTTCAAAATAAACTATTTCTCCTTTAAATTGATTCTTCCTAATCCGAAAAAGACATTCAATGTTTGATTCAATGAAAAACAAAAGTTTAACTTTCGAATTGACTCTGCTGCAACTTATTCTGAATTTCATATGACAAGTGCATCGCTTCTCCAACCACAATCATCAGTAAAGTAACAAAGAAAACGAGAAGGGAAAATATGATTAGTAGTAGTCGATCGAGTACCGTGGCCAGAAATTCCCATTCCAGAGCGTATCTGATATTCGAATATTCAACAAGTTTAATCAATATAATATCACCTTCTCTTCAACTTCGACTCCAACAGTGAGTTTTCTGTGGCAGATAAAACCGACACACAATGCATAATAGGCGGAGCTACTCTCTCCGTGAGAGTTCCACTGGCTATCGATGGTCTGGTAACAATCTTCAATTGCTCAGGTACGTTTCCTGTTAAAAAATATTAGTTTTTAAGGAGAACTCGTTTTACTTTTCTCTGTTGCATTATAGGAGTCTTCGTGATATTTGCCTGTGGCCTTAGCTGCCAAACGTCTCCAGTTATTTCTTGCTTTAGATGTCGATGTTTCTTCGGGTTTAGGACTTTAAGATTAGAAAAAAAGAGTGATCTGTTAACTGGACTCAATCTTACTTTTTCAAATACGAAATTTGGCTGTTGTCAGTGGCAGATCTGATGGATGACTTAGATGTATCTTTAGTTAGAAGTTCACATTTGGAAACACTTGGTAGTAATCGTTTTTGCTTCTATTGAGTAAATTATTCATTGAATGTTCAGCACAAAAACTCACGACAGGAGGATTTACTACTCTTCGCTTTTTTGTTGCTTCACCAAACTTAACACCTGTTTCATCCCATAGTTCAAGAAGCATTGTTGGAGCAGTCATGCGTAACCAACGCGCTATCTTAATCACTTAGAGGTTATTGAAATTTTCGAATATTACTTACTTTAGCGAAGAAAAAGTATGACACTGCAGGCGGAACTGGCTTCGAATACATTTTCTGTAGATGAACGTTCAGAATGAACGCGGTAAAGATAGTTCCCACAAAAATTAGAAGAATAATTGTTAAGTAAAACAACCCTAAATATTGAAATGTTATGAAGCTTTCGAGAAGAAAGTAACCGAATAAGGGAACATAGTCACTAGTTGTAGGCATTTGTTCAGATACCATCATCATCAAGATAGACATAGCCAGTAAAGAATCTATGCCCAAGGATAACTTCTCTCTCCTGAAGATTGAGTATTGGAGGAGTATATAATGTCTTATTAACCTCTCTGAGCTTGTGGAAGCTGCGGTGAAAAATCCAGTGACTGCGACCATCGTTATAACAGAAGTTGGGATAACGAGATTCACAATATAATACAGAGGTTTACGGCGGACTACCAAAGAAGCTTCCAACAAGACCCAAGGCTCCGGACAACAAACGAACTTTTGCTAAAATGGTAGATATCTAGAATGCATTAGGAACATTTGAAAAAATCTTACCTCCACTCGGTTAATATCAAAGCTTATGACAACCCATTCTTCATTTGGTAGGAAGTTATCGAGATTGACACTGGTGAATTCAGCGATATAATCAATGTCACTCTTAGACGAAGTCCATGAACTTATAGTCAGTTTACAGATCTGTTGGTCATAAGGAAAGAATCTATAAGCACCTACAATTAAAAGAATATGCAAGTCTTTCTGACCGTATATCCAATAAACAACTAGTGCGATACAATGCAGGGTACATGAATTTTATTTCAGCTCCCCTTTCACCTTTCCAGAAATTGGTTGTTACTACTACATTAATGTATCTCTCAGTTTCTTCCCGGTTCATTACGACACTAGAAAATATATATTTGAATATGAGCCAATTAAACTGAAAAAAAGGAAAAAATATTATTCAAGCCGCACGTTTGCAAAAGCCATAACAAATTCTTATTTGACATTTGTCGGCTAGCGAAGAGAAGAAAAAGAATTTCATTGTCACGTCGGGCCATTGGAGATCCGAAGTGAAAAAAAAACTTTTTAATCCGTTTCGCAGCAAGAAATCGTAGTTAATTTAAGCATACTTTACCTGTTGTATAAGTAAGTGTCTGGTAACCAAATGACTTGGTATGGTAAAATAGTAGTGTTAATCATTCCGTACAAGTAAGGATTCCACCCAAGAAAATCGTCCCTCCATTTTTGGATGACCCAAACGTTCAAGTCAACGTTCTGTTGTTTTTCATTCTAGAAAATCAATTTGTTGCTGTTACAATGAAAAAAATTATGAAAACAAGAGAGAGCTTACAATCGCTAGAATTTGATATAAACTCATAGAAAACGACACTTGGGTAGGGATGGAGTGATTAACAGTAGGGCGCACCCTGGAGTCATACCTTCAATAGCCAGATATTTTTTATTATTTGTTAATCAAACGAACCGACGAGGATCCGTTAGGTCTTTTGCTAGTCGAATGTGCGGCAAAAACTCTCCTTTGTTATCCATCAAAGCTTCACCTATAACTTATTTAGTTTCTTTGATTTCACAACGAGTTTGTTCTATTCTTTGATATTTTTTCGTATAAGTTGAACCCCAGGGGCCGAAGTGGCAATCTAGAATCTCTGAAGCTGTGAACAAAACTGAACAAAGTAAGACAAAGTTTTTCAAAAACAGATCATCGTCAAACACCTTTTGTTGATGTACAACCCAGAATAATTCAATTAACTCATTACGCTTTGTCTTTTTCAGCTTTCGCAAAGTTTTTGTTCTTGTTTTTTCTGCGAGGTTATTCGCGTTTTTTCTTTTTTTTTTCTTTGAAGTTCATATGGTTATATATACTACTTATACTTACGTCCTGACATGACAGAAGCAAATAAAAATGAAAACAGAAGGTATTGGAGTGCTGTTGTACAACCTAGATTTCGTGCATTTGATGCTAGGTTCCAACTTCCAGCGCCCATCATCATACTCTGAAATCAGAAACAAAAGTTTGAGCCATCTTTTTAACGAATAAAATTATCAGCAAAGTTTAGTAGAGTAAAAATATTATGAATAATTTTCATCTTTATTCTAAATGGTATTCATTAGAAAACGGATAACCGAATTGCACGAATAGCCTCAATGGCTTTGAGTATAAGAACATTCACAAGGCTATTTGATCAGTTTGAACGACAAAAAAAGCTATTGGGTGAAAAAAGTGGGAGGCTTGGACGATGAAATGGATGAAGAGAGGGTGGAGATGAAAGAAGGTAGGAGAACAATGTGAGAAATAAGCTTTGAATGCAAAGGTAAAGTACGAGGGGAGAGTGCGAGGGTGTGTCAAACGAGGGAGTAAGTAAGAGGAAAGATTGGACCTAATCCATCTACTCTTAAATTCTTCATAGGCCCATATATATGCATACTTCACTCTCCTCTCAAATAATTGCGGTTCACTCAACCGGATTTTACACCTTGTTCTAGAGCTACAGAATTGTATATTTTGAATTGTTTCATCTTAATTTGAAGCATTCGCTCTAAAACAAATGTCTGCAGTTCAACTGTTTCAGTTGAACTCTAGTTTGGAATGCTTTAGCCGTTTGACTCCTCGATAGATACGTTTAGAGGAAAAGGAAATTAAAATTGTAGAAATAATGGGAAGAAGGGTTTCTACAGCTGATGGAATAAAATGTCGATTAAAAGTGAGAGATGTGTAGTTGTGCATAAACGTAATTAGATTTTAGGTGAACGGGTAGCTGTTACTGCTTGTTCCAGTATGGATGCAAAAGTCAAGAAGAGCATTCTAGGAGCAGATTGCAGCTGTCAGGATGGAAGGGGTGATAGTCAAATAAACCGCATGAGAAGCATCATTCTGAAGACATTTGAATGAACAGAAAGTTGTAATCTGGTTCAACACTTTGTAAGCCTATTGTAAATCTTTTAGCTCAATTCTGTCGGTGCAGCTCATGAAGAAGTTTGTTACGGAAATAACCAGCGCGACGCAAAAAAAATCATTCAAAAAATCATTTAATATTGATACAAATTCGAATCTCAGACGAAAAGGAGAAAAGTATCTCTGGTCGACCAATAGCTTCGATTCAAATGGAGTTCTTATGAACTTCTTAGTTGAATATAGCCATGAAAGAAAAGAACTGATTCAAAGACATGAGTGAAAACATAAAGCGATCGGACAGACTGGGACATCTTCTTTGAAACTCAAGCGAACACTTCAAAATAACAAGGAAAGAATAATAAGGATTTCCAAAACTAGAGAAGAAATGCTTGCGACACTATCTCTTTTTCATGATTTAAGCATAAACAATATAAAATACAGCTTAGCTTAATCAATAATATAGATGGGCGGAAAAGCTCCATTCGAACAACAAAGCACTTAGTTACTGGAAGCTTTCATAAAACGTTTTGAGAATCAACAAAACGACAGTAATGGTAACTTAAGTAGTTCATAGTTCCTCATTACTCTCTTTTTCAGAAACGGAGCCGAGTACTTCGAAGGACGATTTTGGTTCAGTTCCGGACAATGAAACAAACGAGTAAAAGCTAAACTTCACCACCCTCACCAACTCATTAAGTTCCTTGGCCATCCTATTACGCTGTAAGGAGCCATCCGGAACATTGTCATGTTTCTTCCATGACCAAACTTTAAAAAAAACCAATAAAAACTAAAATTATGCTTTTATTATTTGTAGCTGAAACATAAGTTAAGGAAATATATGAACCTGCCATAGTATATACATTAGTTGTTAGTAACATGCTAACGATAAAACATAAATATACAAAAATCAACAAGAACCACCATCGTACACTGGAGATAAACCATAAAGGTAAGAATGTCAAAAACAGCCAGAAACTAACAATGGTGTTCTAAATAATATATGGAAAGGTATGGTGCAAAGGGACAAACATTTCGGAAAGCCACAAAAATCAAAACATGTTCTGTTCTGAAGTTTTGTGGGAAAAAAAGGTGTTACCAAGATAAAAAAGGAGTATGATAAAATAGACTAGATACATAGTCTCTATTTAGCTGTATGAAATTAAATCAATGAAAAAATAAATCTAAAGGTAGTTTCAAAACAACAAACAAAAGATGGTGGATCTTGACAATTCTTTGAATGACAGCATAATACAAGAAAAAATTGCATTAGTGGCAAATCTTACCGTTGGTGACAGAAGATGTTAACAAGATGAAAAATAACAACTTTTTTCTCACCACCATTGACCCTGCTGTATGTGATGCTGGTTCTGTTGCTGACCATAAGGTGGTAAACTCATCGGTCGGTGAATAGCCTCAGGAGGCATATTTGAGATCTCTTCTACATTGCTCATATGGGACTCCATGAATATATCAGATGGAGAACTAAATGATCATGTTATATATCATATTTTAAACTCAACTTACCCAGGAGACGGAGTCACTAGAGGTGACGCTAGAGGGTCTGATAAGTTATGCTTATCCATAAGATCAGAACCACCCAGGTGAACATTCATTAACGACATAGATCCGGGTGATAAAGCGGTCATAGGTTGAGGGGGTTGGTGCGTGACAGAAAAAGCTCGTTGCGGTGAGAAGTTTGTAGTTTCATTTTGATTCTGAAGATAAAATCGAAGTATGAAATGGAATGGAATAACTCACTGTTTGGTAAGAGGTAGAGGGTTCCAATTGAGGGTATGAGGATTGAGGATCTTGGTTTTGATAAGAAGTTTGAGGTTCTTGATTTCGATATGATGTTTGAGGATCAGAGCGTTCAAATGACTGTGAAGTTTCTCCTTGGCCGAAATTAGCTTGGTTTTCTGCCCATTCCGAAACGCTCTCATTCTGAGGGATCGGTCGGAACAATGCATCTTGAGGAGTGAGTTTTGCCTAAAAAGAAGATAGAAGATGATTTCATTTCAATAGATTGGAAAAACCTGAGCTGTTAACACGGCGAGTTGTCGAGCTCGGCGGTATCGACGGCGATGACCCTTAGTTCCCGTTGAGTTTCCATTGTGGTGTTTCAGTATATGCTCCTTAGAAGGTTTTGATGAGTGATATTTCAGAAAAAAAAATGAACCTTCAATTTATCTCGCCGACTGGAAGCGTAGTCACACATATCGCATTTGAATGGCTTATCAATCAAATGAATGCGTTCATGACGAACAAGGTGAGATTTTTCGATGAATCCACGCCCACACATCTTAGCAGGAAATTTAAGAATAGTTATAAATTTAGAACCAACCTTGCACATATGGGATCTCACGGCCATATGAGTTCTGAGATGAGCAGCTAACTGACTCTTTTTAGGAGACACATAATCACATCCTTCTAAAAGAGAGAAACGGCTGGTATTCATCAGGCATAATTGACTTACCAATATGACAATAACACAAATCTCCTGTATGCTGCTTCCTATGCACAGAAAGATGATCAACGTTATTCGATGCGAAACCACAATCTTCACATACATAAGGTCTACAAATAAATAGGTTGGAAAAACAACACAAAGAGGGTTATGCCAGTACCTTGGGTCATCATGTGTAGATTGGTGAAGTTGAAATGAAGCATCACTGTTGAAACCTCTGCCACATTCCTCGCAATGCATTAAACGATCATCGAGGCTGTAACATTGAAATGAAGAAAAAAACCAAAAATGAAAAACTAACCAGCTATGCATACGTTCATGTGCCCACAACTGAGTTCTGGTTCGAGCCCGGAATCCACACTCAATACATTTGAAGAAATTATCTTGCGCTGAAGTATTTGATACTTCCCATGAAGATGTTATGAAAACTCACTATGTGTCAAACGATGACAAAGAAGATCCTGAATCCTGTTTGGAGCAACGAAAGCACATTGGTCACAGTTATAAGGAGCAGAAGGCTAAAATGTATTGAAACTTGTAAAGTTGTGAATCAAGTTCTTACCCAATGCAATTTACGACAATGCTCATAAAACTGTTTATTCCAAGTGGCATCGAAATCGCAAAGTTGACAAAGATATATGGTATTCTTATTGTGAATGCGAGCTTTGTGTTTCTCCAAATCCTGAAAAACGAAAAACTGAAAAATGTTATATCAAACAGTAGAGACTTCCTCTAGCATGCAAGAGAATCTACAGAATGTACATTTGTAGGTTCCGTTCTCCACCTGAAAGAGTAACAAATTAACACAGAAACTTATTTAATAGATTCACCCCGTTATCTTCACCCTCGTCAACGTCCTCAGGATCAACCATATCGTCATCAGTGTAAGTAACAACATTTCCCTCCAACGTTGATGTAGCGTAAACTCCATCAATATCTTCATCATCCATAATGGGTAAGACTAGAATTCATCAATGATTGTCAATACAAAATAACATTCTAACTTTCGTTTCCTTGTGTTTCCTTTGGAGGCCTTCCTCGTTTCTTCTGATATGAATTAACAATGGCCCTCCGGAAAAGCTTGTTTTCCACCTTATTTCTGAGAACGATGCAATTTTAACAACAAAAAAATATTGAGTACGGCAACCTTTTACGTTCTTGGAAGGCTCCGAGATTGATTTTAAGACGTAGTCGTGGTTTTTCGTCAGAATTTTCAGCAGTGTTCTCAGCTGTTGATTGGGAAAGGCTACTCAACTAAACACAACTAGTAACTCGGATAATTTCTTCCTAAAACTCACGATCACATTTGAAGATGGATGACCCGCAACTGGACAGTCGTCCATGTCATCTTCGAGTGGATCTTCTTCCCTGAAGAATACAAAAAAAATTGAGTTGTTAAAAAAATAACGAACATTGGCTCCTCTGGAGGCAACACAGGCTCGCGGTTCACTTTGAGAGGCAAAGGATTTTCTCCATATTGCTGCATCAGGGTAGTCAGTTGTTGTTCATACTTCTCTAACGGTAAACCCAATCGCCTCCTAAACAAAATATTTATCACATATTGGGAGTCTACGGTGACCAACATTGTAAGAAGAATGAAATGCCGATAACGATGATTTTCTTTCAGCAACGCAGAGTAATCCAACATTTCCTCTAAAAGTTCAGGAGGAACCTTAATGAAAGAAACTTTCAAAAATAGTGGACACTATATTCGAACCTGCTGAAAATTACAGTTTAAAATTAATTGTCTAAAGTAGCCGTCACGGGCAGGAATATCAACTTCGATCCATCTTATCACCGATCTGCAAAACCCAATTATAGTTAAAGCGGCAAACTTCAGCTGTTCAACCGCTATACGTGTGAAAGCTTTAAAAATGGGAAAACACGTGACTTAATCACGTCAGTTTTGAAAATCTGAATTTAACAACATACTTTAAATGAGTGTCAGGGCATATAACGTCTTGAAATTTGGGATCTTCTAGAACAGCAGTAAACTGTGTTATGGGATATTGAAGAATATCTACAGATTCTAAAAGGCACCGGTTCACATTTGCATCAAAGTATTCGCTGGAAGCCTAAAAATAAAAATCTTGCGTAAATAAGTAAGGAACCACTACTTACGCTCAACAACCTAGGTAGATTGTATTTCGTTGCTAATGCTTTCACTGAAAGACAGTTCGCAGCATCTAGATATCTATCTAGGTACTCCGCACAGTAGCTTTTCAGTTTGGTCACCTGTAGGTTTACTATTTGAGAAATAACTAATCATAATACAAACCAAAAAATTGTTTGCTAGTCTTAGCAGCTCAGTAACTGCTGAACGATCAATGACAACACTTCCACTATACATATAATTAAGTAATAATTCGAAAGCTTTTGGAGAGTTGGAGTTCACCACAACCTTAAATACTTCCAGAATAAGTCGGAAAAAATACAATAGTAACCTGTTCTTTCACAACTTTTGTTGCTTTGAATATTGAATCAAAATATGGGCTGCAAGACGCTAAAATAGTTCGGTGGGCACAAAACTGTCTATCTTTGACCAAAATAGAAACATCACAAAATCTCCCAGTTTCTCTTTGGTAACGTAATCGATCCAGTACTGAAGAAATCACTTAATTTGAGAATAAAAATCTAACTTCCATACCCAGGTTCCCATGATGGTCATTGAAGGCCATGGGATCTAAACCAGTACCTTCACAACTCGCTGCTAGTAGTGCCATGCACTATATTAAACTGAAGAAGAGATATGAACATATTAAGAGAAAGCGAAGAAAAACAAAAAGGTAGACCAAGCAGGTTTCAAATCAGAAAAACGACTTGAAGAAGTATTCCTTACGTAGAACGCAAAGTAGTAACCAAGAAAATCTAATTGATTTACATTGTAACACATTGAACAAACAATGCGGACATGTGTTGTAAAAACAATCGTGTAGATTTCAAACCGTAAGTTTGAATAAATTGAAATTCAACCGGAACTACCAGAAAAATTCAAAAGAAACTAGAATTAAAAAAGCTTTGTATGCATCGCTGTTTCCTACAGATTATCTCTAAGGAAGCAGACGCTGCTCTAATGCTATTACAGCATGCTGTAAATGGAGCGCGCTAGTAAACAGAGTAAACGAACATGAATGGTTTATTTTTTTAAAAAAAAAATTGTTGCTCGATATAAAATTAAATGAATATACAATGTTATGGATACATTCACATATAATCACGTTTTCTTTAATTTATAAAATCACATAGAGTATTTACGGAACCAGCGGATCATATTTATAGAATAATCAGCCTCAACTTCTACTTCTTCCAACGGGTGACAGGATGGTGGATAAGACAAAACCCTAAAGTTATCACTTTTTGTAAATTATTTCATCATTCATCTTACTTGCAAGGAATATTTCTTGCCTTCAAGTTGCGAATGAATGCCCTGAAGTGAGGCACCACGCGTAAATCTTTTTCTCCGATCAGAAGCAAATATGGAGTTACGACCTTAATTAACATTATCAGAAAAACATATTATTCAAGATAATACTTTTTCGACATGGGCGATCGGTGAACTATTGAACATTTTCATTTGTTGTTCGCTAGTCAAAACTTTGGTCCAATCTGGATATTCTCCAGTACCCTCGACCACAGTCCTAAACAATAGAATTTTCCATGAATAACAAAAGTAAAAACCATTCAGGAATATCAGTGATTTCGTGCATAGCTAGCACATTCAGAACGGGATTCAGAGCGACACATGCTCTGTAGAAATTCTGAAATTTTAGTATCACTGATTTTAGCAGTAAAGATATATACGGGGTATTGGCCGATCAAATGAGACACTAGAAATCCACCATGCGATCCTCCGAAGAGGAACACTTTGTTCTTATCCAAATAAGGTTCTCCGGCAAGTACTGTTTCAGCAGCATGCTACATAAAAAGAAAAGCATGTAGCATGGAGGATAATTAGGCTTACATGAACATCTTTCACATCAAGGTCCCCACAGTGACCAGGAAGTGAACGAACAAAGTTATCTCCGAATCCGATAGATCCATGATAATTAACCGTGAGGACGGCGAAACCAGCATTCAGAAGAAGAGAAACATCTCGGCGTGGCCATCTAGAATTTTCTAATAGCTCTGTGAAACAAATAGAACATACATAGCCAAGGAAATTCCATGTGGGCCACCGTGAGGATATACCACAAGGGGACATTCTTTTTCACGTTCATTAGGAACGATAAGAATTCCCTCATAAGGTGTTTTATCTAAAGCTTTCATCGGTTATTATCCTTCAATTTTTTATTGTATGTGTGCTACCTTCCCTCTGGAAACCGACAAAATTCCAGGAGTAGTTCAGAAGGCTTCTTTTTCTCTCCATGATACTGCATTTGTCAAGACGAGTCCATACCATCTACGATATTATCAATAACCATCTTTTCTACTTTGAGAAACCTTGTCTTCTTCTCCTGGTACAGGTAAAGAACCCAAAAGCATTGTGGGAGGGCGATTAGGAGCCGAAACAACAGCTAGAACATCATCACCACTCACGTCCAATGGAACCCAAGAGCCATGACATTGTCCAAAGTTCGTAATCTTCCTTATCCCTCCGTTGTTAACATCAACAACAACAATTTCCTAAGAACACTGATTTTCGATGAAGATTGCAGTGTAGTACCATTCTACTGTTCCAAGCAAGACCTACGACGAGACGTTTACCGTCACTAGTAAACGAGCGGGTTGCAACTCGTGCGAAAGAAAATCCTGGGAACTCATTGATGTCACAAGAGTTCACAATTGGTATGACTGTAGTTGGTTTTGATCCATCGTATGGCCAGGGTACGGAAACTAGCTCAGAAACCGCCTGATGAGGACCGTCAGAAGCTCTCTAAAAAACGTAACAGGCTCATCTGCTGAAAATCTAGTATTGCCTGGAAGTAGTATAGCTTAGACCCATCCGGGCTGAAGATAGGTGATTCGGCAGAAATGCCAGAACTACCTATCTGAGTCAATTTCGCAGTTTCTAACTCATAATAATACATAGAACCTCTGAAAAAAGGAATATTCTGTTTCTCTGATTGAAAACAACTAACGGTCTGTTATTGCAGTAAATTTTTCCAATTTTGAAAGGTTCGTTGTCCAGGCCGAAGAAAACCACTCCTTTGTCCTGAGGCGCCCAGATAGCCTGGATTATCAGATTAGTACAAGTCGTGAGTAGACGGTTATCTTACATAGCCTGGCGATATTTGTGGTCCAATTTGATCCAGAACTGTGACGTTTCCACTAGAAAGATCAGCCAGGCAGAGGACAGGCTGTTTCACATCGAAACATGCCTCGCCCCACGAATCGACTAGCTCATACTTCTCACCCTGGAAAAAGAGTGAATACTGCGCACAACCCCATTTATTCTCACCACATTACTCTCAAGAATTTTTTCTTCATTAGACCAATCAAGCTCTCCATCGAAATACTGAGATGACTTGGCTAAAGTTTCAGCTGCATAGAGGATATGGCCTTCTCCGTTGGAAAATTGAAGTGTTCCAAACGGCTCTAAATGTTTCGCGAATGAGTTTAAGACAAATTCTCTCATTTGTTTACCAGAACCGAGACTGTATATGATGCCATGTTTCTTTTGAGAAGTCAGGTCAGTACTCAAAACTTCGATGTGATCATTCTGATCAGTGATTTTAAGGAATTGCTTCTTGTCTTTTCCTTCAGTTACTGTGAACAAATGAGCGACCTTAGATCCACTGCCAGAAAATCGAATTGCTTGGGCCCTGGAGAATGTTTTAAGAAAAGAACAATATACATATTATACTCTGTGTTCAGAAGTGGCAAGGAGGAACTTGCCAAGACTTTATGTTCTTTTCCTGTATCCGCTCTTTCTAGGACAGTGAGTCTTTGGTTTCTTGCAATTTTTTTCATTGCCAAGTCTCTGTTGTCCCAAGTGGAAGCAACCTGGTGTAATCATAGGTGTATGTTGAATAAACTTTCAATATACTTCAATGATAGATCCATTTTTAACGATTCTTCCAGAAGTAGCAATTGGTACTTGACAAAGATCACTATAGACATCCTTCAATACATTTTCACAGTTTTTCATGGTTTAAATATATTAACCTTCAGCCTTTCAACAGCTTTTACATCAACCTCTGTGGTCAACGACATGGCTCTTACTGAAACACGTAGAATGCTAAAAATTTTCTAAAAAATTGGATAGCGTTGTTATTAACCTTCATCTAGATATCAGAGCTCAATGGACATAGAGTTACTATCAAATAGGATTCATTGTTCAAGATTTATACAGATCAACAATGAACGTTCAACAAAGAATAAACAACAATATACTTGCTCGTCAGACTACGATAATTCCTCAACTATCATTTTCTTTTTCTGTTCTTCCCCATGTCCATTGTCTCTAAAACCTTCTGGCAATTCTACCACATTTTCAATCTGTAACAAAAGCGAAAGATTATAAAGCATCAGCAAGTACATACAGCTGGATCTCCTTCTTCAATAGGAGCAGGGTCTTTGAATAAATTTACATCAATTTGTACACAGTTCTTGGAAGTGTCTACTTCTTGATTACTATCGGAGTCTGAGTCTGATGAATAATCTGTGTCTTCTGAATCGGACGATGAGGAGTCCTCTCCAGCCACTACATTCTCTATCTGAAATTAATCTTTGATAAGAAAGGGTTGTCACCGCCTACCTGTATGGCTTCTGTTAATTGTGCATCAACAGGTAGTTGATCATTGGCATCGGCTAGCTCAGGAAGAAAGTTCTTAAGTCTGCAAACAAAAAGTTTCAAAACTAATTAATCAAGGAAACCTTGAAAAAATATCGGATTGTCCAACAGGTCCTATTTCAGGTCTTCCAGCATTCAACAGCAAAAAAGGCGCTTAAAATATTCCTTGAAAGTTTGCGAATACAAGACAAACCTGTTCTCCCTTTAATATTTTTCAATGTAGTCTTATCAGTAGTTGTATTCATAGCACTAAACTAGATCACCATAAGATATTATGTTCGAAGATTTCAAATATCGTAACAGAAATACTAAAACGCAAGTTAACTATTGCCATAACTATTAGAACTTTATAAAAAAAATAAATTAATAATATTACAATCAGTCGTGATCCCAAAAAAAATATCTGATCAGTTCAGTTCGAAATTCCGAATTTTTAAGAACTTTCGAACTCTTTAGCGATTTGTAAATATCGTTCGCTCAAGCAGTGTCCTACTGTAGCATCAAGCCATTCAAAATGAAGAACAGCAGCAGGAGCTAAGCCAAGTTCTCCAATTGTTCTAAATCACAATAATGAAAAAATTAGAGCTTGAATGCAAGTACTTTTTATCATCTAAAACGGTAGAAGGTCTTAAAGGGTCTTGAAGCTTCCAGGTTGCAACTTGATGAGCCTCGGATAGATGTTCAGAAATGAAGAAACGTATTGTCTCTAAAGTCTCATAACAACCAAAAGTAGCCTGAACTCGAATTGTTAAAACAATGAATAAGTGAGCGAGACGAAACCTGGATCATGTACCTATCAGGTAATCGTATACGAATGAGACTGTACTTGTATCTGTAGTCTCTCAGTTTTTGATCTCTCTCACGCATCTCCTTGGTTCTTAACGATAGAAGTTTTTCAACTTCTTCTGTTTTGCTTTGCTGCTCTTTCTTGATTTCACTCGCGGTTAAATCATAGAAATCCATTGACAAAGTTGGACTTGATATCTTCTGATTTTGCTTTAGAATGAAAATAGATTCGTTTCTAGAGACTTTGATAGGTACACATTGTCCATTTTGTAGAGCATCCAAGCCACTAATGAGAATAGCCGTTTTCTCTAAAGTTCACTGATGTCATAGTATTTATGAAATGTTTCCAAATACCATCATCAACATTAGTCATAACAAGAAAAGGTTCGGACGGTTCGCCTTCCTTTGGAGAAATATTTTGTTCCTCAAAACCAACAGCTTTCAGATATTCGATAGATCCAGTAACAGGAAGAACTTTCTCCTGTAGAAATAAACTCTAGTTCAAAGTTAAAACTATCAACAAAACCTGGTACGCTTTGTTAGACATACGTATGCGACAATACTTATCTTCACCAGGATGCTCAATGATATTTTTGACATACTTAGAAAGGATATCAATTGCTCCCTGAATTTTAATAATATCTTTGGTTTTTTTGATTATTGTGAGACTTCTCTCTGGGTCCGAGTATTAACAGAGAAGATCAAAAGAACAGCAGGAATGACATTATCTTCTCCTTGACATGATACTTGTTCAAGCAAAAACTGTTCAATAGCTTTAGTCAGCTGAAGCAAGCTATACAGATATCAAACAGTGCCTCAGCTTACCTCTGATTTCGGAAGCATTATGTCATCTCCTAACAGTTCACACGAATAATAAACATGTTCTATGGCTCCTGAGTGTTCGAATTCTTTGACATCAGGGACACTAAAGAGTTGGAACTTTACTAGAATAGGTTATTCAATTACTGTTTCTCTGCAAGCGCTAAATCTTTGAGTAAACTGTTTGGATCATTACGCTGACGCTCTTCTTCTAACTCTTTCTTCGCCTATCAAAAAATAATATAAAATATACTTTCAGGAAACATACGATCATTTGAATTTTTTTCTGGCTGTAAGTGAGCTCTTGAGAAGGATCATTTTTATACAACCGTTTCAAAGCAGCTTGTGCTGCTACATCGGAAGCGGCAACACGATCAACCGATCCACCCTAAAGAAAATCATGATTTTCTACATATCATCAGTACAATACCTGAGCAGAGCCAGTGACAATACTAGGAGATTGACCGGAACTGCTTGAGAGTTTCTGTCCAGGCCCGCTCTTTTTGAAATGCTTATCGACTTTCTTATCTTTCAAAAAGTTCTTAAACTTGTCCATGTTTATTCCTCTTTTTCTGTGAATAATTCAAGACTACTGAGACTTAATACTGTTAATACTTGATTTCTCCTTCTCTGCCTTAGCTAACTCCTCTTTAATTCGAAAATTGAGTATTATAGGTCTGTAGTAGGTCCAAGAAAGAAAAATGAAAAATACGAAAAGTCCAAGAAAGAAAAGAAGAGTAACACCCAAAAAGATCTACAAAAACACTGTTAGAAGAAAAAAATATTGCGTACCTGTTGCTTTTCTAACTCGTAACGTTGACAGAAGAATCCAAGTTGCTTATCAAGCAAGTTGTAAACAAAACTCGTGGAGAGGCTGTTTGTGTCTTTAACGTACTGTCTCAGAGTTTCAGTTTGTCCGCTTAATTCATCGGTCTAGAATAAATTATTCATCAGAATATGATAAGGAATACTTACCTCAGTTGACAAAAAGTCACCACGTGCTCCGGTTGTTTGAGAATCGACCATACAATATCAAAAAAAATGAAGAATGAAAATCTGTAACGAACTATGTATACTTCGATTCTTGGTTCTAAAGCCAATAATTTATGCGAGAATCAATGGTCTACAAAGTTTTGAACAATATGAGCTGAATTCGTTCGCTATACACATCAACAACTTGTTTTCCTTAAATGTATAACCCTCATGACCGAAACGAGAGATACGCACTCTGTTTACGCGACAACAATGATCGTTTTGCGTCAGCCGGCTACTAAATTTCCGTTGCATCAGAACGATTTTCTTTCGTATAAAAGTTGCGGTCTTTTCATTGTTTTCATGTCATATTTTCTTAGATTTCATTTTTTTTAATAAAAAATTATTTCAACTTCGATAGTTTTTAGGTAAACCCATTCATTATGCCCAAGAATAAGGGAAAGGGAGGAAAGAATCGTAGAAGAGGAAAGAACGAGAATGACTTCATGAAAAGAGAGTTGGATAAGAAAGAGAATGGCCAAGGTAAAAATTAAACTTTTTGTATCATAAATATCTATACCACTTTTCTAGAATATGGACAAGTTACCAAAATGCTTGGAAATGGGCGAGTAGATGTGTTTTGTTTCGATGGTAAGAAACGTGTATGTCACATTCGTGGAAAACTTCGAAAGAAGGTGTGGATCAATACGGGAGATATTATTCTAATTGGTCTTCGTGATTACCAAGATGATAAGGTTATATTCAGCATATTTTTCTTGTTCAATATCTTTTTGCAGGCTGATGTCATTCTCAAATACACTCCAGACGAAGCCCGTCGATTGAAAGCTGAAGGAGAACTCCCAGAAAATGCCAAAATTAATGAAAATGATGAGCAAGATGAGGGAGAGATTGTCTTCAGTATAAACGAAACTTATTTATAAAGCTCATATAAACTTATTACAGAGGATATGGGTGGAGCTGGCGGTGAGGATGAAGAAGCTGATTCTGACGATGACTTACCTTCAAGCGGTAGTGATGATGAAGAGGAAGAAGAAGATGATGATGACGATGGAAGTGGAAGCGAAGAAAGCGAAAGTAAGGATTTATTTGTAAAAATAAATTATGTTCAATTTTTAGGTGAGGAAGAATCGGATAATGACGCTTCATTCTTGAATGAGGAAGATTTAGCCGCTGGTCGTGGTCTTGGAGGCCGTGGTCGTGGAAGAGGTGGAAAAAATAAATATGGCAAGAGAAGATAAACTTATTCTTTCTTTATTTGGGCGTTCCTTGTTAATTCTATCACGTATTGGCTTAACTTTATTACATTTTGACTTTTTCAATAAATCTGTTTTTGCCAATCATACTTTAACACCATACTCAGCAAATATTTCCTGTATTCTGTGCTTCATGATTTCTGCATTCGTGTTGAATTTCTTGTGGAAAGCATCATCTTCACTCGCTGGCATTGATCCTCTCATTATTTTAAGAAACTAAAACTATTCAGGTTAGAAAGGTACAAACAAATGAAACTACATCTTCTTTTTTTGGCAGAAAGTACATAGCGGTTTTGACTACTCGTTTAACTGTCCAGCTGTGGTGATTTGCTAGAGTCTCTTCGTATACTCCATAGGCTAGATCACGCATCCGAACATCATCTTCAGATTCGGCAATCTTTTCAATTAAGGTGATTAGAAAAACCTGCGCTCTGAAAAGTGTTTTTTTCTCATCAGAACCGATTCAAAGCCGAACTTATGCAAGGATAGAAGTAGCATCATTCCACTCTTTGGAGTTTCTCGGTAAAGAATCTCTTCTGTACTCTCATACTCTGCCATGCTTCTAATACTTCTTGAATTAAACAAATAACAGAGGATATGATCTCAAATACTACCTATATGCATGATTATTAGAGTCGTATAAAGATCTTAAAGTATTGACTTTCGGAAGGACATCATTTGTTGCAAACCCGAAGAGCATTCCAAACTTTTTGAGAAACCTCGATGAACACTTCTGTAACGTTTACTGACGATGACTCACCCACATAACTCGCACCAGAAGTCGCAGTATGACTCAATGATAACATCACTATTTTCAATTACAGCTTCTTCCAGTAATTCTAATAAAACGTAAGGATTTCCTTCTCCTACGACTCTAAACGTTTACTGAATGTTAATAAATAAAAAACTTCTGGAACCACCTAGCTTCAGGCATATTGTGTGAAAGCAAAAAACTGAAAAAAAAAATGTTTATAAAACTTATTGAATTTTTAGAAAACCGGAATATGTATATAAATTAATAAGAAGTAATTAAATAAAAACAAAGCAAACGGACTTAAACTCCAACATGATTTTGGTTGAAGAACGGCTTATCATAGGAATAATACTGATAAACATTGGCAAACACAGAATAACCTTAAATTCACAGACATTCACTCAAACACACATGAACGTATTCTAAAATATTCAAAGCTTATTAATACAGGTTTTTATTGCACAAAATATTCAAAAGAATGAGCTTTTCTCTTCCCATGCGTTCATCCAGTTATAGCCATTTTCAGGCTCGGTCTCTTGCCCGCTGGTACTTTCTTCTGGTAAATTTCAAAGTTGGTTTGTGGCCAGAAAAGTGCAAACCTTCAAAAGGCCAAAAATTGGCTACAGCTTCAGTTGCATAATGGGACTCGGCCAGCTGCTTTTCTTCCAATTCATCATATGAATATAGGATTTCTCCCTGAACTCCTAAAGTTTTAAAATATTGAGGGATACATGAGAGGAACCGTACCATCAACAGCCTCAGCGTTGGGAATATCTTGGTATGTTTCGACCGGTCGATTAGCTGGGACAACTCTAGGAGTCTGAAAGAAGAGCCACTTTTTACAATCAGCTTATAGACTTACCAAAATTTCATTACATTCTGCATTGAACACAGGGAATACTATTGTTTGATTAAACTCTCTTTCCAATGGAGGAGTCGATGGGGGGCTAGACGATCCGGCTGTGGGAGTTCTGAATAACACACTTGTACTAGGAGAGAAGCATCATAACATACGTTGGGATCAAAAATTCATGCTGATTTGCCTCTGGGTCATTAACGAAATCTCGACTTTCATCACAACTGATGTTCATAGCTTGTGTTTTGTTCATAAAGGAAGTTAACATCTGATATAGTGAGATAAACAAAAATCTTGAAACGTGCTAACTTTGCTTTCGGAAGATGAACTAGTAGCACTTCTCCGTATGCTTTCTGTCATCATATTAAGTGCCGTAGTGTCATAACTGCAAAAGAATCATACGTCTGAGTAATATAATGAGTGTAATACTCTTTTCTTTCATCATCTCTCAAGCATAGAGTTGGTAAAGTTGTCAACATCCGTTTTGACAGAAGTTCTGAGGGATAAGGCAGTTTCTCTGTGCTATCCACATTCTTATTAATGTTGTTATTACTGTTACAAGTGTTGTTATTGGAATCAACATGATAGTAACTGAAATATATAAATAGAACTCTTGTCCTTAATCTTACTTCTCATCACTCGCAACACATGCTGGCCTTACAGGAGTAGAAAACACAAAGTCACTGGGTTGCAGTCTAAAACAGCCGGGATCCTGAACACTACTAGTTGGATCACGTATTCAATTAATAATTACGTTCGAGGGACCCAAGCTCAAGTCTTTGACCAATTCGGCATATCTGAAAAAAAGAATAAGAATCGCGCTTGAGTTCTCAAGAATCGAAGTAACAGACCTCTTTCTCTTAGAAAGAGCATCCATAACATCTTCCTGGAGGTACTCATCTGAAACCAAGAATATAATCATTGTTTTGCTTCACTTTGCAGACCTTTTCTCTTAATTCGCCTATGGATAGGCCCTTGATTTATAGGACTGAAAGTGAAAGTTAATAAATTTTTACTGGAAATCAAAAACCCTTCTTTGTCCATATACTCTTCATTCCTATTTCTATAGCTAGCCGCCACAGTCTGAAAACTATAAACGTTATCTTGATATTTAATTATATTCGAGCACGTTCATATTGGGGATGTTTGGAGCCCATTGAACTTCCGATTCTGGTGCAACTAACTCTTCAATGTCGCGATCAACCTAAACGATTGGAATTGACCTTCACTCTCGAATAAAAGAGAAACATAAATTCTCTGAAAACTTCTTTACCATTTTGCGAACCGCTGTAGATACGTTGTTATAAATTATTTGAGACTGTTTAGCGTTTCTAAACATTCCAACTCGTTGTGTTACACGACCCTAAAAGTCTTCATCTTTTCCATCAAAAAAGTAATTGGATAACCTTTGGCGCTTTATTCGTATTTCTGTTCTTGCCTTGATCATCTTCAGAATCACCTGTGTCAGGAACATTATGATTCCACGGTGCATTTATAGTATTTCCTTAAAAAAATGTTTCGATTATTATTTTATTTGAACTTACTTCTCCCTTCCTGAAGGGTTCTTATTGTCATAGCATTTCCGAGTCCATCAAGTTTCGTTTTATAACGTTTAAATTTCGATTCATTTATGAATCCTGAAGAGTGTGTGTTACTACACCCCGGCCATTTGGGGATGAAAGTTTTCTTCGACATATAACTGAAACACAACTAGATAAGCAATGTCGAACACTAATGAATAACAGTTAGTATAAAAACTTTTTTCTTGTGTATTTACATACATTGACACCTTCTCCGCCCTTTAAACCGTAGAAGCTTGGCAGTGCTGGATTTTGAAATTCGAAATCCTGGTTATATTTGGCATTCTACGTACACTTCATAACCATAAATTACTGATAGCTGCAGAAAACTTGACAAGAACTTGATGGAGTTCCCAGAAGTGGTGACAAATAAGTAATTATGAAAGTATATCTTTGTTCAATACTGGAATGTTTGAAGAAGATTGTAAGGCAATTATATGCTGTTCTCTAAACTTTAATGACATAGGTAAGGCATTATGTAATTCAAGAGAGCTTCGAAAACTATCTATACTCTTTTTATTGTTTGTTGATACTTGGTGAATAGTGAAGATCATAAAACGAAAATGGCACGTCTGAGGTCTGACCAGTCGAACCACCAGCACGTTGATAAGTAAAGCCCTTATAAGGCTGATCAGATGGAACATCTTCCCTTATCACTTCCTTATTTTCTTGGATTCCTTCCATTTCTTGTCTCTCTAGGGTTCTATTGTCATTCAATTACTATTGCTTTTTTCAAACGTTAATACTTGCAGATGTCAACGTTTTGGGGAGTCGCAACAGCATCCACGTTCAACTATGAGCAAGCGAAAGCATATACATCTTCTGTAACATTTCCATATTTCATTTACTCTCTCTTCTATGTCGCAGTTATTTTTTCATTGAAGTCTTTCATGACAAACAGAAAACCACTTGAGGTATTCAGTTAAAATAGACTTAATGAATTTATAACATTCAGTTGAAAACCCCACTGAATCTTTGGAATGCCTGGTTGGCTGTTTTCAGTACTTTGGGTGGTTTGGTGACAGGTTTAGGACTTGTGAATGAAATTTATCACAGAGGATTTGTATGTGAGTTTCAACTTGCTCGAATAGATGATTGTAACGTATTAATTCAGCTTCTTATACGAGAATGGGAGACTTCTTCAATGGGGCCTCAGGATGGTGGACATGGCTGTTCGTCATGAGTAAGGCAGCCGAATTTGGAGATACAATCTTCATTGTTCTTCGTAAACGTCCTCTCATTTTCTTGCACTGGTATGTTGAGAAATATTGTAAGTGTCAGATGCTTGTATTATAGGTACCATCACGTTCTTACCATGAACTATGCTATGTATTCTTATGTCCATGATACTGCTTTCAACTCTTGGATTACTTGGATGAATTTCTCAGTTCATTCTATTATGTATGGGTGAGTTATCTTTCTGAATAATGCGTTTTGATTAAAATGTCTTCTTACAGTTATTATATGCTCCGTTCTCTTGGATTCCGCATTCCCGCTTGGATCGCCCAAAACATCACCACTCTCCAACTTCTTCAATTTATCGTTACTCTCGGAATCTTATTCCATGTCGGATACTTACGCGCCATTGGAGAAGTGATTAACTGTTCCACAACCGTTTTCTGGTTCTGCCTCATTATGGAGATCTCTTACGTAGCCCTCTTCGGTAACTTCTACTACCAATCCTACATGAAGGGAGGTGGAAAGAAATATCAAGCTGAACAGAAGAAGAAGGCTCATTAAGCTATTAACGTTTAGAACAAACTAGCTGTCTAACTATTGTTCACTACTGTCATAATCCTAATAAAATTAATAAATATTATGTTATTCTCAACAAATGGAATGACTCAAAGTTGTGATTGATAAGAAAATGATTTCATTCACGTGCATGCGCAAAATGCAAAAATAGTACGATAAAGGCTTTGCTTTTCGTGCAGCAATTCACTATGGAACAAAGTTCTTCATTGCAAAAGTGTATTTTGAACAGTGTCATCAACTGGCGTTGATTACCACTAAACGTCGAAACTGAATAACTCACTATCACAGCTCGTATGTGCACAATTTGATTTCTTTTTTATTATTACTTGCTGATGGGATCGTTCTAACTGCGGCTGTACGAATCAGTGAACCAAAACAAAAACTTTTCATGCACAGCATCGTTCTGAGAAATGAGCATCTTTACGAGGGCGGGGGTTGAATATTGGGACAACTTTAATCAATTTGCGTTGTCCACCGAAATTCCGCGCCACTTTCTGTCTAAACGCATAGATTTCCGTTGTGCTGACAATCAGGCCTTTTGATATAATAAATATTTCATTTAGATCACTGATCAGTTGTGCTACTTTTCAACTGGGCAATAGCCGTACCATTTTAGAAATGTCAACGTCTCCGGTTCGTTCGGCTTATCGTATGGCAACAATTTTCTTGTCAGCTGTTATGATGGCGTGGGGTGATATGGGACCATGCTAATTATTATATAAAGAAAAGGAGGTGAAGTTAATATTTGTTGGCGTCTATACGAGCTTACATCTATAGAAATGACAGTGGTATGCTTCAATACATAAACTTTTCAAATTATTCTGCAATTATTACAGCCGTCAACACTCTCGATCGTTTTCGACGAGTTTAACTATGAGCGAGCCAAGGAGTACGCACTTTCTTTGGAGGGTTTCTCTCTTAAGTTAGCCGTTGTTTATATTGCTGTCATTTTTTCTACTAAGTACTATATGAAGAACAGGAAGCCATTCGACTTGCAAGGTAATATATGTCGCCCAAAGTTTTGTAGTAAACCGATGTTTCTAGGTCCTCTCAACATCTGGAACGGTATTTTGGCTACTTTCTCTCTTCTGGGTTTCCTCTTCACGTTTCCAAAATTCCTGAGCGTAGTCGCTGACAAAGGATTAGGACGTAAGTAGATATCTCTTTTCGATTAAGTAATTCGATTATAGATGTTCATTTGCATATTAGTGAACTCCATACTGATAAATCATGTGGATACTGGGTACTTCTTTGGGTTTTATCTAAAATTCCGGAATTGGTTGATACCGTTTTCATCGTACTCCGTAAAAAGCCTCTTATGTTCATGCACTGGTAATTGATAATATGATTTACTCATAGGAATTTTGCAAACATCAGGTATCATCACGCTTTAACTGGATACTATGCCCTCGTATGCTATCATGAGGAGAACGCTCATATGTTCTGGGTAGTTTGGATGAACTATCTTATCCACGCCTTCATGTATTCGTAAGTCAAGCTAAGTTATGCGCTGTTTCATTTTGGTTTACTAGGTACTACCTCGCCAAATCCCTGAAAATTAAAGTTCCAGCTCTATTAGCTCAAATTATTACCACAGGTCAGATGGTTCAGGTTAGTCTCGGATCATTTACTGGAAAAAAAACATTTTATTAGTTTGCTATTGCCATTGCTGCTCAATTGCATGTAGGAATTCTCAGCCTAATGTCGGCTGAAAAGTATGCTGTCACTTTCAAGGGATGGTTCATTGGAGTGTTCATGCTTGTCACTTACTTCGGTCTATGGATACAGTAATATTTCGTCTTCGAAGTCTTTTTCGCACTCTTATCATTTCAGATTTTACAAAGAGTCATACATCAACAACGGTGGTAAGAAATACATCAAAGCTGCAGGAAAAGCTCAATAAACAAGAAGATACTCGTAATTTATTAAGTTTAATAAGTAAATGTTTTACCCATAAAACTTCGTTCATTCAACTAATTTCAAAGAACGCAAAGTTTCAAAAAAGAAATGCTTCGAAAAATACTTTCTCGGAGATTATTCCAAAATAGAATACATCTACACTCAACTTATGCTCAGTATCTTTCAATCTTACGTGTAGAACACTCAGAATCCAGAATCTGAAGAGAATGATCCTGACTCGCAAAAATTTGAACTGATAAAGACAGTTCATCAGGATAAGGGGTTCTATAACTACAGATAAGATTATGAAGTAGTGCAAGTTTTTATCGATTTTCTCCGAAGCGAAAAATCAATAACTTGATTGCTTGAAATGGTTGCCGAAATTTTTCTAAAACACTTCTCTAGTTATCAACTCTACACAATACGAAGCTTGGACACTGTAAAAACCTTGCACATATTCAATGAAAGAAGCTGCGACCACAAAATCAGTTCTTTTATTCCAACTTTACTAGAACATCCACATAGTTCCGGGGTTCAATAGACCAGGCCATTTCGGCCTTTGGCCTAAAAGAGTCTAAGGAGAGCAGAGAACACGCAAATGCTATGACCTCGACGCTTTTGCCGCGTCGTTTGACTTTTTTCTTCACAATCTCTGTTTGCTCTTTAATCCCGAATTCCCCAACCTCTCATCCATTCTGCTTTGTCTTGTTAGAATTTCTCTTTTCTAGAACTTCGATTAGGCAACAGATTATCTTTGCTTTTGTTTATGATTTATTGAGCATTGATAAAAATGAGAAATGTTCTCCTCTTAGCTACAGCACCAGTTGGTCTCGCACAATCTACTTTTTTCATTTCTAGATATTAATTATAAATTTCCTTTTCATTGAATCGCGCTTTCTTTTTCATTCAAAGTACAACTGTTATCAAAATGGCGAGATCTGTCGACCAGACGCGTTTTTCGTGTCGCTGTAACATGTTGGTAAAAACTGCTACCCTAGATTCTCGGCTTCCAACATAGTGTTCGAATCTCGATATGATATTTTAGCTATTTTTGTTATTAAGATGACTAATTATTCTTATTTAAAGGTATGGTTGCCCATGCCGCAGACGGGGTCACCGTCCGACCATTGAAGAACCAGGATGATGCAAATCCTGATGTTCTCAAGAGTCAGGTAATAAGTTTTCAAACTAATATTGGAATCGATTCGTTGTTCAGGACCGGCCAAAGTTGCCCTCTGTAGATGACTTTCGTCGTGCTATTCCCAAACATTGCTTCGAAAGAAATCTTGTTACATCACTGAGATACCTTTTCCAAGTAAGCCTTCAAGTGTAAGGATGATTAGCATTTTAATTTCTAGGATTATGCGATTCTTACTGCCCTCTATTTGACTGTTTCATATTTCGAGTTTTATGGAGGCATTTTGGGTCTTTTTGCTTGGTAATTTTTAAATATAGAGATGTTCGATGACATATTTGCTCCCAGGTATTGTCTCATGGGCGTCTTTGGATTCTCCTTGTTCGTGGTTGGTCATGATTGTCTTCATGGATCCTTCTCTGATTCTGAGCTCATTAACGATATCTGTGGTCATATAGCTTTTGCACCCTTGATGGCTCCCTATTACCCATGGCAGAAGAGTCATAAATTGCATCACACTGTTAGTAATGCTATCTTGCACCGTACATATTCTTGCTTTTTATAGTTTACCAACCACATTGATAAGGACATGGGGCATCCCTGGAACCAAGAGAAACATTTTATCACTTGGCCATTCTGGATGAAGTATTTCAATGCTTTTCCTCTATCTGGATGGGTGAAGTAATCTTAGCTATTAAAATTTGATTAGTGAAAAATAACAAATTAAAGATGGTTCCCTGTTTACACTGTATTCGGGTATAGCGATGGATCTCATTTCTGGCCTTACTCTAACTTATTTAAAAACAATCAGGAACGAATCCAATGTGTCCTCAGTGGCAGTCTCTGCGTTCTCTCTGCTTATGTAAGTGCCAAAAGTAACTTGGATTGATAATTTGTTCATTCAGATTGCTTACTTGATTTGTGGATCTAACGCTTTCACATTCTTCAAGTATTATGTTGTCCCTCTTTCCTTCTATGGTTTAATGTTGGTCGTTGTCACTTACTTACAACATACTGACGAGCAAGCCGAGGTAGTAGAAGTATATATCTGCTTCTTTCTATCGAGTGTTTTCAGATTTATGAACACGATGAATGGTCTTTCGTACGTGGGCAAACTCAGACTATTGATCGCACATATGGATTTGGTTTAGACAACGCTATGCATAACATTACTGATGGTAATTCCTAAAAAAATTTCCAGTGTTCAATCGGTTAATTTAGCTCACGTTGTTCACCACTTCTTCAACAGAATTCCTCATTACCATCTAGTTGAAGCAACCGATGGGATCAAAAAAGTTTTAGAGCCTTATGAGGGCACTCCATACGCTTACAAGTCAGAAATCAATTACGATTTCTTCGCTCGCTTCCTGTGGTATAACATCAAGCTGGATTATCTAGTATACAAATGCAAGGGTATCCTCCAGTATAAAGCAGGCCGTGATGCTAGCCTCCTGAAATCCAAATCAACTTAGAGCTTATTACACCTACCCAACTCATTTGTTTCTTTGTTCGTATGTTATAAACAATTTTCCGAAATGAAAGTTGATACAACACAACTAAAATTGCCCCAAACTTTATTATACAAAAAGGATAACAGTTATCAGGCAAGTTTGGAGTCTATTGCACTATATATCTTTTCATGAAGTGAATGGACCATTAAGAATTGAAAGTCGTCGAGGTAATTTGCAACTGTACCCTTACATGTGAATCGAGAGGTTATAATTATTAAAAAGCTATCATACAAACATAGGATTATATAGTGATTTATAGCAATAAATTATGAAAGAACCTTGTGTTCGATAGTTTCGAGCTTTACATCGGAATGTTGAGGAGATTGTACACTTAAATAGGAAACAACACTTATCCTATTTTCTACCAATATTAATTTATTATTAGAAAAGATGGGGCGATAAGAATGCCAAACCCGTGATAGCAGATTGTTCGTTAGAGGCTTTACTCTCAGAACTTATTTGGGCCTCGTTTTTCCACCCATTTAACGTAAACATTATTATATTCAGTGGAATGATGTCTCATGAGATGGCGCATAAAGTTTGAAGAGCATGGGCTTTTAACTATTCCGGCACAGATCGTGCACTGAGCGTTACCGTCAGCTGTTCTTTTGAAATATTCCCACACGGGATGTTCCGTTTTTCTATCAAGAGTTTCATTATTGATTAATCTGAGCTAGCTTATACCTGTTGCGTTTCAAATAAGCCTTTTCCCCTGTTCTCGAGTTCCCTGAGGCCGGAGTGGGAACTTGAGCCCAATCAGCTACTTGGTGTGGCTTGTTCGGGAGAGATAAACCTTAAAACATAATCAGGTTATTCATCTTTATTTCTGATCTCACTATGTGTTCGGGCCATTTGTCCATCCGAGTCTGCGCTAGCTGATGCCATATCATGGGGATGAGTTTGCCATTGGTTGACGGATGACCAGGAAGGTCTTTGCCATGCATGAGGGTCCTGAGACAGATAGGGATGCTTTTGAAAATGATTTTATTACAAACGTTGGGCTCATAGTCTCCAAAATTTCTAAACACGTGCTCTGATGAATCGAAGCTGTTTCCGTATCCATCATTGAATATTTCCGATTTTACAGGGTTGTTTTGGTTCAGAATATTTGGACCTAAACCCTGATCCGAAGTATTGTGATGAACGTTAGGACCTTTCTGCGTTCTGAATCTACGGATACCCTGATGTTTCTGTGTAAGCTCATTTACCTATACTGTTTAATCTGTACAACTAAGTGTTGATAATCTTGATGATGATGACGTTCCAAATGTTTTGTCATGTTCGTGGCACAAGCAGACTTGACGACCTATAAAGAAAAACAAGGTTATTCGGTTTTCACCTATAACTTCAGATAATTTTCTCAGTTTCTTCCAAGTTGCTTATTTGCTGTTCTATTTAACCTAAAGATGGATAAGAGTCCATTTTCTTTTCGAATTAGGTCAATTTCCATGTTTCAACTTCCTATCAAGGCCATTAGCTGTCTTCTTCCCAGATATCTTTCTTGTCTTTTCATTAAACAATCGCCGATTAATCAATAGCCAAAAACTATTTCTTGAAATTCTACCGAGTGAAGCAATGAAAAGACAAAGCCAAGAAACCAGGTGCTTAGCGCAATCTCGAGACCTAACCCGATCTAGCTCTTTTTGCTACAAAACGAAACACGTCACGAGATTTCGTTCTCAGCATAAGTTTAAAAGCGAAATCTCCACTAACTATAGATTAGAGAGGAAAAGCCAAAAACAAGAATAATCTATTTGTGAAGGTAGGTTTTCCCAAACAAGAAGCTGATTGTTGATAATTTCGAAAAGATATCTGATGCTTCATTGTTGCATCTGATCTAATCTTGAAAGTGGGTCGAATTACCGTAATGGGATTAGATATACCAGCGAATGGATATATCCCATTGATACGGTAGTGTCTCAGGTACTATACATATAGTAAAGAACGATATCTAGGGGAAAACGTGGTAAGTGAGAGAGAAAGGGTGTGGGTTGAAGATCGACAAGAAAGTTTCAAAAACGAAACTTATATGTTTAATTGACCTCTATTACGTATACCCGGTTCCCTATTTGCACCTCGGTTCAACTTATACCCCACTTTACGGAGAAAATCAGAAGTTTAGGTTTGTAATAGTAAGGAACAACGTAACACATACTTAGATAAGAATCAACATATAAAACGAATAGAAATTGAAAAATCACTGAAGAAATCTTCGAAAATCTTGGAAATAAAGCCAAAAAGACTTACCTTTGTACATAATCGGCACCGAACATTTTGATCGTCTAGCCGGATGAAATAGCTCCAACAGGGGTTTTCCGTTGGTCGTCCTCGTTTAGCTGGAGGAGTTACATCTGAGGAGTTACTTGGTACCCTATCAGGCTGTTCCTCTTTGTCATCGAACAACTTGTTCTCTTTGACAGATAAATTTACAATTTCCTGCTGCTATTAAAATACAATATGAAAAGCAGATAAACATATTGCGACAAACCTTGTGGTAAAGTCTAGTCTCTTCAAACTGTTTTGCACGCAGATCAGCAAAGTCATATTTCATTTGATCAATTTTAGGCTCGGTTCCAATATTAGTATAGGGGATCTAAACACAGAATGATAGCACCATGACGTTAGAAAGTTAGAAATGTAATAATTTATTTCTCCTATCAACAGATATGTTTTATCATATAGTTTGTGTCAAAAATTAACAAATATTATTTTAACAAGGAAGTCATCTTAGCTTCAGATATTTAGAATAAAGAATTTACACTAACGTCATGATCGTAGGGAACTTGCTCAATATGGCGAATATCAGGGTAGGTTGGAAAACACCAAGGAGAAGGCAAATCTAGCGTTAAGGTGGAAGTTACAACGGGAGGCTGAACTGGGGCTAGAGTATAAGGATGTAAAGGTACGGGGCATGACAACACAGCTCCAGAGTTAGGAATCTGTGAAGGCACGTGATTCAAGACTCCAGAAGACGCACTGGATGAGGAAGTTGTAGTTGAAGCCGACGAAGGGCTTATACTACTGTCATTCATGAACGGATTACCCGATTGATAAATGAGTGGTAGAGCTGACGGTGATGATGTACTGGAAGCAGCACCGGGTGGCAATTGAATAGAGGCAGAAGCTGCACTGCTCAAATACCCTACTGCTCCAGACGAACTCATCGTTTGGGTACTACGAAGGAACCGCGTAACGTCAGTTGCTACAGAAGCCGCTACGTCTTCTCTCAAACAAAAGGTGTCAGAGGAAAAAGAGGTCTCCTCGTCGGTTACGTCTTCAAGAGTCTTGGTACTGCCAGTACTGTCTAATACCAGTAAAGGTTTGTTGGCAGTTTTGTTTGGACGTTCAAAGTCGTGATGGTAAGGGGGGTAGTGATCAAGACGAAGGGAAAGGTCTTTGCCTTCCGTCGATAATCTTGCAGACACGGTCAGAGCGTCCGATAGACTCTGGCTATCGGATCCGCCCATGTACTGTCGTCGTCCTCGTAGTCCAACTCGATCTTCCGTCATGCGTTTTCTCTTTCTCTCGGCACCATCTCCAACTTTAATGTTCTCGTCCGTGTCTGATGAAGTGTCTGACAGTAGCAACGCTTCTCGTGTACGACTCATCAGAAGCGCAGTTTCGGGATGATGTCTAAAATTATAAATTTCACCAAAAATCGAACACGCGAATTGTAAATTTGAATGCCTGAGCAAACTAAAAACATTTTTTGTAGTTAGGAGATTTTTGATCAATAAGAGTGTTTATGTAATTAGTATTTCAATTGAGCCTCTCACCTTTTCATATGTCGACTTAAATTAGTGGAGCACGCTGATCTGACAACGCCATTACACAAAAGGCAGACGCAGTCAAAACGATCCATTCGTTCGAAATAAGACCAAACAGGATGAGCATATCTCCTAACTCTCTTTCTTCTTCTAATCTCTAATAGTTCCCCAGAAGTAGATGGAAGCTGAATAACAGTATGGTCCTGGTATCCCCCTCTTCTCGGAAGGGTGTGAATATCTTCGTTATTCGGACTCATTGAATTTTTTTCCATGAGGGAACAATTTTTTTCAATGGGTGCTGCATTCCGTTTCTGATCAGAACTCACATCTCGAAGATCTTTTTGATGTCTTTTTTCAGTAACAAGCTATTAAGAAAAGATGTTTATGCGGCTGTTCTACCTAGCTAACCTTAAAACATAGAGATAACAACTCAATCGAATGTTTTTCTTGGATATGAGATAACAATAAGACATCTGTTTCACTGGTGAATCCACAAATGAAACAAGGCTTTACCAAAAGACTTTCTGCCATTAGGTTGGCTACTGCAAATTAAAATCTAATCTTCAACAAAAAGTAGGAACACAATGCAGAAAACAGAATGAAAAAAGAATAAGCAACTAAGAATTTGAGATAAATACCACATTCAAGGGAAAAAAAACTAAATATCGTACGAAGTGCGCCTTAACTTGCTGCTTATCAAGTACACTTGCAGGTTTAGAAATCGAGAAAGACATCAATTGCCAAAGTGACACACACAACAAATCCATTCCCATAACGGCAACTTGTTTCTGAACCAGTATCTTAGGTTAAGTTCATCAACTTCAATCTATATAACTCCTCTCGTACGGATTTAAAGTTACGCTTGTAGCCTTCTTCACTGATTGAACAATAGACGCACTTAATAACGGCTCAAATCAGTTGTTAAACTTTCTTTAAACCAACTTTCCATTAAGCGACCTTTCAAAATCACACAAGTAGGTCAAACTGTTGTCTTATCCAATTTGCCCAAAAAGAACTTCCCGTATTTGAAACAATCAAATAAAACTAAAAAAAAACAAAAAAAAATTTGTTGCCTAATTTATCTGAGAACAGATCATTCACGATCTTTAACCAACTTAAGATCATACTCTACATTTTTGTTAGCGCTATGATTTTTTCAGAAGCTCGAAAGTTATGGGATTCGCTCGAGAAACATGTGTGTAAATTGTATTTTCCAAAGCTCAAGACAATTGTATAAAAGTTCCTTCTCACAATATTACGAGAAGGGCAATGACACGAACATACAAATCAGTGAAATGAAAGTCAAAATCAAAGAAGAGCACATTTGAAAGAACTCTAGGAGACTACGAATTCATAAGAAAGGTTGGAAAGCAAATAAAAACTGGAACATGTAAAGGAAGGATCATTTTGGAATTTCGGTTCAACCTGCAGGAAAGTACACCCGAAGTGCAAGTTTATCGCCTAAGTACAGCCGTTTACAGAACTTGGTCAAAAAAATGCTGAATTAACAGTGACATCCTAATGCATTGTACTGCTCCAAAATTGAGATCATTATATCCTAATACTAATACTAATACTAATACCATTTTCCAAAAAGTATTAGAGCAATAAGGCGGATCAATCAAAGTCCACTTAATTCAAATTAAGTCTTACCATCATTAACCTCACATTCCTCCAAATAAAATTCCGCAATTCATCAACTTTATAACTGAAACACCGGCCTGTTTCGAACCGTCATGAACTATCAACCTACTAGCAATGGCTCTTATTTTTAAAGGGCGGTTTGTTAGAATGTGGTCCTGCACCGATGTAAAATCTACAGTATCCCAATTTCAACATACACTGGGGAAATACTCCAGAATCCCAAATTTATGCCACCTTTTTTCAAAGTTTTCTCATTTTCTGAGTATTATTTAACTATAATAATTGTTAATGACTGAAGTAATTGTCGTTTTTCCACGTTTTTATTCAATTTCTTTAGTAATATTTTGATATAAATTCTTGTTTTTGCAGGGTATCCCGAAAGCTTGTAGCTTTTCGTCATGGTGGGTTAAATACCAGGTTTTGTTTATTATTGTTTTTTTTTTAGGGTATTGACATCAATCACAAGCATGACCGCAAGGTCCGCCGTACTGCCCCAAAGAGTGAGGATCCATACCTCCGTATCTTGGGAAAAGTAAGCCTTCATTTGTATGTTGTTTTTAAAATGTTATTTAAGCTTTACGGATATTTGGCCAAGCGTACCGGCTCTAACTTTGACAAGATTGTCCAAAAGAGAATCTTCATGGCTAGACGCTTCCGCGCTCCAATTTCCCTTTCTCGAGTCAGCCGAATCTTGAAGCAGGGTGAGAACAGTAAGAAGATCGTTGTTACTTTGAGCCCTGTTACTGATGATAACCGTCTCTACGAGGTTCCAAAGCTCACTGTAAGTTTGTGCTGAAAGTGGAAAAATCCAATACTCAATTCTTAGTTGGCTGCTCTCAAGGTCACAGCTCCCGCTCGTGCTCGTATCCTTAAGGCCGGAGGAGAAATCATTACTCTTGACCAACTCGCTCTTCGTGCCCCAAGAGGAGAGAACACCCTCCTCATCCAAGTAAGCATTTTTAAAATGAAACCTTTTTAATCTTTATATTGTTTAGGGACCCCGTAAAGCTCGTGAGGCTGAGAAGCACTTCGGACCCGCTCCAGGAGTACCACACAGTCACACTAAGCCATACGTCAGATCTAAGGGAAGAAAGTTCGAGAGAGCTCGTGGACGCAGAGCCAGCAGGGGTTACAAGAACTAATTTTATTGTTCGTTGTTATTGTTTTTGCGATGTTTCTTGGAGGCAGCGTAATAAACTTGTCAATAAGAGTCGTTTTCTTTTTTTTTTTAGCATTATTGTGCCATTGAAATATTTAGTGTATGCGTTAGATTTGCGACTTTGGTTACCTGGCTACAGACCGGTTGCATTCAATGTTCAAAAAAGGAGGTCTTGTTTCAAACTGTGCTTTTTCAATATATATATTTCCTGTTCGATCGATGTATTTGCGTTTTTGTTCTTGTTTCAATACGGTCATGCAAACGTGTAGGTGCCGCGTGGCATTATCAGCACCTATCTTCATTAGATTCATGCTACGTTCGATCATCTATGCGGTTTAGTTTATATTCGATTTTACAGGCTTGATGCATTTGAGCCGATATCTTAGCCGTAGATATATTAATGTTATACAGTATTTATTGTGCCTAGGATTTTTATATACAATTTACTCCTTCGTAGTGGAACAAAAATTAGCGAATCATAGATCATATGAGAATGACTTACCAGATATAGATAGTGTGAGAGAACCGAGATTTCCAGGTGATGATGGTATGTTTTCGAATACCCCTTTGTATGTAAATTGTATGCTATAGTGCGCCCAAAGCATCAAGAAATCGAGCCTGATGATGAAAACTTTGGAAAGGATCCTTTTTTAAACTATAAAAACCAACCAAAAATCGTCAGTTTCGCTTCTTTATAAATCATTAGAGTTGTATTCAAGGATTGGCTAGATAGGAATGAATATAGGAAAGACCAAGGGCGTTCAGGACCGGGTGAGCAAGGAAAGGCTGTAGAGCTTCCTAATGATCCCAATGTTGAGAAAGAAGCGGTGCATATTTCATCTTCACTTTTACTAATAATTCCAAATTTTAGCTTGCTCTTTATAAAGCCAATGGTTATAATGCTTATATATCCGATATGATTCCGTTGAATCGATCGATAAAAGATATACGTCATCGCCAATGCATGGATATAAGGTATTCATCAAAATTACCCACTGTTTCAGTGATTTTCCCATTCCATGAAGAGGTGAAACATTTTAAATTTATTTTTTCAATTTTCAAATGTTACAGCACAATTCAACGTTGCTTCGCTCTGTATATTCCATTATCAACCGATCTCCCCCAGAGCTTCTGAAAGAGGTTCGAAGAACCAAAGTTCAGCTCCATCAAACTTATTTTCAAATTGCAGGTTATCTTGGTAGACGATTTCAGTGAAAAACCGTTTCTCAGGCAGCCATTGGATGATTTCTTCAAAAGAGCTAAATTAGACCACATGGTCAAAGTCATTCGTACTAAGTACAGAATAAACCTTTATAATAATGAGTTATCGCAATCCTATTGTAGGCGAAGAGAGGGGCTTATACGCGCTAGACAAATCGGAGCAGAGCAAGCCTCTGGTGAAGTTTTAATTTTTCTCGATGCTCATTCAGAAGCCAACTATAATTGGCTTCCTCCTTTGCTCGATCCTATAGCAGAAGATTACAGGTGATTAATCTTGATTCATGAATCTTTTAAGAAAAGTAGTTTAGAACTATTGTTTGTCCTTTCGTCGATGTGATCGACTGTGATACTTACGAAGTTCGTCCTCAGGATGAGGGAGCTCGAGGTATGTCTAAGTTTAGGAAAGCAGTGTAATCTGTTCCGCAAACTGTTCTTATAGCAGCCCTTTTATTCTATTCATATTTCCAGGCTCCTTTGACTGGGCTTTCAATTACAAAAGGCTGCCTCTGAGAAAAGAAGATCGAGAAAATCCCACTAAACCTTTTCCCAGTCCTGTAATGGCAGGAGGGTACTTCGCTATATCTGCGAAATGGTTTTGGGAATTAGGTGGTTATGATGACGGATTGGATATTTGGGGTGGCGAACAATATGAATTGAGCTTCAAAGTAGATCAAATATCTTGATCCCACTATCTATTTTTCGCAGGTATGGCAGTGCCATGGAAGAATGGTGGATGCTCCTTGTTCTCGAGTAGCGCACATCTATCGTTGCAAGTACATGCCTTTCAAAAACGCTGGAGTTGGCGATTTTATTAGCCGAAACTACAAAAGAGTGGCTGAGGTACGTTCTAAACTTACTTATTTTTAATGAACAGTTCACAGGTATGGATGGATGAGTATAAACAACATCTCTTCAAGCATAGAGCGGGAGTTGGTGAGGCTGATCCAGGTATTGAACAGTAATCGTATTGTTATCAATCTCGAAATGCAGGAGATATCAGCAGACAGAAGGCAGTTCGCCAAAAGCTGAAATGTAAATCTTTTGATTGGTTTATGAAGGAAATCGCATTCGATCAAGACAAGTATTACCCTGCAGTGCAACCTGAGCCATCAGCGCAAGGTATATATTTATTATACGTTTCCCTCGGACTGATAAAAAACTGAAATTAAGGTGAAATAAGGCACAAAGCTTCAAATCTCTGTGTTGACACGCAGTATAAACAATCTAATCAACGATTCGGACTCAGAAAATGCATCAGTGACGATCCTAGCTCTGGTGGAGAACAGGTCTGAAATTTTTTCCATGGAGATCTATGAAATTATGTCTAGAACCTTCGTCTCACTCGTTGGCATGATGTACGTCCCAATGGACGGAGCGTGTGCTTTGATGCTTCAACATCGACTGACAAGGCTCCTGTTGTGCTGTTCGATTGGTAATGTTATGATTCTCAGTATAGATATGATTTTTCTTTTAAGTCACAGCATGAAAGGAAATCAACTCTTCAAGTATAGGGTAGAAACTAACCAGCTCTTCCATCCGGTTAGTACATCATTTTATTGTTCAATAATTTATTTTTTTCTAGATATCTGGTCAATGTATGTCTGCTGCATCGGATGGTTCTGGATATATTTATATGCAAACCTGCGATTCTTCGAAACCAGAGCAGATTTGGTCCTGGCAACATGTCAACAAAGAATTGCTCTTGGAACGGCAAAATGCGGAACCTCATGAGACAGACTAACTGATCGGTTAAATATCTATCGCAATATTCAAGATTTCACTTTAATAATTATTCGATTGATGGGCTATACGGGATCTTTTAACATTTGATGAATGTGATAATTTGCAAGAGTATTCATTTAATTACGTGTATTATTCAGACTTTTTTTTATCGTTGCATTAATAAAGTTAAAATCGTTTTAACAATATTCAGGCTACTCTGATCCAAAACTGAAAGAATCATCGTCACTCTTCAACTCAGGAGGAGCAATACAATGTATGAGTGGAATCACAAATACCTGAAACAGAACATGCCACAAATACAAAAAACAATATTACTGTTATGTCATCGTTGGAAGAATGCCCTCCTGCTGACATCATCCATCGACCTTCCTCGAAATTTCCTCTTGCGGCAATCACAAGTTCCTGTGCCGCTACAGTGTATCTGGAGGAATATAATACTTACTTCTTGATAACTGCTGGTTACCTGCTTGGGTCATCAACATCGATAGTAGATAGCGCTGATCGAACAATTAGTGCTGCATCTTCGTTGCTCAACACATCCCATAAACCATCGGATGCCACAATAATCACATCTTTATCAGTGAGACTATCCAAGCTTCTCAAGTCCAAAACTTCCACTTCAGGAACTGATGTAAGGAAAGGTTTAATAGGAATACGGTCATCAACTGTTAGTAAGTGATGATCACCGAATCCCCTTGAAACTCCTATGGTGTTCAACAGACGCTTCTGAACATTTTCTGAGTTTTATAAAAAATTTTCCAGGTTTTAAACACTTTTTTGAATGAATCACTTATCAATGGTGGTTTCAAGTCACTAGGTTGAACTGTTTTCATCGCCCACCCATCCATGAACCAATCTCTGGACAAGAACATAGCTTGGGAACAATCTCACGCATACCTGTACAAAACTTTAGAGTTTAAATCTTTCTTGAACAAAGGTCGCGAATACTCAAGTCTGCTGAACTTATTTTTTATAAAATCTGGATTATTGTATGCCTAAAAACAGCAACATTTTTCGAAGAAATGGAGTCAATTACAATAGTTTGTAGTCGTTTTCTCTCAGATTCTGGGTTGAAATCCGTAGTTAATGCTCTGGTACTTTGAGAACATACTAATACAGCTCGGCAATCACCAGCATTCGCTTAAATTATTCGATTGTTCAGCTCTTAGATCAGGGCAAATACAATACAACCACTTTACGATAACAACTTTTCAAAATGAAGAGAGAATGAACGAACAAACCTATGTAGACTTTTCCGAGGAATACAAGTACAGCTACGGCAGCACATCCACCAGGTAGACGCCACACTTGTTTATCTTCCATAATTTGATTATCCTGGAGAAAATTTTTCATGATTTCATTGGAAGAATAAATTAAACCATATCAACGAATGCTGACTGTAAAGCCCCTATCACTAATTGATCGCACTTGATAGTCTGGGAAGGATTCATCTGTAAGATATAACTTTATAAATATTTTGAAAGACAACGGTACTTTGCAAATATTGTAGAATGAATCAGATGAATGAAATCTGCCCATCACACGACATTCTTCTCGGTCCTGGTAAAGGATGAACTCCAAAGTTTGACTAAGTCGGAGCTTAAAAAATATTTTACACCTCTTGAAACTTTAAATTTTATTATAGTTTTGATAGCAAAAAAACTCCGTCGAGCCGGATTCGAACCAGCGACCTAAGGATGCCTACAACTCTACAGTCCTCCGCTCTACCAACTGAGCTATCGACGGTTGAATTTTTAGAGCAAACATACAATCCTCATATCTCATGAGAGAATAGGTTTCTCACACAACTTTATTCCCTTTGGAACGAAAAGGATTTTGCATACTATAACTCACCTTAACATGCTCGTGTAGACATTTGCTTGACACCACAGCTGCAGAACAACCAGCGTGGCCATCCAGAATAGCAAAAAAGGAAGCCTCAGCTCGAAGACCCGAATTAATAGAGCACTGAAAGTTTTAAAGAACTTAACATTTCTCTTTCTCACAAACTTTGGTAAGATAGAGAGGGGAACTAGAATTATCATCATCAATTGGTGTAGGTTCTTCAGTCGGCACACCCGTGTAACTATGATTATTGGGTAGGTAAAGCGTTTGAGGTTAGACACATACCCATTCACTTCAACTCCTTTGCCCTCTTCTGCTTCATGACATTGTTGAATGAGAGATAATACACGGGCTGAGGCTTGGTCTTCATTCATTTCGGTTTTTCCTTCAAACAGCAATGCAAATAATTTCTCATTGAGCTTAATACCGCTGTTAATAACTTCAGCATAGCCTGCATAAAGGGGCATGCGATTGGGAAACTTGGGGCAAACAACCGGACGAACGCATGGATCAGCAGATAACTTTGTTTCATCCTCATTATAAAGCAAAAACTCCGGACGGCTATACGGAAATAGTTGTTTTTCAACAATACCTTCAAAGAAAATATCAACTTTTCATACCCACGAACCCTCACAATCACGACATCATGGGAAAAACTACTTGAACTACTATCAACACAGTATGCTATTGTATATACGAACTTGGGATGAAGCCACCGATAAAAGTACCATCAGAAACTTCTACAACTTTTCCGACACGTTGCTCATTTGTTGTATCTCCTTGAAGATCTTCTCTCGAACCAAATAGTACAGATTTTAGTCGTGAAGTGAATTCCATTATAAATTACTTATTTTTATTAACAAGTATTCCAGAGCTCATCTTTAAAATTAATCGATAGCTACTCTAGGATGGAACATCAGAGGAGTTACGCGGCCATATCGATTGACAAAAAAATATCTTTTCAAATTCCCGCGCGCGTTAGCGTGTTGAGTACCTTACCGTAATCCAGGGTGTATGAAAGTGAACTGGACAGAGAAATTCGAAAGGCCTATGTATTTTATTGAAATTACTGCTATATTTTTTCTTGTTTTTGTTTAATTTTGATAGTTTTGATATAATCCTCGAGACTTTTCAACTTTTCATATTGTGGTTATTTTTTGGTTGAAGTTTTTCCATAAAATGAGCGAGTTTTAGGCCTTATTCTGTGCATATTTTTCGTTCGAATGTCTCGAAAAAACATATTATTGTTTCACATGTATTAACTTTTGTGTTCTTAGGCGAAATGGCTCAAAGGGTCACCTACAGGCGTAGACTTTCCTACAACACCAAGTCTAACAAGACTAGAATTGTTAAGACCCCAGGTGGAAGACTTGTATACCAATACCTTAAGAAGAGAGGTGCCGTCCCAAAATGCAGAGATACCGGAGTGAAACTTCACGGAGTAAGTTGAATCATTCATTGTGTTTCATACATTTTTGCTTATAGCTCACCCCAGCCCGTCCACGTGCTCTCTCTAGACTTACTAAGAACCAGAGAACCGTTTCTCGCGTATATGGAGGTTGCCTTTCCGCCAATGCCGTTAAGGAACGCATCACCAGAGCCTTCCTTGTTGAGGAACAAAAGATCGTTGCTCGTGTTCTCAAGCAAGCTAAGTCTGCTGTTAAGAACGATTAAATTCATTGTTTTCGTTGAATATAAATTGTTATGAAAATATAATCGCTTTTGGCTGATGGGTTCAATTTCCTTTAATTTCGATTTCTTTGAGGAGTAGTGATGTTTTGATTATTCGTGGTCCTTTCTGCCCAGTCTCCAAAATTTCTGCGAGGTTTAGTAGCCATTTTTCAATAATATCTATGCAATCTGCGTAGAGATCTCTAGGGCAAGAGCCGTTCTGAATGTTGTTATGTTTGGTTATTTTGATGGCTATACCTTAAGTATGTGTGAGTGAAAAGACTCTTCTACATTTTTCTTCCATGGGGAGGGAATTTCACAGTTCTTCAATAATGAAAAATTGACTCCTATCTATGAAATACCTTGTAAGTTAGTTTGGTGGCTTTTCTTATGTTGTGAAGAATTTTAGATGAGTTAAGTTCCCTGAATGTTATCTAGAAATAATAACTAGGCAGTATGAAGAACCTTAATTGGTCATCTATTCTCTGCAGGGCAACAGTACAGTTCTCTAATATTTTTCTATTCTCCAATACACGCGAGGAGAAATTGAACGTGAGCTTCTAGTTAAATGGTTTAGTTTGTTAAACTGTATAGACTTGCTTTGATAGGAAGAGATTCTAGTTTTGATAGAGAAGGGAAAAGGAGTGGGCTTTCGTATTCACTAAATTGTTGTTTCATTTCATTGAGTTGAACTTACATGATTGGTAACGATGGCAAATATGCTAATGATAGTGGTTGATTCAGGAAATCGAGCATTACAAACTATACCGGTCTGTCAAAAAAAACAGAAAAGAATAGCTTTGCTTCCACGTGAACACGTGACATTTTTCCAAAACTGTACTGAACTATATTTATTAATATTATTGCGATGTTTTGGAAATCCGTAATAGAATATTATGAAAATGAAAGAAACAGAACGACTAATGGGGTGTGAGTTGTAGTTGATTGTCCCAATTCCCGAATATGTTCCTCTTAGGTTTTCCTTTGTGGTTTCTAGCATATTTTGTATAATTCGTTCTGTAATATTCCGGAATTTGCGGAAGACTATAGCTCTTTACCGTATGCTGGTTTTCTTTTGTCCGAATTTATCCTGTTCGTCTTGACAAGGGCACTCTTTTTTACCATCATCGCATTCCATGTGCACAAGATGACCACATCTTAAGTTTGAAGTTCATCTCCAGAATAAAACTCTTATTACCGGAAAGCAAATGCTGATTTCGATATTTGGTTGGAACAGATTATGCAGACAGATAGAGTAGCTTGACAAACTTTTGTTGATGGTATGCATATCATATCTCGGAGTGTTGTGGATGTTTCGGAATTCTAAAATTAAATATCTCGACAATATGCTGAAAATTATTAACCATGCAGTGTGATATTTCCGTGATCATTGCTTCTTCAAACATACAGGATGATAGAATGAATTCAAGCAGTGATTGGTATTCCCTTAAACCCGTGGAAATTAAATATTCAGATGAAAGTGCTTACTTGTATGAAGCTTGCGCGAAGCTAGAGCATTCCAGCAGAGAAGTGAAAAGTTCATACACATGTATCGTTCCGGCCGAAAGAATTCTTCGGCAAAGTGTTTGAAGTTGCTCATCTACTTCTATTCTTAGGTTCATAAAGGGTTAGTAGTTGTCAACTAACCTGAATCAACCGAGAGTTTTCCCACAACAACTTTGAAAACTTTGAGTAGCCAACCATTTGTTTCAGCTTTCACGGGATTTTTGTTGCAAAAAATCATTATGTGATCAGTCCAGGTAGCTAAGGTACAAACATAATGGTTAAGTAGTTTTCAAACCCTACCCAAGCTTGGTCCCGTCGGAAGTTCAGACAGCTTGGCAAAAATGAGTTCGAATGCTCTCTCTGCTAGCCCCCTCGCTTCTAACAATATAATCTATAAAATTGAACTACACAAAGCCATTTTCAAGCAACGAAACCATCGCTTTGGTTGAATTATGCTCAGAAACTATGTTGAGACAAAAGTCTGTTCTTGACCCGATAGGCTGCCAGTATCTGAGGAGCTCCTAAAAACAATGAACGATAAGCCATAAATGAAAATAACTGCTCATCACCTCGAAGTGTAAATCGAGTTGCTCAGGATCTTTGATTACTCTGAAGCTTTTTTCTATGATAGCACCCATCAACAATTCATCGATATCATCATTGCCGCTGATTACAACCTCTTGCCTTGACTTCCTAATACAACCAAACATTACGTTTCTCATGCTGAATATTATTCTTTACCTGATGAGCATGACATTCTCAATCAAGTCAGCGTGAATTTTACGATTTTCTTCTACGGACATGTCTGTATCTTTGAAGTAAGTAGGAAAATAATTGAGGATCATATTGGCACATTGTTCGATGTCAAGTTTCATTAATTTCTGTAGTCTTTGATAAAATTCTGGAGATTTAGAAAGAAATACCGGTAATAGATCGAGAATGAACTGATGTGTTTCTGTCTTCTCTTGTGCTGTAAGGTCCGATTCCAGAATAGATCGAATCACTGGAAACACTTCCTGAACAATATAGATTTCAACAAATATTCAGAAACAAAACAAACAGCAGTGTTCTCCTGGAAAAGGCAGCATTTAATCAGATCAATGAACTTTCTTTCATTAGAATAGAGGAAACAACATACTCTAGGCCTGAAAAATAGAATTGTTCGAACGTTCACACTATACTATCCAACCTCATGGGGGTTTGAGACAGCCTGAGAACTCTTTGTCTATCTATAGCTTGTATAACTTTTAAAATCTCAACTATTGTTGTTTCTGCCAGCACATCTTGCCAGGAACTTTTAAGGAGACAATCGATAACCTGAATAAGTTGAAAATTCACAAGTATAAGAATACACCTTACATTTTCCACTATTTCTACTGGAGGAAGAATTAGATTTTTTCCTGCAAGCTGAATAATCAACTGAAGATAATGAACCAGTATAGTATGGGTTCGCAGATCACAGGAGAGTAAGCCGAGCTAAAAGAAATATTCAACACAGTTCATAGTTAATCACATACTGTTTCGACTACTCTTTGTAGTCTATCATCTTCTTGGAAGAGCTTCGCATCCACAGAGTTGCAAATTCCATTAACAAACTAAGAATGCATATGTAAACTTCACACGTTTTTTCTGTGTAAGTCTACCTGTTGAGCATCGAACAACATCATTATCCTTAAATATGGATACTTTTCACCCTTATGCTGACCATCTTTCCCATGCAATGAAACAATACATCGGAATATCTATTCGGAGATTATGCCAGGTATCCGTGGAAAAACTACCTCAAGCGGCACACGATCGTTTGCTTCCTTGGGTAATACGCCCAAAGGATAAGCATGTCCTGCGAGACAGCAATGTACATACAATAACAAACGATTTCCTTGCTCTACTTCTGCGTCCGTAAAAACATCCCTGTAGACAAAACTTGAGACAGCTTCAAGCATCTCCTGTCAATTTATTGCATATAAGCAGAATACGTGAAATAACATTACCTCTAAAGGGGTTATGTAATCACCCAACGCTTTATTGAATACATAAATGATTCCATCATACAAACCGTTCTGTCGGCAAACAATCATAACCTGAAAACATAATTTTCAACATAAATAGCAAGAAAGGCTTACATGATTTATGTCTATAGAGTGGATTGGAAAGCGAACCACGGCTGCTTGGAACTGTGCAAAATGTCCTTCCGCGCTCAAATGCGTTAAATATGCGGAAATTATAAGAGGTGGAGCATCATATAATGCTTGGTCTAGAACCCATTCATCTAGCATTTCCAGGAGTACAGTCCGCGCTAGAGGATCTTTTTCGATTCTTAATATATTAGTGAATTTGATAAGTATTGATCTTCTTGCCTGGACCAAGAGTATTCGAATAGAACATCCGTTACTTTGGAGCTGAAGCTTGCGTACAATAGAACTTGTATGTGTTTCTGTAGTTAGAAGTGCTCTCGATTCATACTGAGCATGCCTACCTTGTAATGTATCAACAACTCGCTTATTTTACCATTCTTACAACCATCCATGATATGCATAGTGAGATTTTGAAGAGCAACTGCATTATACCTTTAATTAAGTCAAAGACAATATACTGACCTCGTAATGAGTTTTGTAGAACCAGCAGATTGTTATTACTTGGCTGGCTCTTCTTGGTCAGAAGATCGTTTAGGTACAAACATGCAGACGCAAAATCATTTCTAAACTCACCATATCAAGAGGTAAAGGTTTACGAATATCAGCATACCTCTGATAAAACAACTGTACTTGATCATTTTCTGTGAGGGCATTTATCGTATACAGCCCATTTGAGGTTAATATATACACTGAAGAGTCAGATCTACAGAAAGTCTGGTAGCATACGGTCTCAGCTAGACAATGTAATGCAGCGGAAACATTACCACCGGTTGATAGGCCCTAACATAGAAAATAAAAATAGCTTAAACTAAGAGATACCTTATAATCCGCAGTATTGAAAATTAGCTCTAAGTTGTCTGATTGTGCCTTCAACACAGCACCTCTACTACTGTCAATTACAGAAGTCTTCCCAGTAGAATCAACCAATAGTATAGCTTAAACCATAAAAATAATAGATTAATAGGGTTACATGAAAAATACCGTTAGGGCTAAACCATTGCACAGCCACCACAGGTGCTGGGAGGATGAACTTAGCATTCAACACAGAAGCTTTTTTACGCTTCGACAATAAATTAGGATAAAGAGTGATGATGAAGAAGCTCGTTCCTCTTCCAACACACAGTTTCAGCTCTCTAGAGCTTTGTTTCTGCTGCAAAACTAAGTAGTTTCTTTAATAATAAATGAAACTGACAGTGATATTGTAAAAATCAATCAACGGTGGATAACCCAAATGAAAATCGAGCGGGTAAGAACAAAGCACAGATCCCCCGAACTTAGTAGAAACAAGCATCAACTGGAACCAGTAATGAATGAATATGCGAATCAAAACGTTGTGAACTTTTGAAACTGTCATAAGCGCTAATAAAGAATGAGACAAGTACTTCATGAAAACAACTTCACCATTGCACCCAGAAAATACACAACGAGTCTGAAACTCGTAGATTTCACAGCTGTTATACAAAAAAACGAAACCTCAGTACCCTTTCTTCGTACAATACTCGTGGATAGTCTGACCTCAAACACATTCCCACCACTATCCAATGACAAGAAACTATTATTGCTGCCTATGTAAGTGATCTGAAGACATACTGCTAAGTTAAGTCAGAGATGCTGCTGCTACCTGGAGAACTCCATGACCTAACTGGGTTGCCTCAGATGTTGAAAACTTAACAGCTCCTGTTTTTACGTTGATAACCTAAAATACTACTTCATCTAAAATCACTTTTTTCTCATGTTTATTGGTTTGTGATTTCTATACAAGGTACACCGATCTAACCGCACATAAAGAAAGTCACGAAAAACCTACTTTGATGCCACCTTTACTGTATCCCACTGTAATGTCTCTCTTGTCCGGACTGAAGGCTAAGCATGAAACCGAGCCGGCAGCTTCTTCACCTTTCACAAAGCGCTCAAGCAAATTCTGAAAAAGTAATAACATGTGTTTGTAACATCACGCTTTCAACATACTTGTTCGTTATAAATTAACAACATTCCTTTTTTGGTACCTATCGCAATTGTACCTGAATGTTCTGCTATGGCTTGGGGAGATCCTGTTTTTTCAATTATAGAGAATAATTGATGTGATATGGAATCTGAACAGAGTTCGAACTTATTTTTGCATACAGAGATTATTGTGTTCATACCTTGTCTAGAACATGAGATAGCAGAGAGAAGTTGATAACGATAAAGAGAATTCGGCAATGTTGCGGGAAGCTCTGGTGCAAGGATAGAGCAGCTTTCCGTCTCATCCAGAAATGACAGATTGTCATCAAGTAATTCAACCTAAATTCGAATTTTCCTCTCAAAGTTCTACTGATATGCCTACATCATTCAAAACATCATCAAGCTTCAAAACAGGCAAACTTGAAGAATCTCCAATATCTAACCAGTCATCAAAATCAACTGATCCATTTACAGACGAACTCATTAGAAGATATAATAAACAGCGAATTTACACAGCAGAACTCGTAATATACAGTAACTACCACTTCCTCATAGCATTAATGAACTCAGTTTTTATTTTGATGAGAAACCTTAAAAGATAATGTTAAATTGTTCATTATGTACGGGCTTCATGATCAGGCATGCTTTGCTATTCGTGTTTATAGAAACCAACCGATGTAAACAGAATATACGCTAGGTTTATCAAATAAACACGATATCAAGAGAATAGAACTCCTAACTGTACTGTCAAAAAAATAATAAAAACGTTTAAAGATTATTACAACCCAACAAATAGCATAAAACTTGGCACGGTATAAATTGCACTTACGCCCAAGGCTTAATAACAACCCAGCATAACACAGTTATAAATACGAAAGGCTAGAATCACAGATAGTGGTCTCCACAGAATATGAGGCTAGTTCATCAACAGATTAGTATAAATTTCAAATATCTACATTATAGTTATTGGATCACGAACGTTGACTGATATCGATTTATGGGGAAGAACACTGGCTCCAAACAAATACAATTCGTCTTTAACAACCTAAATAGACATGGAATAGACAATCATTTGAAATGAAAAAACTCACAACATCGTCTCCTAACACACATGTGTTTTCGAGTCTTGCCCAACGCCCCACGGAGCATTTTCTCCCAATTATACACTGATTAATCCAAGCATGTGTTCGCACAGTCGAGTCGCATAGAATCGTGCAATGACTAAGGCAAACACCAGCTTCTATTACAACTCTAGGGCCAATCACCTTAAAATACATTATTTTATATTTATAAAACCGCGAAACCACTCACAACATCCGGCCCTATCCTACAATCGTTTCCTATCTGTGCGCTTGGATCGATAAGAACATTTCCACGAATATTTTCAGTATTTGCTAATAATGATGGATTCGCCTTTCGCTGATGAGCTAAGTATAATGTCGTTCCTTTTATGAAATCTTTAGGTTGCCCAACATCCATCCAGAATCCAGGAAGAACATAGGCGAACAGATCCTGACTCTCTGCCATTTGTGGGAAAATCTTGGAACGAACAATAGCGAACTTTTGTGAAAGAATTAAAATACCTCTTTCTCAATACTTGTTGGCTTAAGTGGTATTCTATCTAACACTGAAGGGTTGAAAATATAGATACCGGCGTTAATTTTGTTTCCCACATACTCCTACAGATATTCAGATCAGGTAAATTACATAATCATAACTTCAGACGAACCTGAGGCTTTTCCACAAACTCAGCGATTGATCCAGAATTCTCATCAAACACAACAACACCATACTTCGACGGTTCTTCTACCTTTGTAACAACTATAGTTCCTTCTTTGCCGTGTTTTTTGTGGAATTCATACATTTGTTGGAATGGAAAGTCACAAATGACGTCACTATTCAAAACAAAGAATGCCTCGTCACCTTCAAGATGAGGTCTAACATCAAAAAATTATTTTTCGAGAAATAACAAAGGCTTCACCTTGCTAGAGCTAGCGGGCCAGCAGTGTCCAGAGGCACTTCTTCAAGAGAGAAAACTATTCTAACTCCCAATCTCTCGGCATGTACAGATATTTCTTGTTCTAGTTGTTCAGCTCGGTAACTGAAAACTCTTTTTTGCTTTTTAATATATGCTATTTAGTAACCTAACTGCTAAAACTACAGTAGTTACACCTACGGATGCCAAAGCCTCAATCTGATGTAGCATCATGGCTTTATTAGCAAACTCAACCAATGGCTTCGGTTGAGTAAGAGTTAAAGGACGAAGTCTTGTTCCATATCCACCAACAAGAATTAAAGCTTTCATGCTGAAACTTAGAATGTACTCGAACAAAATAAGTCTATTTTTAGTGAACGAGTTATTCCGATATGTTTATTTATTTGATGGTTTTGGTGATTTTTTAGAATTTAAGCATTTATATGAATTTTTAATGAGTGAGAATTACATTAGAAAAGGGAACGGAAATGGTTGGATAGTAGTCTTGACAAATGCTTACTAAGCTTTTTATCAGTGTGGCTTGCCACATCAAACATAAAGGTTTGCCACATCGCCGCGGGACCATTTTTCAAAATTGTAGGGTTGGAGCCTTTTGTCTTGACATTTCTTAGCTTTGTGATATCTTATAACTTTCTCTTCGAAGCTGGAAACAGTCTACAATTTTTTAATAATTTTTTTCAGATTGCTCAGCATGAATTTGGGTGGTTTTCCTGTTGTTTTGTTGTTTTTAATAATAAAAGTCGAAGAAATCACAGCAGTTGGTTTTGCGGAAGAGTTATATTGTGGTTTAGAAAATTGTTACGAAGGTAAACATAAAGTGATGTCATCTACAAAACTTTTCTTTTATAGTTTTGGACATTTCTCGTGAAGAGTTCGATAAGCAAAAACTTTCAAAAAGCTACAGATCGCTAGCGAAAAAGTACCACCCCGATAGAATCAGAGATCCAGTATGAACTATAGCTATGATCTAGATCAACAAAATTTCCAGGATGAAAAAGTTAGAGCTACTGAAAGATTCCGAGTTGTGGCAACTGCTTATGAAACTTTAAAGGATGACGAAGCCCGTGTTGAATATGATTACTACCTCGATCACCCAGAAGAAAGGTCAGTCTGAGAAAGTCTCAAGTTGAAACGATTTATTCCAGATTTTATAACTATTATCAATACTATCGAAGAAAAATGGTTCCTAAGGTTGATGTTCGTTTGGTTATTCTTGGTACTATCTTATCCATTTCACTGTTTCAAGTTTGCTTTATAATTTTTGCCCCCACTTTATTGTTTTTTTTAGTACTATAGTGCTAAGCAAAAATATTCTGAAGCGATAGCCTATGCAATGACTGTTGGCAAGTTCCGAAATTTGGCAATCAACACAGGAGTCGAAAGAGGGGTTAGAACTTGAAAGAAAAAAAAAACAAACTCGACTCTTTAGGTATTAGAGATGGATACGAAAGGCAAACTCAAAAAGTTGAAAGACAAGAACAATGAAGACGTTATCAAGTCTATCATAGAAGAGAACATGGACGTCCGGTTAATATTTATTACGAAACTGTTTGCTGACCTTGTTATTCAGAGGAGGTTACAGAAAAGAATCCGTCTACGACACCTTAATGTGGCACACGATTGTTCTCCCTGTCACTATTGGAAAGCTAGCAATTTGGAATGGTTTGTTGAACTGAAATAATCCAGTTAAAATAAGAATCCAAGGTAATTGGGTGTGGAAATATTGGGTCCAAAGAATGGAATTGGACAAGAATGATAAACTATATCTCATCCGAAGAAATTTGAAAGTTAGCGAGAGTCAATTTTTGGTATTCAGTCCAACTTTCCAAGATTGCAAATTCTTTATTATTTCAGTCAATGACAGAGGAAGAACATGAAGATATGCTAGCGCAAGAGATTTGGAAATCCGAAAAGTTCAAAGAGTGGCAAAATGATAAACAAGCGGAAGAGCAAGAAAAACTCATCAAAAGTGGAAAGTAGGACTCTCATTTCTCTATTGAAAATAAACTACATTTTTTCAGATATAAGAGATATAAACGTTATATGAAAAATAACGCTGGTTCCATCTCCTTCTTGGATGAGGAATAGTTGGCATAATCTTTCTCATGGCTTACTTAGAAATCACACGACTTAATGAGGAAGAAGTATGGGTACCAATGGGTGATAATTGACATTTATTTATATAAAATATTACACAATAAGATTTTTTTGATGAGAAACAAGTGTTTAAGAGACCTGAAACATAAAGGTATACGAAACCTCGTGAACAACATCTTAGAAAGACGAACCAATCCAACAGCAATGGGAGTTTTATGACTATCGGTATGTGGACCGACCTGACATCATACTCTTCGCTCTTCTTTCTTCCTAAAATATAACTGTTTGGACTATTTTGCAACACGCACTAACCAATGATGTGAAGTAATCGTCGGGATGAACAATTTTAGTTTTAGCACCTAACTTGGAAGCTGGTGGCGGGTTTATAGTAGCAACAGGAGGCTTCAAAGAAATATTTTAAAAACAGATTTCAAGTATCTCTTACTTCATAATGATGCTCGGGCGCTCTCGCATTGAATTCTTCTTTCACTTCTAGCCTTCCATAAGTGAGGCTCTCGTCTTCTAAGGGCGGCGTTCGCCTGAGTATGATTGATTATAAAAAAACAGAAACTTCTTTTACCTTCCACTACCAACAGGCTCCTGCTGATCAAACCTAGAAACTCTTTGGTACGCAGGATTTGGCGGATATTCAACTACTGGCCTAGGCGGCTCAGGGTATTCGTTTGTACTTAAATCAGAACGCGGTTCAATACATGATATTGCAAGACTTACTTTTCTGCGTTATAATATTCATCTGGTCTAGGTGGGAATGCTGGAGGAGCAGCAGTAGGAGGCCGAGGACGACCTGGATAACCTCCAGGGGGCAAAGGAGGCATGAAGTGTGACATTCCTGGAGGATAACGAGCATTATCAGCGGAAGAACAGTATCTTATTACCTGACATCATAGGAGGCATCATGGGGAAGAATGGAGGTACTTGGCCAGCTCCCATCATACCAGGAGCTCCGGGCATAGGTCCTGGTGGCATAGGTGGTAAATTGTCACCTCGTAGCCTCTTAGTTTCAGGCTCTTCTTCGGCAGCCAATGAAACTGATCAAAACAGTATACAGAGTCGGAAAAAAAAATTACCTCCTCGAGTTACTCCTGGAGGAACTCCTTGCATTCCATAAATTTCCATTTGAGCATTATCCCTTCCCGGAACAGCTCCTGGTATCTTATCAACAGTTTCTTTATGTACCTAAAAAAAATTTAGAAAAAAATTAAAGTGTTTCCTTACCTGCATGCAATGTATAGCTAATCCTGGTCCACTAAATAATTTTTTGTGACATATATGACACTTAAAGTGCTTAGCTTTCTGATGTTGAATGAGAATTTTTTCGTCATCGAATTCTCTGTTACAATACCTAAAAGAAGCTTTCATTATAGCTCGTTATATAAGCTTAAATAAAAATTCTGAAAACTTACCAACACCATGGCTTCTCAATCTTCTTCTTCTTCCTTCCCATGTCTAACACTGTAAAAAAACAATTATACTTGAACCTATAAATATTCAAATGCCAAATAACGACCGTTTATAATTTCGAATTACAAAATAATCGCAAACACGCTAAATTCAAAATGGAAATTGCAATGTACGCAACATTGAGGAGGTGATATGTCTCAATTGAGCATACCATCAAAGGGAAAGGAAAAGCGTATATTACTATTGATTTATAATTTATTGACTTTTATGAAGGAATATAAAGTACATGTATATGGGAAATCAGTTTTCGGTGGTAAAAAACTGTATTGAGCTATCAAAATAGAAATAATACTTTGGCGCTTGGCCAAAGTTTGATTCGCAGGATACTGTAATGCGTACACTTTCAAATTATAGATTCGATTTTGTAAGTTGTAATGTTGTTACATGAAGAATTATACTAACAGCTTGTTGATGAGCACGTATTCACCTGAATGATACTATGTTGGAAAGATTTGACTTGGAAAAACTTGAAATTAGTTTGTTAAAAAAACATTTTTACGGCTATGAATTTTGGCTTATGCGAATTTCTTATTGTCGTGAGTTTTTCGATTCATAAACCCTTCAATATTCTAACTTCTTCATTCTGGATGAAATTCTATTATGTTTGAGTGAGCCTTGCTGTTAAATTCTTCAGTTAGCGCGGTGACATCAAAATCGATATTGTGGCGGGATAGCTGCCATTGTGTTTTTTAGTTTCTTTAGTTAAAATGATATCTTTCTTTGGTTTGCGATTTATCTTTTTCTCCAATGAATAAAAATTGTTCTTGATAGTAAAAAAGAATTAGCCACGGGTTTGTGGGTGTACCACATTTCAGGTGCTTTCTTCCTTTCCACAACAACGTCTATCGACTCTGCGTTCTATGTGGCGCATTTTTAGCTTTTAATTTGACGTTTCTTTCATTGTAATTTCTATCATTAATCAATATTTGTTTTATAATTTCGTTTCACAATCGTGTTTTCTTTGTGCAGCTGGAATTAATTCCTCTCAATACTTTATTCATACAGGAATGACAACAAAAAATCGCCGTATTTCTCTTGGATCTCCTAAAGATCTTAAAGAGGTCAAATTTTTCGATGAAGAGCCTATTCCTGATGTACCTCCTAAAGGTGCCAGAGTAAAGGTAAGTAAGAATGTATGTATTCTATTTCTAATTTGTTCGATGCATTCAGGTTTGCTATGCTGGAGTATGTCTCACTGATAGAGAAGTTACTAACACTAAACAAGCTCGTATTATGAATGGTATCAAGGACACCAGCTTGTTCCCTGGTCTGTTAGTTGAAATATACCTGTTTCATTCATATTGTTTTAGGATACGAAGTCTCAGGTGTTGTCGAATCTTTCGGTAATGAGTGTAAACCGGAAGATTATGATCTCAAAGTTGGAGATAAAGTAATCATCATACACAAGTTATCATAAGATAGTTTTGAACTTTAGGTTATTGTATGGCCAACAGACGAAATGTGCAGTCACGGATATGCTGATTTCGTCGCCGTTCCTACCCTCCATTTTCTTGTGAAAATTCCGGATTCTCTTTCTATGCATGTTGCTTCGATCCTTCCTGCTGGCGCTACTTGGGCCCTGTCTGCAGTTCTTCAGGTTTGTTATTTAAGTTTTCCCACTGCATTCCCTCCTTGTTTCAGGCAAGACCTATTGTAGAAGCTTTCTCCCAGTCTAAGGGTTTCTGTAATATTTTGATCGTCGGTGCCGGTGGGTTGGGACTGTGGCTCCTGAAGTTGGCCAAGCACTTCCTGGTTTCTAATAACGAGAGGTTACCCTTTTCTTGAATGTATTTTTCAAATTATATTCGATAGAAAAATTCGTATGATGGTTGCTGATGCAAAAGAAGAAAGGTTGTCTTTAGCTGAACGAAATGGAGCTGACTTTGTTGTTCACTGGGATGATTCGGGTGAGTAGAGTATAGTGTCCAAAATGTAAACAACCATATGTGCGATGCTAAACTCGAGAATGATTTTCACGTGAAAATCCATCACGTGCTATAGCGTTTATTGTACAGTCAATCATGTTTAGATTATATCTAAATCATTTCGGGTCATTACATCCAATTTCTTTTTTCTAGAGTTCGAAGAATATCTTATCATGCGTACAAAAGATGTTGCTCGTACTGGTGTAAATGTAGTCTTCGATTTTGTCACATCTCCAAGAACAGTAACAAGATCGCTCAAATGTTTATCCGAGGTATCTCTCTTGTGCAATGTGAATTATGAATTGAACGTTCGTTCAGGGAGGTGTACTATTTGTTGGTGGTCTCTCTGGATTAGATGTCCAGTTACCAATTAAGCTAGTCGCTAAGAACAGATTAGCTATCATGGGAGTCACTAGGTTTGTTCGGAACCATGTTTTTCTTCACTCATAGATCATTAAGAGGTTCAATTGATCAACTCAAGAACCTGGTTCATCTTATAGCTGGAAATCAGATAGAAGCTCCAGGATATTGTGTTTATCCTGTCAATCAAGCTTCACAGGTTTGTCACTCAGACCTTATCTATGTGTTGTTATTATCATCTGTTGTAGGTGCTCAAACAGCTCTCCATGTCAGAGGTTGAAGGTCGCGCCATTCTTGAAGTTTGCGACCCCAACAATGCTCTGGAAGAAGAGAAGGAATAAGTATATAAAGAGTTCATAGCAATCCATTTCGCATTTAATCTTAGTGGTGCGCATGTGTGCCAACCTGTATGATATGAGTAATGTTTTATTTTACATTTTTGAGGTCATTACATTTGTTTGAAAGCATTTATAGTGCCGAAATGTTTTATGTCATCTCGTTTCTGGTCATTTTTTTGTAGTTTTTAATGTTTGAATTAATAGTTTTATTTGCATGTTAGTTGATTCCTTCAGATGTATATAGTTACATTGGTTATTTTGAGTTAGCATAAAAGTTCAAAGAGAGAAAACTTTTTATTACTCATTTCGTTGGTTCATCTCATATCTTTAACACACTTCTTCCATCGCCAAGAACTTACTGTTGTTTTTCATATAGTGATTATGACTTCTGAGAACATGAGGTTTGAAATTCTGAAAAAAGCTCAACGTGCCCGGTTTGGTAAATTGCATTTACCTCATTCCACGGTGTCGACCCCTGTGTTTATGCCTGTAGGAACCCAAGGGACTATGAAGGTTTCGGGTTCTCGTCTTTATATGTTATTTTCATAAGTTTCAGGGAGTGCTTCCGGAACAATTAATAGACATGGGGTGCCAAATCATGCTTTGCAATACATATCATTTGGGACATAGACCTGGATACGAAAGAGTAAAGCAGTTGAAGGTTTATTCTGATCCGTTTCTCGAATTTCAAGGTTCGTGCTGCTGGAGGTTTACATAAAATGATCAACTGGCCTCGTTCAATTCTGACTGATTCTGGTGGATTTCAAGTAAGGCATTCGATCGGAGGCAAAAATTCACAATTCAACAGATGGTGTCTTTGAGTAAATTGATGTCCGTCGATGAACAAGGTGTGAATTTTGAAAGTCCACACACAAAGGAAATGATGTTATTAAGCCCAGAAAAAAGTATTGAAATACAACAGGTAAGATTTCACTGAAGTTTTTGTTTGAATTTTATGAATTTCCATAACAGGCTCTAGGTGCTGACATTATGATGCAGTTAGATCATGTAATTCATGCTTTAGAGACCGGAGATATTGTAAAAGAAGCTATGGAAAGGAGCATAAGGTTAACTTTTACAGATTTACTTTGTAATATCGTTTATTTAGATGGCTTGATCGTTGTATCACTGCACATACCAGAGAGGATCAAGTTCTTTCCCCTATTATACAGGGTGGTTTGGATTTAGAACTACGTAAGGCATGTGTGAAAGAAATGTCTGAAAGAGCAAAGGTGCTTTATTAACCGATAAACTCTTGATCTTAATCGCTTTTAAGGTAGTCATTGCTATTGGTGGATTATCGGGCGGAGAAGAAAAAACTCATTTTTTCAAAGTTGTGAAAACTTGCTGCGACAACTTACCAGACCATTTGCCGCGTTATGTTATGGGAATAGGCTTTCCCGTTGATTTAGTTTTGTGCTCTTTATTAGGAGCTGATATGTTTGATTGTGTCTATCCCACCCGCACAGCAAGGCAAGCTACTTTCCTGAAATAGTATAGAGATCATTGGCATCTTTCAGATTCGGCACTGCCATGGTTCGAAAAGGAGGGCTTTTGCATTTGAATCAAAACAAATATGAAAATGATTTCACTCCAATCGATGTCAACTGTCCCTGTCATACATGTAAGACATACACCAGAGCTTATATACACATGGTAATGAGTAAGGTTAGTATTATTCAACCTCTGTCCCATTTTTCATTTCTACGTTCAGGAAACCGTAGGATGTCATTTAGTTTCGGTACATAACATACAGCACCAACTTGATCTCATGCAGGTACTGTTTGGCATTTGTACACTCGTTCAAATAAACCCTTTTTTAGGACGTCCGTAGTGCAATAGCGGATGACAGGATTGCCCCATTCCTCAAGCAATTCCTCAAGGACCAATACCCTAATGGAGATGTTCCTGACTGGTGTTATGAAGTTGTTGACTACTTAGGTTACAAACTGTGATAGACTAATCTGTTATTCTTGTTGATTTTGTTGTTATTCGTTAGAAGTAAACAATTCTTTAATTTTTATAAATTATTCATTCCTCTTATTACCACTACAACAAAAACTAAAAATTATGTGAAAGTGAATCCGGCAGTTCTGTATGTGTTGTAAACTTTTTCAATAGCGTTGACGTAAGCGGCAGTACGGATGTCAAGTCCGAGGTTGTACTTGTGGGCGGTTCTGATGATAGCTTCTCCTGATCTTTGCATGGTGTATTCGAGTCCAGAGTGGACAATATCCTTCTCGCTGGCTCCAGCCATTTTAGCGTTGAAATCAGCGTTTGGCTTGATTGGGACCTTTTGGTTAAGAGCCTCCTCGACAGAGTCTTGGACAGATCTGAGGAGCATAGCGTTAGCTTCTCTCTCATAGTTGAAGGTAAGACGTCCATAAGAAACGTGGTTGAGATTCTTGAGCCATTCGAAGTAAGAAACGGTCACACCACCAGAGTTGACGTACCTATAAAAATATGAATAAGAAAAAATAAAGTATGGTAGACATACATGTCTGGAATGATGAGGCAATCTCCACGAGCAAGGAGGATCTTATCAGCGGCTGGGGTTGTGGGTCCGTTGGCGGCTTCAGCGATGATCTTCAGAGAGAAACAGTAATAATAGGAAAATGTTTATTGATTACCTTAGCTTGGATACGGGTAGCGTTTTCCTTGTGAATAGATTTCTCACAAGCGGCTGGAACGAGGATATCGCACTTCTCGTACATGAGCTCCTCGAAAGGTTCGAAGTTCTTTCCTCCTGGGAAATTCTAAAAAAGATCCATACCCGCAGATGCTTTCAAAAAAAAAAACCTTGATGCTTCCAGTCTTCTCTTTCCAGTCTTCGAGTTCCTTTGGATGCATACCATCTGGGTTGAAGACTCCGCAATCGTATTCTTGGATTCCGATGCACTTGGCTCCGGCTCTGTGGAGGTAACGCATAGTGTGAAGTCCTACATTACCGAATCCTTGGATGATAACGGTCTTTCCAGCAAGTCCTGTGGTGAGTCCGATCTAACGAAACAATAATATTTACTGAGTTTGAGAAGATACTCTCACGTTGCTCATGTACTCAGCGTCATTGGCGAATACTTCCAATCCCTTCCAGACTCCTCTTCCGGTGGCAGAAACACGTCCGTGAATTCCTCCAGAGACAATTGGCTTTCCAGTGATGCAAGCGGAAGCATCCTTTAATTAGATAAGTAAACATAACTGGGTAATCTCAAGAATAATCTTACTCTGTCAAGATGTCCAACAGTTTGGGCGTAGGTATCAGCGATCCATCCCATTTCACGTTCTCCGGTTCCCATGTCAGGGGCTGGGACATCAACTCCGGGTCCGAGGAATCCCTTAGAAGCTAATGTAAACACAGAAAACACACCAAAATAAACCTTCTTGGCGAACTCAACAGCGATACGGCGAGTGATCTTTTCGATTTCGTAGTCGGTGTATTTCTTGGGGTCGATTCTAACTCCTCCCTTAGCTCCTCCGAATGGAACATCGACGGCAGCACACTTGTAAGTCATGAGAGCGGACAAAGCTTTGACCTAAAAAAGAAAAATAGAGAACATCTTCATGTACCGAAATGAGTAATTTGCACCAGCAATGACCGTGCCGTGAATTGTATTTGTTCTATCTTTCTCCCTCGCGACGTGTCAAAAGATAAGCCTACCTCATCTTCGCAAACATCCATGGAGTACCGAATACCTCCTTTTGTTGGTGTACGATGCTCGGAGTGCTGAGCACGCCAGGCTTCGATAACCTCGAACTCTCCGTTATCACGACGGATTGGGAAAGTGATGTAGAGGACCTGAACAGATCCAAGCTTTAAGTACCATAATGAAAGTTATCAAATACCTTGTTAACTGGCTTAATAGAGCGGAGGATGCCGTTAACAACGTTCTTCTTGTCCTTGTTGGACATAACGTTGGACTTGAGTTCCTCCACAAGCTTGGGCTCAAGAACCTGTGCTCCCTTGTCGAAATAGTAGTCAACCATCTTGAAAACACTTTAGATTATCTCGACTGTCTAAATAGCATACCTTGAAGAAAGATGGGTTGATCTGCTCTTCCATTGGCTTTTGGTCATCGACAACCTGGCTATGGGCATCCAAAGAAGCCGAGGAGAAGCAACGGCGGGTGGCCAAACGGCCAGTGCGAGCCAAGGTGCTGAGCATGACTGAAAACCCGAAGAGTATGTAAATTATTCAAATAAACAGTTTGCAAAAATATAAAATGAAAGATAATAAGTGCATAAGGCTGTCACAACTGATAAAAATGCAGAATGTTTTTGGAAAAAAAACAGAAAACGAAATAACTAAGGTTTCAAGTGAGACTGATTGGAACAAGAAACGAGGGATAGCGTTGTTTCAGATCAAAAGTTCAAACTATTAAACAAAGAGAAAAAATAAAAGTTGAGAAAAAGAAAGGTAACGCGTAGATAGAAAATTTCTAAAATTGATAATTCGATCTCTTGATCAAAATATGAAACGCAACCGCTATATGCTATAAACCTCATGTAAATGAATCTCTCAGGCGGTCCCAAAAATTTATTCACTGCCAGTTGTAAAAAGCGGGCATAAGCCGAAGAGACGTTGGAAAAATTAAAAGCTAGTTGTTGGCATAGCGTTTCGAGACCTTATTGTTAGTCTTCATAAGGCAAGTTCAGAGGTTTCAATAGTAGAGCTAGAATATGAATTGATGAGAAAGTGAAATAGAAAGTTGACAGAATCAAGGGGCAGGAAGTAAACGAAGAAGCGATTTTGTTGGTTTGCTGAAGAGGTTTCTGTGTGTGTGTGTGTGTGTATATGTGTGTGCATGTCTGACTGACAGGCAATGAAGGTTGAGATTGGAGAAGAGGAGAAGAGGTCTAGCCACCACGTGGGAGAGACGCCTGGTGGCAGTATCTGAACATGAAAAAAGAAGAGATAGACAGGAAGAACTCTCCGATTGATAGAGAACTAGAGGGGACCGCCCATATGCTGAAAGGTATGAAGAGAAGATGAGAGGAAAGGAAAAAAAATAAAACGAAAGTCAACGAAAACGGCAGTAGATTTCAAAGTTTGAGCGATAGAGTGTGGGTACATACTGATCAAATACGTTAAATTATACCCAATGTTTAAAAGAAATGACGTTAAAAGAACAGGAAAGTGTCTATTTTTGCATTCAGAAGGTTTTTCAACGACAAATGTTGAAGAAAAATAGACACAAACGGAATTAGTAGTAGATCGAGTAGGCTTTTATGCTTCTTCAATTTGATTTTTTGATATGGCGTGTTGAGGAAGAGATAAGATATCATTCGATGGGGTTCATTATTAGATAGTGAGTCTTTGTTCTTGTTCTGAAACATAGCAATTTGGAGAAAACGTTATGAAAAATGAGATAGAAAGAGCAGTGATTATGAAGAAGAAGAAAAAGAAAACAGAACGTTCGATGGAGTAAGCGAAGAAGAAGAGAAAATGAGCGATGAAAATCAAAAGGTATAAATGCTTTACAATCCGAGGACATCAAACATTTAAAAAAAACATAAATGTTTATCATTTCAGACAAAAAAAAACTTTTTATACACGTAACGAATAGATTTTTAATGTATTTCTCCAAAAATTTAAATGTGACATCCATCCGTATGTCGTAGTAACGCCCGCTTCAGCACCACATTCACCTGAAATTTCGAAAATTTCAATTTTACAACACTTGTTTATGAAAAGAAATTTTTGTTTCAATGAAACATTACAATGTAAATCCGTGAACCACTCTTTCATCTTATCAATTCTCGAATGCACTCAAACTTAAGAACGTCATATGTTTTCATTATACGGAATTCCCCATTTCGTTGATAAGTCTTAGTTGACTATTCTCTTTAAACACGGGAAATTCCATTGTAGTGCAGTTGTATTCTCACACATGGAACTTTCTTATTCTGCTGATAGAAACTTAGAAAGTAAATGATTTCATTGAATTCTCAATGAACCGACGATTGACTACGATCTTCCGAGAGACATTCACGGTCTATGGAGATTGAAAAAAAAGAGAAAATCATCTAAAATGTGAGAGGCAGAGATATATATCAAAAACTGTACAGAATCAGAAAGAGAGAAAGAAGTGGAGAGAGGGTTGTAATCTGTGGAAGGTGCGTGTCAATTTTCACATTTCGTTGTCCGGTGAACCGATTTCAAAGATTTGTTTACGTCTTTTTACATGAGTACACGTAACGGGAAATCGTTCGATGATAAACTATCACAATCAGTTGGAAACGAATGTAACAACTTGCTTTCTGTTCTTTCGAGTCATGTGAACTAGAAGGCCAAGGATATTCTTGCCGAGCGAACTACTATTGAATATCGTATGGAACTTACTTTTCGGTTTTTGCTGAATAACCTTTTCATATACTGTGTAGCTGATCTACATTGATAGTTCGATTTCCTTAAATTGATCTCGCATGGGTCAACTTTGGATGCTATCTTGAACTTTTGAGGTATAAGATCATGCTCGAGAATAGGACGATCAAAATCTTCACCATACATTGTATCATTTGATTGAGCACATCTTAGCGAAAAACAAGGATGAGCCGAAGTATGTACATGTCAACTACCTGTTTATTATATCATCATAATTGTCCTGTCCAAAGAAAGAAGAAGATGATTTCTTCAGCGTCGTTTGCTTCAGCTGACGAGGCATCAGCTGTAAAACAATAATTTTAATGTTTTAAATCAGAGAAGATAAGATTTTCTCAACGACATTCTCATATACAGACCTTGAAGTGAGAAGAAGACATGGGAATGCAATTGACATCTACATTTCGACTGTGGCAAAGTTCCGAGATGGTTAAGGATAACTCTGGAAAATGAGATTTTGCTTTTCGAAATTCACTGTACACGAGTGTTATCTTCATCAAAAAAACATAAATTTCTTTGGAGACAGCTCAATGCGTTCCACTATTTCATATCTCAAATAAAGATAACGGAATATCAAAAAATGATAAACTTCTTCTTATCTTCATTTTTGGTTCCTTTGAAACTTCTCTCGCGCTGCAAATGTTTTCGTGCGATTGCATGAGACTGTCGCAATGGTAATAACACACGTGGTTCTTGATGTGTAAGGGTTAAACGATAGATAAGATATCAACAAATCCTGTAGTCCTAGCGTTTATAATATCTAACTCTTTCACTCATATTCTTCTATTCATCTCAGATATGCCTTTGATGGAGCAAACAGTTTGAGCGGTCATAGTTCCAAAGATTGAAGATCAAAATGGCATATGTCACCCTATTACAATCACATACACGTGGCTCTCTCACCACTTTTTTGATCAAACCCGAGACGAAATTTTTTTTTCCGAAATAGGTAGCCTTTAAAAGAACATTCAGAACCAACACTCAACTGTTGTTATCAATAATCTTGACTGTGTTCAGCTTCTGCAACTTCCATGAATCAGTTATATGTTTAAACAGGGAATTGCTGAAAAGAAAAATTCAAATGTAAAATCAAGTTTTCTCTGGGAATGTTTTCACTAAAACGAATGTCATACGAATAACGTCTGTTTTTCATTGTTCATTGCTCATTTGGCTGATGAAGTTTCAAATCACCCCATCATCATAATTGCATCATCTTCACACACTTTCTTCGCTTATCTTTCTGTTCTTTCTTTTTCTTTCGAACAAAAAAAGAAGAGATCCATCTTCTCCAATTGACAAATTTTGAATTGAGAGGGATTCGTTGTCAACTTTTGACTTTAACTATCGAAAACAGCACTACCCTCACCACGTGTTTCAATAGGGTACTTAGGTCTGCTGATACTCTGATTCAGCGATTCTTGAGGACATATTACAGCGGCTAACCTCTGTTTTTTCTTAAAGAGCTAACCAGGTGTCTATGGCGAAACGGAAATATCAGGAAAAATTGAGAAGAGATATGGGCTTAAGCTACGTAAAAATAGGAAAAGATGCTATTTTTTTTCTAATTTTGAGCTGGTGACGATTATCCGGATGATGGGAAAGATTAAAGAAAAAGTGTTAAAACTCACGTTGAGCCGAGAGCCGGAGGTGGTAGAGGATGTGAACCAGAGAATATAATGTTATTTAAATGAACAAACGTCACTGTTTCTGAAACTGGAGCATAGCGGAACCAGCAATCCGCTAATGACATATATAAAGTTGTTGTATAACTGTCTACATGCAGAGAAAATTGGCTTGGATCCTCATTTTTAGAAGATTCGTCTTCTGATCGAATTAATGGCCAAAAAATCATTTCAATATCCTTAGAATTTTGGCGAAGTTCATACATGACGTCATCATTCCAGCTTCCACCATAGAATACCTGAAATATGAAAGGATATAGCGCAAAAAATCGATTGCTTAAAATATGCTAAACATCTTTCACGGTTTTCACGTCACTGACGCCTAATTTTGACGCAAATTTTTCATTTCATTCAGCTTCAAGCGCTGTGCGGTCGCATTCGTTATATCAGGTAAGAAATGAATAATTCACGTTTTTTCTCAAATAATCTAAACAAGGAAGTTGTTATACCACTCGTTTCCCGATGAAATGCCGCATGATTGTTCGTATAGAAGAGACGTCTTCGTATAGCAAGGCATATGTTATACAGACGGTATTCGAAGACAAACTCGGTTTTTCCTTGACAACATCAGGTTCGATCTAAGTTTTATTTGAAACTTAAAGTTAACTTCTACGAAGTACTTACTGCTAGAGATAGTTCTTCATTAAACAAATTGAAATACATAGGATTATCCACAGATTCACATATTCCTTGTTTGATAGTGTTAGGCCCGATATTTTCAATTCTTTCAATTATATTAATGAATATATGAAAATTGAGTTCAACATACTGCAAACGTGATTGTAGTGTGTAAGTGGAGTTTCTAGACTCGCACACGATATCGTCAGGCCAAGATTTTGACGAGTGTATGAGAAAGTTAAGAGAAGGTGAACCACTTCTATGAAAAGATGAAAAATAAACAAAAATTTAGTTGGAAGAAACACCAACAGGGTAAAGCTTGAATTATAGTATAACAATGATGAAATGGTTCCTACTAATTCCGCATTCTCATCTAAATGGTTAAAATAGAAAACACGTTGAATCTGAAGAATGTGATGAGAGACTGTTTTGAGTGAGTTAGACACCTTTTTAATTAAAGCGTAAACTGATAAAGTACAGGCACACATTATGAATAATACGGCTAGACGATTGTGTAGACGACTCCATCTCATTTTTGGATTAAATTCTGAAAATTAAATTTGGAAATATTATTGAAATCTTGCTTAAAATAAATAGCACAAGGGTCTTGCAGATCGATTCTGTTGGACAAAGTAAGAGCCGATTTCGATTAGATCGTATCGGGAGTATTGCCTGTTCTACCTCTATGTACGTCATCTGCTGAAGGATCTGCTTTGCATCTGTACGATATTCATCCTTCGTTCTAAAATAGACTTCTAACTCTTCTTATCCATTCACAAATCGAATCAAAGTGTTTCTACGGAACGACAGCATCAATGATCTGAAAAACCTGCGCTTTTTTCTTCACAAAAAAAAGAAGAATGAAATTGTTCAAAATACACGTAAAAATATAAAAATGAGATCAAAAAGTGAACAAATGAAAGGAAAAAAAAATTCAAAAAAAAAGAAGAAAATTCGAATTCATCCACTGATCCCCCCACCCGTCCTCTCAGCAAACTCCATCCATCCATTTGTATGTCAATCTATCTAAGGATCAAAGCTCTCATTATATTTCTTTTTGAGAAAAGGCAATAAACATGCTGTGCCTACATGCTATATAAGAAATTAAGAAAGAATTAAAATAAAAAATATAATTAGATGATTATTGTGGTGATGATGTTCATGATATGATGTTCATGATGATGTTTTCAATGTGTACCTACCGTTCTCATGAGGGTTTGCACCATAAGAGATGTTCGTCAAAAATGATCATGTTAACGATCAAAATATAGTATTTATGGAGTGAAGTTGGTTATATTCTCTTAGGTATAAAATACATTTTTATTTTTTTGCTATTGAATAGTGTATTTTATGTTAAAAAATACATTTTATCACAAACATCATAGATAAGGACATGCAATTCCTAATAAAAAAAAAAGTTCATCAAGCTGATGTTGTTTCTTAAGAAACTCTTTTAATGACGATTTTTGTAATTGTTCTTAAAGAATTTCAACATTCTCACGATGATTCTACCTATATATCATATATTTACATTCATTTGTTCTTTAATAAATGATGAAATATTACTTTGGTTATGCTTATTCTCACTTGATAAATCTTATCATTCAGATTTCCCTACAGTGAAGTAAATCTCTGTTGTAGGGCCATGCACGTAGTAGAGGGAGGGTGGGAGAGGTGAGAGAGAGATAAATGACCTTACTTAAGTCTCCAAATATCATTTTTCTTATCAAAATGAATGACATGATATTCTTCGAAAATAAGCTTTGATAGTAACTATTAGATAAGAAAGACTTTCATTAAAGTTTTATAGAGCAGCAGCTGAAATGAAGCTGTTTCTATTTCTACTAGTTTCCTGTTTATTCGCCGTCACAGGTAACATTTATATTTTTTTTATAGTTATAAGCTGTAATAAGAATAATATTATTAATATATATCTTTTTAGATGGATATAAAGTTCTTGTTGTTAGTCAAATATTTGGTCATTCACATGCTAATTTCATGGGACGATTAGCTGATCTATTGACTGAGCACGGTCATAATGTCGTATGTTCAATGTAATTCACAAAATCTTAAAGAAAAACATGTTTAAGACTGTTCTTATGCCGGTTGTAGATGTTAAAGAACTCGATAGAAATGGAGTACATTTAACGAAAGATGTGAAGGTTGTTATGCCTTCTGAGAAAACTAAGAATCTCATGGCTAATATGGGTGGTGATTTATTCAAAACACTCTGGACCGTATCACCAAACGTTTTTGCTCAAATTAGTGTATGTTGAGATAGCTGAGTGCTTAAGCTTATGATACTTTTTTCAGATGTCATCTGTTATGGGAGAAACATTCAAATCATCTTGCAATGGTATAGTTTTGCATACATTTCGTATTCTTATCATGTTTGTTTGAGATATTCTTGAATCAACTGAATTACTTCAACAACTTCGCGATGAGAAGTATGATATCGCTTTAGCAGAACCTTTCTACTTCTGCGGAATAGGTAATAGATTTATATATCTCCACTTTTTCTGTGAAACTTGTTTTTTCATAGGACTTCTTGAAGTTTTGAATATACCTGTAACAGCAGCAGCTTCATCAGCTGTCCAAGTCGATGCTTTCTTCCACCTGATTGGTTTGATTCATCTTTTTAATTTAATTTAAATTTCAATTTAGGAGAACCGATTTTGCCAAGTTATGTTCCAAACACTATGTCAACGAGTGGATCCAAATTAGGATTTATTGACCGAGCTATTAATCTGTTCGGATCGTATGCCTCTATTGCTTTCTTCGAAAACATTTATAGCATTGAGTATCAAGCTTTCATTGAGAAGTATGGACCAAACTTCAAAAGCTATAAGGTAATTCGTACAAAGGATTTTCGTATTTAAACCTCCGTTATTTAAGGAAATTGCTTCTGAAGTCAGCTACTCCTTCACAAACTCCAATCCATACTTAAACTTCCCAAGAGCTACCAACCCTAAAACAATCGATATTGGAGGTATCACCATAAACAAGAAAAAGCTGAAAGCCAAGTTGTCTGACGAGGTAAGATAATGCCCCAATCATGTCGCGTCGATTGTCACCAAGTCGTTAGTGCAAACCCGAAATGAGTGTCCTATAAGGTGGAAAGATCCGAGAACGATCAAAGAATATTAGATTAGAGATTTGAAGTCAGAGAACGTAGTGAGAAGAGAGGTAAAATCATCAGAAGGAATATTTCTTTTTTCCGGATTCTTGTTAGATATGTTGCTTCTTCTTCAGATCTACTCGAATAGTTCTTTATGAACTGAAAGAGCATGGACTGAGAGAGTAAGAGTGTATGCTAATCTAGTCCTCGGCAATTTTCTCTCGAGGCTATATTTCGAATATTGAGAGAAACGATGTAATTGAAGGTAACGAAATAAGCAATTATGCTGATACTGAACCCCAAACGTGAATGAAAGCAGAATGAAATATCTAACAAACGAATTACTCCAAATCGTTGAAAGCTTGAATGAATACAAAGTTTCACAGATAAGACATTTGTCTTTCAGAAGTTATCAAAGATTCTTGATGAGCGCAAGAAAACAGTTCTTTTGTCATTCGGTTCTGTGGCCAAGAGTAAGGATATGCCGGATATTTACAAGTAGAATTGCCTTTTCATGACGAAATAAAATGCAAATATTTTTCAGAAAAACTATCCTTCAAGCATTCAAAGAGATGGACGACGTAACATTTATTTGGAAATACGAAGAAGACACAGATATGGTTGATGGAATTAAGAATGTTCATTTGGTTAAATGGTTACCACAAGTTGCATTATTGAATGATGATAGACTTGACTTGTTCATCACTCATGGAGGATTGGGAAGTACTCTTGAAGTTGCTCATTTGGGAAAACCAGCCATATTTGTTAGTTCGCGTCAACCCAAAATAGATTTTAATTGCTTTTTGAAGGTTCCTATCTTTGCTGATCAGTACCGTAATGCCTTAATGTTGGCACGGTTTAATGGATCTCTGGTTTTACAGAAAACCGATTTGGATAATGTTGAAATAATTAAGAGCTCAATCAGGACAGTGTTGAATGATGATAAGTACTGAGAGCTTTGAAAGAGTTAGAAATCATTAGTTGATTACTTTTCAGATATTCTAAGAACGCAAAGAAAATCTCAAATGTTCTCATGTTAAATCCCAATGATGCTGCCAGACTATTTGTAGATCATATCGAATTTGCTGCCAGGTATTGTTATTTTCAGTTCTATCGTAATGATTTCGTTTTTCAGTGTTGGCCGAATTCCAAACTTAGAAACTGATTCTCGCCATTTGAGTTTCACACAAATTCATTCCGCAGATGTATATTTTGCTCTTGTTGCTGTTTTGCTTGTATTGGTATTGCTGATTGTAACAGTTTTCCATTTTGTTTGTAAATGTTTATGTGTCAAGAAAGTTAAAAAAGAATAGGTTAATAAAGATATATTTGTTTAAAAGTCTTTTCACTGAATGATCCCTCCATGTGTAGAATTGATACTCATGATAGTCACAAGAAAGCAATTTCGGAGTACTGAGTCACTAGTCATAACTTATATATAGGAATATAAATTGTATTAAAATACGTAAGTTGGTCCCCGAAAGACAACTGAATATCAACGATAACATTTGATTCGTCGTCGTTTTGTTGTGGGGTGCAATAGCGCCCGCACCAGTCTCCCCTCCCCTTCTCTATTCTCTCCCTCTCTATCTTTCTCTCTCTTTCTATCTTTTTGAAAATTATTAAGAGAGAAAGATAGACAAGCTAAAGGCACGTTATTACTAAAGATCATTTCGATAAGATAGAGAAACGAGAGAAGCAAAGAACACGCCGGTGCAAACTGTCAATGAAATTTGATAAAAACATATTGAGTCTTTGAATGTGAGAGGAGAGAGAAGAAAAGAATTCCTTTAGCTCAGGTGCGCATGTACCGCGGACAATCTGATTCTCTCATTCATCTATCTCTCTGTTTGATAATTCTTTCAATAATTATTTACTGCACACAATCTGATTCTTTCTCTCTATCCTCATTCATTCATTCATACACTCTCTCTTTCTCTCTATATCATTGTTTCCTCTCTATTTCCCTTTTTCCTTCTCTCCTATTCTCTGCAATTCACAATCCGCATTATCATCAGATTTATAATGGATTTTGTCGTTGAAATCTTAGTTTTGGTGACGTTGTAGAATAAAAATGTTATCACAAGAAATCCCTTCCAAGCATTGCCTTATCCATCCACACGTCAGTAACCCTTTCCAACTATAGAAAAAAGCCCTAACATCATATATGTTATTGCTCAAAACCAGAAAACGAAAAGAAATTTTCTTTTTTAACAAATAATTAATAGATTAATTGTGTTTAGACGATGGCAGATAACAGCTTCTGCGAAGATGAAATAATAATCTTAAAAATCTTTTCCTAATACATTTAATATTTGATTTTGATGATGAGATGATCCCAATAAATTATCGAAATAGAAAAAAAAACTTTTTTTTCTTCCATATATTGCCTAACCAGATCAACTGAATGAAACTGTTGTTAACTGTTGTTCTCTCTCTCTCTCTCTTTCTATAGATGATCATTCTACCTTTTCCTCTCTCTCTCTCAGTCTTCTGACCAAGTTCTTCCGTTTTGAAGAAGAAAAAAAGGATGAAAAACATGTTTTTTATTATTTCAAATACTTTAAAAATCAATTTATCATTGAACAAAACCTTATATTGAAAAATATCATATTTTCATTATAAAATTATTAATTTTACTAATGATCTCATTCACATACAATACAAACATTCAGAAAAATGAAAAAAAAAAATTTTTTTTTTTGTTCAATTACCAACCAATCTATTTGCTCTCTCCTTTTTCATGAAACATTAGAGATACATGATGTCTTAGAAAATACCCCCACAAACTTCTTGGACTAACTATCTCTCTAGATGTTTCCTAAAGAAAACTTGTCCCTGCAAATGGGGATGCTAAAACGAAGAAAAATGAAAAGTACAACCGTTCCCCACCAGTTCTCGAGTTAAAATGATAATTTTTCCATTGCGATCGGCTTTCCACGTGGATTTTGCAACCCACGCATTCCTTGAATTCTCATGTTTCTCTCTCTGCATCTCTTGTATTCTCTCTATGTTTTACACATATTTTTTGGTATTTTCTTTCTCTCTCTCTAATTGGAAGTTATAAATGAACTGTTGTCAAGCTTCCTTCTTTAGTAATTTATCTTTTAAATCTATCAGATTATGATTCTAGCGGCGGGGAAAAAAAAGGTATTCGGGTGGAGTCATTCTGATTGGAAACGTTAACTTGTTCAATACCATAAAAATACTTCTGCAAATTAGAGAATAGTAAATTTTTGATTGAAAATTCCCAAAAAGGTAACGATCGAATATAATTGAAAAAATGAAAGTTATCAGCGAAATAGGAAAAATTGATTTGTCTTGAGAATGTAATTTTCATAACAAGACTCATGCCACGTAAACTCATATGCTGAGCTTTGCATTGAAGCATTGAAAGATGTTGCTTATTCCATTCTTCTACACACTATCTTTAAAAATGAATGAATATTAATAAGAGGTGATGAAAACACATCAATGGCTGATTGAAGATGAGCAGAATGAAGATTAAATTTTGAAAGAAATTTCATAATTCAATTTTGAAGCTCATCCCGCTCCACTTTCCCTCTCTCTCTCTGTCTTTCTCATCGGTCTGTCTTGCTCTCTCTTCAATTCACTTGTTAATCCAAAACCTCTCTTTCCCATTTATTCTTTCTTTTTATCAGAAAATTTTCTTCCTGGTTCCAATTTCTTCAGCTCATTAACGTCTTTTCAATTTTTTTTTTCGTTTTACCTATAAGGTATTAGTTATGAAGAGAGATAAATTGGCTCGAATCCATCCAAACTAGATGACCTGATAAGCATTTTATCGATCAGAGTCCAACCTGTAACCGGTTTAGACGATTTGGTTATAATGTTTTATTGCATTAAATTGCTGAAGATTAACTTTAAAGAAGATTTTTAGAAGAGATGAGCAATGGTTTTATTATTTTTTCAAATTAGATGAATGCCACGTATGCACCCGTTAAGTTAATGATCACAGATTGACAAATCTTTAAAGAGTATCTCCCCCCCACCAACATCCACAACCCCCAATAGTTCTTTCAACATCGTATTCGATCATTCGAAAGACGAAAAAATCATTCGAATTCAATATTTTCTTTCTTCATTCTAATCTTTTAGTTCATTGAAACTTCACGAAAAACTTTTTTTTTTTCATTTCATTTCTTCTGTCTCGATCGTTGCATAGGCTTCTATGGCGGAGAACAAGCTAGGTGCAGACAGCACTCGAACAAGCACTTTCACTCCCCCCTTTTCGTATAACAATTTTATAAAATAAAGATCACACTTCTAATATAAAATGGATTTTCACATGCTTCAATTTATTAAAAAGAAAAATATTCGAAAAAATAAAAACATAAATTTGAAATCAGCTTTTGTAATCAAAGCACATGGGATGATTTTTTTTTCTTCGCGAACTGGGTGTAGAAGTTGTCAACGTTTTTCTTGAAAGAATTATGGATACTAGACTGAAAGAGCGACAGAGAGAGAGAGAGAGAGAGAAAGAAAAATAGAGAGAGGGAGTGAGAGAGAGAAAATAGGAGAAAATCAGACAGAAAGTACTGTTCCACACGATATTCACGTGAATAACTACTTTCTGCTAATCTTTTTTTCTTTCAATCACCAGAAAATGAGTTGAGAAATGAATGGAAAAGAAGAAACAGAAAAGTCTGTGTTAGGACTAGATGTTAAACAGCGAAGAAATAAGGTTCTATGTAAACATGACTGTATCTGAAATAATCATTTCTGAACATAAATTTTTGGTCTTTAAAACTGACACGAAAACCTCTCTTTGCCCCCATCTTCCTCTCTCTCTCTAGACGTCTCTCCTTCTTTCTTTCTCTTTTCATTTCCCTTCACATATACAATTCTTCCCCCCACCCCTCTCTCTCTTTAACTACAAATAGTATATTTCTGTCTATTTTGTCCTTTTCCCTCTCTCTCTCTCTCTTTCCTCTTTCTGTTTCTTTCTTTTCATTTCTTTTTTCATTCTCTTCTCTCTCTTTTCGTTGAAAATCAAGTTGAATTTTCGTTCGTTCATAGTTTTCAGAATTGACCAACAGAAAGACCAATTTCTTTAAAGTTTTCACGATCAATTATGAAAAACTACATTTTGTATTCATAAAATATTCATTTTCTCCTACTTTAATTAACTACGAATGTTTCTATTTCCTTGTAATTCGAGATAACTCAGGTTGTCTCAGTAGAGAATGGCCATATTCCCTTTTTGGCATTATTTTTAAAAAAGAGAATTCTTTGAATATAAAAGAAACACGGAAACTTTAATCCGATTTCATGTATTCTGGTGGGAATTCTGAGAAATTGATTGATGAATTATAAAATAAAAACCTTTTAAATACAAGGTTTACTGATAAAGAACAAACAGATTACATGATATGGGATTGAGCATGGCAGAAGAGAATGAGGAAAAGAGAGGGTGACAAGCAGCATCACAGAAGAGCGAGGGGGGGGGGAGGAGGATATTCAGATGATAAGAGTATTCGATTAAAGATAAAAATAACAAAAATTACAGAAGTTCAATGAAAGTTCAAATGTGTGCGATTACTTCCCTTTTCCATTCAATTCGCTCATCTTTCGATTAATTATAACAAAAAAAAGAATTTTTCTCTATATTTTTCCAACGGGATTTATTTCATATTTTTACAAAACAAAAAATTATCCTGCAAAATATGATATTTATTGTTAAAAAAACTTGTTTAATTCGACTTTTACATGAATTTTCATGTAAAAGTCATGCACAGCCGTTCTTTAGCGTCATAAACTTATAAATGAACTTTTGAAATATCACGTGATCATATCCACGTGGAACACACGTTCACGCATCTTCTGTGCAGCTTAAAGAAACCTGTTGTCACGCCATCAGCCCCCTCATATTTATCTAATTTAGAATAGGCAATGACGCAATATCTTTAAAAGGCTTACAAAAGTAATAGATAAAGATAGATAGAGAGGTAAAGAGGGAAATGAGAGGAAGATAAAAAACGAAGAGAGAGAGAGAGAGAGAGTTAGGTAGATAGATACATATACGATGAGATTTATAAAAAAAACAAAAAACTTGGTAGGTATGAAGAGTGGGGGGGGGAGAAGGGAAGATTATAGTGAGAGGGTCATGACGAGCTAGACACGGAAGAATTATTAAAAAACAAGATAGAATAGAAATACGTAAATGGGCATCTGAATGTCATTCTCAAGTTTTCTTCAAAGAATCACACATGTGACGTCATGTAACTTATTAAAAATGATAACAAATAAACGTCAATTGTTTGCCTCCTCTCTCTCTTTCTATATCTTTCTATCATTCTCTCTATCTTTGGTAGTATGTAAGCTGTGTGTTGAAAAGAGAAATGTTTGAATTGTATATAAATAGCCGGAACTATATATATCTATCTATAATACATGATTTTAGGAAAATTTTTAATCAGAAGCCGATGAAATTTATGAAAATTCCATATTAGGATTTCTTCAAATCGTAATTACTACGGTATTTCAGTCTTAGGCAGGCTTCCAATCAAATTTTCTTGTATTAACTACGTGATCAAAGCCATATGTTTTCAAAACTCCTAATTTACATATGCAAATTTTATAAAAAAAAATAAAGAAATTTGTGGGGGTTTTAAATGAAATTTCTAATTATGCTTCGTTCTTTGTCATATCTCTCTCCAAACCCGGAAATAAATATGATTGAAAGCTGGAAATGACTTATAAAGAATAATTATTCACAAAAAAATGTTCCTCCCTCCCTCGCTCACACTCTCTCTCTCCCTCTATCTATTACTCTCTCATTCTTTTGCTTACTCTCTTCTTCTCTATAATTTTCGTCTTTTCATAACTTTCCTTAACAAACATATTCATTCAATAGTTCTCAATTCTAGTTTTGTTCTGTCGTTTGGGAAAATCTGCGCAAACATTTGGGTGCAAACGTACGCAGAATGTAACGGAGATCCTTTGAAGGGAAATAACAGCCCGTTGTCCGTAGAAACGTAACGACAATGAAAAGATCGAAAGAAGAGAGAAGAAAAATTGTCACCGATGTGCTGACGATGAAAAATTGTTTCTTCTTTCTCGTTTTTTTTTTGAATTTCATTTTACCTGCTTTGGCTTTACTCGTGTGATTGTTGCACCTCTTTCTTTCTCTCATCTCTCTCCCCATACATTTCTTTAAGTTCTACTGTTCTCGAACATTCCTTCGTTCAACCAAATGCTTACACTCTGTCCCCAACTGATCGAATGTTTTTTGTTCTTTCAAGCTGTGTCACAGTTTGTTTCCTGTTCAGGAATCTAGTTTAAACTCTCATGTTTCGCCATTCACTCTTTCTTATACTTTTGTTTCCACCTCTCTTAACCTCTTCTGCCCAATCATTAAAAGATATGCAAAGAGCACCAATTTATGAAGATCACTTAATTCTTGAGTCAATTTTCCTACTAAAAAGCAAAGAATCGTCTATGTTTAATCGTCCATCACCCTCTTCGCGTCATTCCATCGCTTCGTCGGCACTCAGTTTTACCCTTTCTGCCTCTCAAAAAAAACTTTTTTCTTCATCTCTCCCTTGCATGTAATTTGATTTATGCACATACAGTTCTTCTGAAGGAAATTCATCTATTACATTCCCACAAAATCAACCATAAACAGCCTCAACCTGCTCATTAATCCAAACCAAATACTGTTTCCGGGAGAGAAAAAGAGAACAACAGTCCAGAGAAGAAAGATTGACGCAAAAATTTTATTTCCCTTTACATAAAATCACTCGACAACTTTCGGTACATGTGCTTTACATAGTCCTCGCTACCTATCATCCGTACATGGACTTATATCTTCTCTGAACAAGCTTCTCCTCTCTCTCTCAACCATCCGTCCTCTCTCTCTATGTTATGATCTCTTTCTTTCTCTCTTTATTCAGTTTTTCTCTTACAAATATTCACTCTGTATGAACACGAAACATATGAAAGTGAACAGATACGAAGAGAACAAAAGAAAGAAAGAAATCGATTCCAAGCGTCATCAATCGATCTGTCTAGGGGTTATCATTCGTCTGTAACTGGCTCGTACACTCTTTTATTTCCATCATTTTCTTTCTGTTCAACAGTTCTTCTTTTTTACCATTTTTCGGCTTCAATGTCATATCAGAAAGCTACAAACCTATCAGATAGTAAACCTACATATACATGTGAGGGTAGCGTGTACAAATCGAATTGATATTTTTCTATTTCTTCCATTTCATTTCTCTTCCTTTCATCATTTATTCTCTCTTTCTTTCTCTTTTTCTGTCTTTCTCTTCATCTACTTATCTTTTACACTCTTTCCATCTCTTCTCTTTATAATACACAAGCAGTCACGCTGGCGGGCGGTTGTGCGGCGCGTATGGGTGCTTCGTGGGTACATAAGCACCTACCTCTCATTTGGGCGTGGCCTTATCATCCCGCCTTCCTTTCCTGACTTAACAGCAGCATGCTCCCTTTCCAACCCATTTCTCTCTCTCAACTGCTATCTTTCTCATATTCTCTCATCATTTCAATATATTTCTCCCTATTTATGTCTAGCTACTATTCTCCCCACTAGCCCATCTCAGGCAACCAACACCAGCACCCAACCCCTTCCATCACAACGACAATGACGACCAACATCACCACCACCAACCATCACCACTATCACCATCACTACCAGCCAACACAAATAAAGACCATTTATTAAAATTATATTATTTTATCTTTCAAATAAAACTCCTTTCATACTCTTTCTATTGGAGCCTTTTGAAAATTCTCTCCTCTTCTCTCATTTCCCCTCCTCCCTTCAATATTTCTACAAATTTGGACTCTTCTTTTTTGCCTCCCACTCCTCCTATTTTTTCAATTGTGCTTCTGATCCACATCTTGCCTTTGATTTCTTTCGTCTCTCACTTTCCAAAGAATCTTTTTAAATCGCAATTGATTGGAAAGTCTGGACCAATTCCTTGCCATTTTTCCCTCCTCAAACTTCCATATTTGATTATAAAATTCTATATTTATACACCTCATATGAATTTTAAAACATTCTTACATGTAAAACTGTTCCTACTTTGAGAATTTTTATCTTTTGAAGATCATGTTTTCTTTCGTTCTCTATTTCATCGCATCTTTGCTTCTCTGCTTATCGGCACTCAGGAGCCTCTCCAGAAGACTTTGATCTATCGCATTCCCCTGTAACCCTTCTAACATTCGTTCCCTCTCTACTTCCCTCTCTCCTTCGTCTTCTCCTTCTCTATCCTTCTATATTTTTCTGTTCCATTCTCAAGAAATAACGTTTACTGTTCAATCATTCCCCACCGTCTCTTTTTAATAATTTCTTTACAAATCATCAATTGTTTCTCTTTCTCTGCCCGCTCTCTCTCTCTGTTCCTCTCTCATTCTCGCACTTTCTCTCTCTTTCAAAATCTTTTTTTTACGGACACTGATCTTCTTTTGAACACTTTAATCGTTTTTTGACGTTTATATCTTAGTTTTTCCTGTTTTTTGTTTTTTGTTGATTTTTCCTTTCTTTTCTGCCTGGCAATTACTGTTCATATTATCTGCCGTATTCACCACATTCATAGTTGTTAATCAAAAGCTAAAATTATCTTTTCTTCATAGCTTTGTCGAAACAAATTTTCTCTCGCCTTCCTCATTTCGTCTCTCTCTCTCTTTTCCTCTCTTTTTCAATCTATCTCTCTCTTTCATTTGTGATATTTTCATAATTTCTTAGGCTCCTCGTGTTCCATCTGTCCTCAGTCGATAACGTAGAGCTTCAAATGTTGTTTCCCTATCAACACCTGTTGCGTTTTTCAAAAATTTTTCTTGACCTACTTGAAAATTATCCACGTCCCTTACTCTCTTTATCTTCATGGTACACTCGTATGTTTTCACTTGCTCATAATAATTTTCAAAATATTCTTAATCATATGTCTTATCTCTATGATCACATGTTCTTCCTAACTTTTGAAGTTTCAATCTCAACTTGTACTTTTGTGCCAAAAAAGTGAAATTTTCATTTCCGTTGATGTTTTTTTCTTCATTTTTGCAATGAGAGAGAAAAGTTTTTTCATCATTCTGCCTCTCTCTCTCTCTTTTTGCCGTTTTGAGTTCTTCCTTACGAAGGTCTTCCATTGACATTCCCGTTTTTCTAGATTTCACGTTGTTTAAAAAATCATTCTTGTCTTCATTTTGACTCCATTTTATTCACATTCATAAGTTGTTTGTCTCATTTTTTTTCTTCAATTAAACACGTCACTGTTCACTCTCTCTTTTCCTGGCTCTCTATCATACTCTCTCTCATACTTTCATCATATTATCCTCACCTGAGTGCGGACCTTGTTGCCTTTTTCAGTAAACGTTGTTAGTCTTCAGACTTCTGATGTCAAATGTTACGATAACTGTGTTCTTCGTCAAAAGACATCGTAATATCAGCCGGTTTATACTCGAGCAATAACTTTTGTTATTTCTCACTTTTGCTGCTCCACAGACATAAACTATAAGAGATCATATACTTCTTATCTCTCAAACAAAACAAAGAAATGGATTAATTCTCCTCATTATCTGTTCTCACTCAATTTCTTTTGATCTATAATCTCTCTTCATTTGTCTTCATATCTTCTAAAACTCTTTGAAAGTTGGAAAGTATTACCAACTTCTCTCCTCCCCTCTCTCCTCCTCCCTTCCCCCTCTCATATTTCACAAACAAATTCGTCGAATAAGGATGCTGGTCAGATGTTTCACATCATATTCTTAAAGATTCGTATCATTCGATATGACGTCAGTTACCTTTTTTGACGCTGCAGAAACGACTTTTGATGATCATCACATGCTATTTCTCGTTTTGAGAGGTTATCATTAAAGATGTCCGAACAGTAATTGGAAGAAAAATGATAGCAAAGGGCTTAGAGTTCTTTCTGTTTTATGTTACGATCTATGAAACAGTTCTTTCTGAATGTCGTGAATTATATTTCCAAACATTTCAAACTTCAGTTTTCTCATTTCAGATCGGCTTTGCCGTCTTCTCTCCTTGATTTTCTCCTTGTTCCGTCAGAAGGACAGTCTGAAGACGATGATTACACCAGCCGAGCCAGTTGAGGAAAGAAATATGGAAGAAGAGCGACACAAGCTGACGTAAGCTTCTTTTTCAATTTTTTTTTGTTTTTTAATACTTTATTTTATATGTCCGAATAGGGTACTGTATAGAAAACTAAACAAATATGGAAAAAAGAAGTGAGAGAGTGTATGAGAGATAGTGAAAGAATAATGAAAAGACAAAGGTAACCATAGAGAGATGAGAAGAATACACAAGGCTAAAACCTATCTTGATCGTTTGAACCTTCATTCATGTTATCAAATTATCATCATCTAGATAACTGTTCATATACTATCTGTTCCCATAACTATATGGGCATAGTATATCATTAAGGAAATGATTGTTAAAAATCATTTTTGATACAAATAATATATTATAATAAGAGTTTATGAAACAAATATAATTTTGTTAATCTACTTATTCAACAGAATATTTAAAAAAAAAAAGGAAAAAAGGGGGGGGGGGCGAAAGAATAGAGAGACGAGAAGAGGGAGTAGACGATGAGAGGGAGAGATATATTGCAGCGAATTAAGAAAAGAAAAGAAGAAGACCATGCAGCGCGTCATTAGAATATCCGAATGATTTTCTAAAAATTATCATCACGTTTTTCACGTATATCACGCATTCTCACGTAGCATTTTTGAGCTTATCTGACAAGAAAACATTTCTTGAAAAAAGAAAATGAAATCATAATCTATTTGTATATAAATCTATGCCTAAAAAAGTTTTCTTTTACAAGCCGAACAATGACATCATAGTTACAAATCGAGGTCTGTCTTCATGACAGTTACGGAGAAACAATCTGTTAATTTGGATGTGAAATTAGCTTGCGAATCTCGCGTACATAAACTAGACGAGAATTCGTCAATGAAGATCATAACAATAGATATCCGATTCCAAATGATTTCTGAATTTTTTATGTTCACGGTTAACGGTAAAAAGGAAGATTCATGCAAATCGAACTGTCCGAGACGGTCAGAAGATCAACTTGCTAATCGTTCTCATCTACAACAATGATTGCGAAGGTTTAAACATCTAAGGAAATCGTTAAAGTGATGTCATTCATGAACAGAAAATGTTGGTTCGTTGTACGGACGTAACCTCTTTATGGCGGTGGTGGTTTCCGACCTCACCTTCGTTTTGAGGACATTCAGTCTGTTCTACTATACCTTTGTGAATTCTTTGAAGAGTGAGTGAAAGAGCGAGTGAGAAATGATTTAAGAAGGAAGTCGACAACGAAAAAAGGATTTGACTATTAGCCGTTTCAGTCGTAATTAGTTTTTGGTAAAGATGAAATCTATTAAGCTCAATATAAGATTTGATCCTGCTCAGAGAATCTCAAAACGGATTTTGAAGTTGTTACGAATGTTTTTCATCTCGAAAATTCTAAAGTAAATGAATAAATGAAATAATTGACCAGAGTACTATTGATCATTTAAATATTTCATTCGAGTTTCTTAAAAACAACTAGTTTCTTCATCTTCTTTATTACCTGTCTTCTATCAAAAACATTCTTTTGAAAGTTCATTTGAATTTTTTTTAAAAATTTTTTTTCCTTTCTCTACAAGGGAATTATAATTTTTAAAATTTTAGTGAGGAGGTAGTTACCACAACAGTTCCGCCTGGTACACAAGTAGTCCTGGAGGCCAAGTTGCTTACATCTGATGTTGATCATACGATCGAAGAAGTTCGTCAAGAATCTCAGATCGTTCCTTCACAGGTAATTCAGCTTCAACTCTCTGATTCACTCTTAAACCAACTCAAAAAATGAATGAAGCATTCCCAAACCACCCACAGCCATCCTTCCCTTTCACTCTTCCATCTCACTATCACACTAACGAGGTTCCTATACCTCTTGGGTATTCTGAAAAAATGTTGTCTTTCACTCATCAGTTCTCTCAGCTATTAGGGTTTTTGTGTTTTTGTTTCGCAAATGGAAGTCAAAGTTGAAAACTTGAACGAGTAAGCTTTCACAAACAGGAGATTTTTCGGTTCTTTCAGTTGCAAGAAAAAAATGTGTTTTTCGAATTAATTCGAGAAAATATTATTTTTCAAATGAAAAAGCTTCGAATATAATGTTCATTGTGGCTAGTGAGTATGGATTATCCTATTCATACTTATCTCCCCCTCACCTCGCTCTCTTCTCCCCCCCCCCCCTCCCCCTCTCTCCCTTCAGCATCTTTTTGCTTCCGCATCAAATGGCTTTTTAAAAGTATTTATTGAAGATTGTATGTGACTAATATTGAAAATATTTATAAAATTCTCAAGAAGGAGTTTATTAAAAACATGTGAATTACCTAAAATAATCTAATTTTCTGTTTTTTTTTTCTTTGCAAAAACAAATTAAATCTGCAAATGTATGAGACAAGCTGATAAATACTGTAGTTATTGCAGAAAAAAAAGAAAAAAAGTTATTCGTTCCAATGAAAATATTTTAAAATTTATATATGATGATGATGATAATGATGGGATCTGTTATAGAGAGCTAATAATCGAACTTTGTTCTGTCGTAAGTGCGAAGGACATGGACTTCAAGTTATCTTGAAGGGCCATGCTTCACGTTGTCCATACAATACTTGCCCTTGCAAAACTGTAAGTTGATTATCTAATCTCTATATCCTATTAAATCATTCTGTTTAGTGTTCGAACGTAATGACGATGAGAGCTAATGCTATCATTCGTCGTTACCGCACAAGAACTATGGAAGGGGGGCTTGTGCTTAAGCCTGTTCATTTTAAAAATGGAAATACAAGACTTCGTGTTTTTCCAAAACATGTTGACGGTCAGTTGATTAATCTCAGTTAGTTTCATCATTTTTTATTTTTTTTCTTTTTTTTCTCGACTTGAGCATTAAGTCGATCAACTTGTTTTCAACAGATTTTCTCATTTATCTGCTTTCCAGAGAGCGATGCTGTCCAAATTCCTATGGAAATTCGTGCAAAGCATCCATCTGGTGATACGAACCTTGGTATTGGTGTTCCTCAACAATATGCTATGAAAAGAAGCTTTAGCGAGGTTAGCTCAAAACGCTTGTACTTTTTAGCTAATCATTGAATCCTACAGGAGCAAGATATACGCACGTCTCCTAAAAGAAGTTTCGATCAAAGCAATCTTACTGCTACAGAAATAGCTTTTCTGCAACGTCACCGAGAACAGCAACAGCAGCAAACTCCTTCACCTCAGCATAACCATGCAGGAAATGAAACTTCTTCGACTCCATCAACACCTCCATCTTCAACTGCTACTTCCAACAATTCACAAACGTCCACCTATCAATCCGTTTCTACTTCCGTTGGGATGACTCCGGCTGAAAGAAATTTACAAACAAGTTCACCCAATGCTATTACGTCAGCTGCCGCTTTGACGACTAGCAATCTCATCGATTTCCTATTCAGTAAGATAAAGAAAGCCTTGCTGGATTTAAAAAAATTATTTTCAGAACAACAGATCTCTCAATCACCTACTCCACAACGTGACTCAACGGCTGATTTATTTAATCAAGGACTACTTGGTCTCCCTCCCAGTCTACTAGCTCAAAGTGGTTTCACTCTGGACCCAGCCAATCTGATAACTTCTTTGTCCTCCCCTCCAACTCAATCACTTACCTATTCTACTTCTTCTATGGCTTATAGCAGTCCTTTCATGACAACTGCTAACACTCTTCTTCAAGATATAGAGGAACGAAAAGTAAGTTATATCCTCACGCCTCTTACATCACACGGATATTAATCTGTTATTTACCATGTTAACCTTTTGATATTTCAGTCCTCAGCTGAATCTTTGGTTTGTCCAACAACGCAGTTAAGCGAATTATCAATTGGTGTGAATGGAACATCCACAACAGCTTCTGACGCTCCTATAATGAAGAATAATGTTCAAGTGCTCACTCCCAATATGGTCAATGGTTAGTACCAGTTATAGTATCCGAATAATTCTCTCATTATTTTTAGGTAAAGGTCCAGCAATATCTCTCCAACAGGACAGTTGTAATAATGATATAACAATCACCGATTATGTAACCGTCAATGGATCTGCCCCCTACCGATCACATCCCCTTTTCCGTCGTTTCATATCAATTGTGAGAGAAATGGAAAATCAGTTATTCTTCCAAGAACTCTGATATTTCCTTCTTTAGAATGCAATATTCTAATATTTTATTGTTTTCATTGTTTTACTAGAATATTTCCTTTTTTTCGGCTAATATTTCCTCATCAGATTCCATCGCGATCTCCATAGTTAAAGTAGATTTCATCGGGTATGCTACTCTAGGCGCACTTCAACTTATCAATAGATTTTTAAATTAACTTCAAGATTAGTTGCATATTTATCTCTCCAGTTACGAAAGTTATCTCGATAGGTAACATCGGTTCACCATATTCCAGGATAGTCAATTTCTGTGATACAAAACCGACTTCAGTTATTATCTTGAATAGAAAAATCTGTTTGTTTTGTCATCTTACTATTAAGTTATTATAAAAATTTATTTCATAAACTCAATCGTAGATTTATTCGAAAACAAAAAAATTTAAAGCACAAAAATGCATAACCCTTCAAATATCATTTATAGCAAGAACAGAAACACTTGTATCAAGAAAGTAGAACATAACAAGATCCAAAGATGATATTCCAAGAAAAACTCCAGATTCTAATCATTCTTCGAATCATCAACAACCATAAACATTTTTTGAATGAAAATCGTGAAAGAAGCTATAAAAGTTATTTTAATAACCATTAATGGACAGACAACAGCTTACTTGTGAACTTGTCGATGAAAGCTGGTTTCGTCTTCCATGCAATGAAAATCAAATAAACTGGAATAGCAGACAACATAATAAGAATTCCAACAGCTGAAATAATTTAAGACTCTTTACCGCTGATTACTTCTTACCAGTATCTTTAGGAGCTGCAATCATGGGGATAACAACTAAAGCTATGCATCCTAACAAGAAAATTGCGGGGAAGATCAATGGCACCTTGAAGTTAATGAATTGAAACTGAAACTACTTGTTACTAACCTTAATTGGCCTTGGCGCATTTGGCATTGTTTTTCGAAGATAGAATAAGGCTGCGATAGCCGCACCGATCGCTAACCAATAAGAAATTTGGATATAGTTAATTAATGCGTAAATGTTCTTTGAGAGTGCCAAATAGCAAATTGATAGCAATCCCTATAATATTATCGAAGTTGAAAACTCATTCCGAAACGTTGCTTACAGTTAAGAGTACAGCTGGAATTGGAGTTCTGGTGGTTTTGTTGATCATGGTAAGAACAACTGGCATTTGACCTTCTCTGGCTCCGACATAAAAAAGTCTGCAAAAAAAACTTTTAATTCGTGAGTGGTATGACGAAAATCATGAACACAACCGCGTCATTAAGATCTTATATTGAAATGAATCAAAACGTTCCAGCTCTAAGAGTCACGTATGCTAATGACATACCTGGAGGATGTGAATATAACACCATTAGCTGATCCTATAGTGGAGCAGGCGACGAATAAAGGCATTAAGAAAGCAAATGGACCAAACAATTTGTTCGCAAAAAGCTGAACGTGTTATTAATCATATCGAGGTTAAAAGGAAATAACAAACCACAGCAACAGCAGGACTTTCGAGCATTTCATCTGGAGAAATGACGGCATACAACGCAACATTAGTGAGGAAATAAATTAGAGTGCATGTAGATATAGAGATGGCAATGGCATATGGAAGATCTCTGAAATACATTATATGAGCATATCGATTTTAGTTTTAAAAAACCTCTTAGGGTTTTTCATTTCTTCTACAATAAAGTTCAAGAAATTCCATCCAGAGAAGGCGAAAAGACCGGAGTAGAAAGCTAACGAAATCTGTGTGGGATCTCTAGTTGTTCCTTCGAATATATTCTCGAACGATTCGCGGTACTGAACACCTCCTGAACATAATATACTAAGCACTGTTTTCAGAGCAATCTCGTACCAAAACCGAGAAGATACAAGCCAGACCCAATAATCAAAAGAAGAGCGAAGACTTTGGCAACAGTAAAGAAGTCCTGGACGAAAGTAGCAGCTCGAACACTCAGACAGTTAATGGCTGTCATCAAGACTTCAAAAGTTCTGATTACAAAAGCAACAATAACAAACTAACCAATAAGAAGAACAGCCAACAGTTGAGGTACACCAGCGGGAGGATCACATTCAGGGTAGAACGGTCTCAGAATGTAGATAGCAAAAGTCAGAGAAACAATTGTAACAGTGCAAGGCCTTAACAAATTGTTGAGTACAACCTAAACAAATACCATACCGAACAACGATTGCTTCAATCCATAAGCGAACAAAAGCCAAGAAAGGTCCAAACGCTTCCATAATATAAGCATAGTCTCCTCCAGATTTTTTGATGAGGGTACCTTTAAAACAGGTGAATTAGATCCGAAGTTCAATATAGTTCGAACCAAGTTCAGCATAACAATAGGCACCAATAGCAGTGAAAACTCCTGAGACAGCCCAAACGATCAGTGACATTCCAACAGATCCAGCCACTGAAAAAACATTAGTTTTACAGCAAGTGGGTCATAACTCACTTTCTTGAACTCCAGTAGGAGAAACAAAGATTCCAGAGCCAATAATACAACCAACAATAATGGAAACTCCATTGAATAGATTTAGATGCTTTGCCAATCCCTGATTATCACCATCTTCAACAACAGCATCGTTGGGTTGTTCTGAATCAGCCACAGGCTGTAATTAATGAAATAGTTTACAATAGAAAGATAGTAAGTCGACCTGGTCGTTTAGAGGTACACTTTCTGCAACTTCTGTCATTTCTCAGTTCTCTTTACCTGTAAAGAGCAGTTAAAAAAGAAAAATTTTCAGAATCAGCATGTGAATGACATAAGCGGCCAATGGGATTAGCTTGGCAAACACAATTGTATAATCAAATGACAAACTGGACTTCATGGGGCTAAACATTTAATAGAAAACTCAGTTTGTTCGCTCATATTGGAGCCGAAAATGAACGAAACTCGTAGAATATACAAAAATTACAGCTAATAAAGTGAAAATTTCAAAGAAAAAGGAATACGAGGAAGCAAAAAGTAAATAGTCGATCGAAGAAAGAGAACAGTTTGAAGAGTTTGTAAAGTTTCCGAAGAGAACACAATACCTAACAACAAAAGAGTGAAAGTAAAGCAAAGTTTAAAGTTAAAGAATGAACAGGAGATTCAAAAGACTCAGTAATCGATCACTGATTTGAATATTAAAGACAGACCATATCGGACCGAGACTAATTTTACCGGAAGTGTACAGTTTTACAATAATAATGTAATGAGAGGTAGCCCCAGGGGCAGTTCTTAAATAAATTGATCAGAAAAGAAGACAATATCAATGAACTAATCAATAACGACTTCCTGTGTCATGATATTGACAAATACGGAAATGAGTGGAGGGATCTATAGAACTGCCATGAGTCAATCGATAGTTGAGTTTGTTGCCTAGGTGAAGGCGAAAAAATCTTTTCATTTCATCAAGAATTGTTTCAAAATAACATTTTCAAATAAAAAAGGTTTTGCAAGCAACTTATGGAAGCAATTATGGACCATAATCTACTCACTAGTCATTTGATAAACTTAAATAAATCAAAATTTGTTTTTCCAACCATAAGTCAGCAAACAATAAAATGCGATTCGAAACAGGCGTCTCCGTTCATTGTCAACCAATTTCATTTGTATTCTGAGATAGAGACTTCCACTTTTTCAATGAGAAAACTTCAAAAGGATGGTTTTGTCTTAGAGAAATACAAAAGACAGTATAAGAGAAGGAAACATCTGTTGGCACACTACGGATAAAACTTCACATGAATCAATTTTATGATTATGATGTTGTGTTACGTACATTTCGTCATTTTGTCGTATATTTCGACAATCTTTTCATGACAACCCTTAGTATTAGAGAAATTTTGGAAGCAGCTTAACTCGGGTATAGGTTAATGCTTGTTCCAGTTCCGCATAGTTCGAGGTCGCTCGTGTTAGCCACGTGAGAAAAAAAAGTTTAGTTACCTCATGTCTTCTCTACATTCCACGCCGATAATCATTTTATAAACCACATCAGTAGGTGCATGGTTGCTCATGCGTTATACGTGAAACCATCTGTTAGTTCCGTTTTGAAGTGAGCGCTTTATTACGTTCAGCAAATCATTTCTCTCCACTTGGTGCCCGATAGCGGTGCATGGTTCAAAGTAAATTCATTTTATTAGCATTTACCAAATTAGCGGTCGTTCACACCCAAATTTTGAATTAATTATATTTGGTTCAAGTAATTGGCGCTCGAGCACGTTTTTCGAAATGATATATTTTTTTCTGTTTTTCTGTTCAAAAGCAGATATAGAATGAAATTTAATAAAGATCAAAACGATGAGATGCTGTTCTTGGGTGAGATAATGAAATATCTGGTTAATGTTGGATTAATGAAGTTTGCGTAATTTTTATAAGCGAAGGTTTCATCCATTTTTAATGTGTATTTCACAGTAGCTGACTTCTAATGAATAGACTTTGGCACATTTTACGGCAAATCATGAGAGAAATACTAAAAATAGCATAATCAGTCAAATTTCGTTACACATTTGTGAGGGACGATTCTGTAAGAATCATGAGAAAGCGTTGAAAAAGAATATAAGCTTTATGTTGCCAAAACAGGCTATCATAACCGACCAAAGAATCAGAACGAAGGAGTAGAGATGTGGAGGAGTGTTGTTTCTTTCTCGTTCTGTACTTGTTGCTGAACTGAAAAGCTTCTCTTCAAAAGTTTCGAAAAACTGAATCAGAATCTGAAATAATGATGATTTAATAATAAAAAAATGTCAAGTAAGTACAGAAGGCTATTGAAAGTGCCTTTGAAAGAGATGCAAAAACATCAAAATCATTGCTCGTTTACAACTTTCTTGTGTTCCAAAGAATTGTTTATCTGAATAATAGAACGAAAACTCCCTGTCAGAATCTGCTGATGAGCAGAGCCATTCATTTGGCAGAAAAACCTTTTTTCTGTTTCATTGTCTCTTTCTGCCCATTCCCCCACTTGTGAGAAGTTTGATAAGCTGAAAAGTTTTTTTTTCCTTTCTTTGTAAAAACTTAGGATAAGTAAACAGAACTTGATGAAGAAGATGTTGTTTTTGAATATCATCCACAAAGTTTTGGAGAAAGTTCAAAGAGAAAAGTACGTTCCTCTCATATATAGGCTTGCATTACAGAGAGATAGCAAAAAGCTAACAAATTCCAAGACAGTTCTTGAATTTCATGAAGCAACTCTGATTCATAATCTCTTATATCCTTATTTGAATGTTTCATTATCGTTATGAGTTTCAATGAACGTTGTATTGTCTTTAACGAAGAGCAAATATCAAGTATGGATTAACAACTCTTCAAAATGATTCAAAGTTTAGAATTATGGAACCCTTTAAAGTACAAAGCCGAAGCAGTGGATGATGAGAAAATAAAAAAAGTGGAAAAGAGACGACGAAAAAGGAAAGCAACCGATCAGTTCATCTGAGTTCATGAAAAATGAAGCAAACACAATCACGCGTTTCACGTGAAACTAATTAGAATATTCTATAAGATGAGCGTGCTTCGTAGTGATCGATGTTCTTAACAAAAAGTGATTTTCCTTAAAAATATTTTATTCAATTAGAATATAAACATGAACATCGTTGTCTTTCAGACGAAAATTTCGTTTGTTCTCTTATCTACTAATTGATCTTTCAGCTATCTAAATGGCTGTTTTCATTTGAAAACTTCTATTCTGAATTATAAAAATATATTCACTAAAAAAAGCTCTACACACATACAGTCGAAAATATCATTTATAATAATTATATTTTTGAATTGAAAGCTTCTTCATCCGTTGCCATCTTCATCTCCTTCTTCTGTATGAAGCAGTCAGAGAGTAACTGAAATAGTTGGTGTAGTGAGTGAGGAACAGAATGTTCTAATAGCCACAGAGGGCAAATGTGGAAGTTGGACTTTCAGAACGAAACACAAGCAACATCTATTATTTTCCGTTTTATGCTTTTTCTCAAAAAAAAAGAGAAAAAAAAAGGAAAAAAAACTTAAAAAGTTATTTGAAAGAGAGAACGTGTACATGTGTTATGTGTATGGTGTGTGTGTGGTTGATTGGTTTTATTAGAAGAGAGAAGACAAGGAACGTTTCAAATACTATGTAAATGAATATCAAATATTTGATTTTTGACGGAAAAACGATAATTTTGTTTTTATAACTCAAAGAAAATGATTGGAAAGAGGAAATATTAGCATTTAATAAACTCTTTATTTGTTTTTCAACTCATAAAATACTAATTCTTTCTCTCTTTATTCATAAACTGAAGAAGGCTTTTTCTAGAAAAGAAATGAACTTATTTTTCAATTTTTGAAAAGAAAATTATTATTCTTTTGATGGATTGTCATTAATACATTTGGAATATATAACGAATTCTTCTAACTTAATTATGGCTTTTACAATATTCCCAAATTGTTCTTTTTAAATATTTTCTTTTATTCTCTCTTTCTCTCTCTCTCTCTTTCTCTCTCTCTCTCTGTTAAAAACTCCCTCCTTTCCTTTTTCCCTCCCTTCTTCCCCTCTTTCTTTCTCTCCCTCTCCCTACTACTACAGCATTTGGAAGATGTCTGATACAATGATTATATGAGAACAATCAACAACGCAAAACAAAAAAAATGGAAGAATCTGAATTTTCATCATCGCAAAACTATTCAGCAAAATAGAATGTATATCGTCGTTTTTCTGCAACACCCCCCAAAGATAAAGAGGAAGTGAGGGAATACGATAGAGAGGGTGGAAGAGAAAAAGAGAATACAAGGGAGGGAACTCAAGCTCTCTCTCTCTCCTCAGTTTTGGTGCACAAGTATCAAATGCCAGAGAATGCGATTGCACCTTTTTCCGCTCTTCGGTATAAGCACAGCTGATTCTTCCTTTTTTCATTATTTTTCAGCATCCGCTAATACATCTTATCTTTATCTATCATGCACGGTGTTGCCATTTTTCATTTCAATAAGAGAATATACGGTTCTCTCGTATATCAACTCTATCTAACTTGCTTCCAATGTCATTCAAATGACATTTTCTCTTAATTTTTTCGCAAAAAAAGTAGTTTATATGAATTTATACGCCTTCGTTAATAGACGAACGTCAACTGACGTGTGACTTCCGCCAAGCCCATAGGTTATTCATCAAAATTTTGACCTTTCCATCTAAATTCAACCACATATCTGAGTTCTGGGTTGAAGGTGTCGTTTACCACAACACAATCCTCGTTGTCTTGTAGGAGTTTACCTTCATTCTTGAATCATTTGTATGTTCAGATATTCCTTTACTCAGAAGAATTTTCCCTCTCGTTTCTTCATGAGATTCTCGCATAATTTATTTAGATGAAAAAAAAAAGAATTTTTTAAGCTCTTAGTGATCAGAAATTAGAAAAAAAAAGAAATTTTCATCAATCAATCGCTTCCTAATTCTCAATTATCCTCTTCTATACCAATACTTCTATCAACAATCCTTTGATCTATCCCTTGGCCGGATGTGTGAACTTCGAAGTTTAAGCTGACAACACAAGCTGCAAATGTTTTTTTTATTTCAGAAAAAAGAGCAAATTGTCAAATTTGGGGTTTAGAGCATCATATCAATGTTTTCTTCTCTAATGTCCCCCTCCTCATCCCACCATTTTGCTAAGTTCAACGTTTTGACAAACTTTTCTCTTGTCAATTTTGCTGTAAATGACGTTCAAGTAGAACTTGCTTGATCATGATCTATGAACTGAGTTC